GTCTCTGTCCCATTTGACTTCATCCGCTCGTGAGGTTTCCACAGCCACCTTGTGCTGGAGTACATTCGCCCGGAACCACTCCTCCAGTTGGTCTCGCCCTTTGGCCACCTCGAGCGTCCGTCTTTGTCGAGCGAGCCTTCTATCTCCGCTGTCCAATATACTATCCAAAAGCGTATTGATTTCCAAATGCTTGGCAATCTTATCGATGTTAGAAAAGACCTCGGACTCGGTGAACCCGGTCCCCGGGCCACTCCGGATGTCGCGCGGGGCTTCGCCAAAATAGAGGTATTTAATCGCTGTCCCGAATGCTTCTGGTGGCATTGTGCTAGGGAGCCTCCATGTCAACGTGTCCGGGGCAGTGGCCAATTTGTTGCGGAAATATGGAGATCGTGCGGCCAAGATAAACTTGTGTAAATAGAGAGACTCATCGCCTGCTGTTACAACAATATCCGCTGTCGCAGGGCTTTCGCGAGTAAGAAGTGACGTGATGTGAGCTGCAAGAGGCTGCAGAGGATCTGTCGACTTCGAATAGTCGTATTCCAGGAGCAGGTTCCGTATCCGATCATTGAGGGCGTTATACAAACATCTATCATACTGGAGTTAACATCGTGGGCTGACTAATAACTACTTGGACATCGAAAGTGACACAAATGACAAGGTGCATACCTTTCTCCCTGGAAAGTGTCCCGTTCGCATAAAGCTCCGGACTCGAGCAGCAGCTGAGCGACCTCGTAGTGGCCACAGAGACTTGCCTTTTGCATGGATACTGGTTACTACTGCACGGCAACGCCGACTCGCCACGCCGAACCTGGCTAACGGCCTGACGGTCATTCAAGGCAGACTTACCAGGATCAAAGGGGTGTAATCGTATGGATCGCGGGCATTGATATTGACTCCTTCCGTGATTTTCTCCTGACAAACTTTCAAATCCCCCTTACGACAAGCATTGCAGAGTTCCCGGAAGGGTTCGCTAAGGTCAAGAGGGTTGTCGTCCTTGATTGTCCCCTCCTTGATAAGCTTTTTCTCATTGTGCAAACTTATCTCCAGCTGGTCCTTCCGGAGGACCTTCGGTTCATCCATTGTGCCAGGGTAGGAGATTGGCAGGGTAGATGAGATGCAAGCAATTCTTCTTCTTCAAGATATGCAGGTATTTGTTGCGGAGGACGGCGGGGGAGACGACCCCAAACGGGGGCAACATTTGGATCCCCCGTCTTATCGATAAGCTCGGGTCACGTGAGACAAGAGCCTAGGTAGCTACCTAGCGAGACAGCCCCTGCCCAAAGGGAACCAAGGGGATTGAAAGAACTTCCTTGTCCCCTTGCATCTTTCTGGTTCTCTTTCTACTCAGTACGCTTGATATTGTTGATACCCCCACTTACCATAGGGTGTCTTGCAGGTTCAAGCGAGCAAGCTTTCGATCTTTATCTTGTCCCATGCAGCATTGTGAACCGTTTCTGACGTCCCGAACCACTGACGGAACGATGATGATGATCAATGACCCGCTTCACCGCCCGGTATCCCCACCGCCTGCTGTAACCAGGCAAGAGTCGTGGCCGGCAGCCGTTGCTCAGCAACAGTCTGCACCTAAACATTCAGCGCTTCCGTTCCCGTTGCATACCTACTTCTTTAAATCTACAACGCAACCACATGTTCCCACCCAACATCGCTCCATACTAACCCAGCAGGTCTCAGTCACACACTATCGACTCATAAATGCCATAGGATACTCGATCTCATCCGCTCGCCACTTCTTCCCGACCTTCGCCTTATACTTCAGATTCTTGCCTGCGGTCTTTCCTCCCAGCAGCCACAATGGCAATTGCGTTAGCGGAGGCAGACAAGTATGAGGTGCTTGAAAAGATTGGTATGAGACACCAGAGTTCCATCTAGGCATGCAAGTTAGCTTCGGACATCAAATTACTGATCACGAGTGCTTAGGTTGCGGTTCTTTTGGAATCATTCGCAAAGTGCGACGAAAGGCAGACGGCTTTGTAAGGATCCACCCGTCATTCATGCATTGAACCCTTTTATGCTTACAATCACCTTTGTTGTAGATACTCTGTCGCAAGGAAATCAACTACATCAAGATGTCGCAAAAGGAACGAGAACAGCTGACAGCCGAATTCAATATTTTAAGCTCTCTTCGACACCCGAACATCGTCGCCTACTACCATCGCGAACACCTCAAAGCGAGTCAGGACCTTTACCTTTACATGGAATACTGTGGTGGTGGAGATCTCAGCATGATCATCAAGAACCTGAAAAAGACGAACAAATTTGCAGAGGAAGAATTCGTGTGGCGCATTTTGTCCCAATTGGCCACGGCGTTATACCGCTGCCACTACGGCTCTGATCCCCTCGAAGCTGGTAGCATTCTAGGCCCTGCTCCTAAGCAGTCTGGTCTCAAAGGGAAGCAGGCTCAGATGACCATCCTTCATCGCGATCTCAAACCAGAAAACATCTTTCTTGGCAGCGACAACACTGTCAAGCTCGGTGACTTCGGTCTCTCGAAGCTGATGAACTCTCAAGACTTCGCATCTACCTACGTCGGTACCCCATTCTACATGTCGCCCGAAATCTGTGCGGCGGAACCCTACACATTGCGATCTGATATTTGGGCTGTCGGCTGCATCATGTATGAGCTGTGCCAGAAAGAGCCGCCTTTCAACGCCAGAACCCACATCCAACTCATTCAGAGAATACGCGAAGGCAAATTTGCTCCCCTGCCTGATTTCTACTCACCCGAGCTGAAAAATGTTATTGCAAGCTGCTTGCGCGTCAACCCGGACCATCGCCCCGATACTGCAGCGCTGATCAACCTTCCCATCATCCGTCTGATGCGGAGAGAGAAGGAAGTTGCCGACCTTGAAAAGACTTTGCGAAAGCGTGAAGAGACTGCCGCTCAGAAGGCTAGAGAGGTGGAACAAGCATACACTAAACTGGACAGAGAAAAGCAACAGATGAAGGCTGAGTTGGAAAATACCGTCAGACGAGAGTGGGAAGTCAAGGCTCGGCTAGAGATCGACCGTCAGGTGCAGAATGAATTGGAAAAACTCCGAAAGCGATTCGACTTCGAGGTTCAGGAAAGGGTTGCACTAGAGATCGAGAAGCAAAAGAAGAGCGGTGCTTTCAAGGAGGATAGCAATTCCCGGTCAAACAGCCAACAATCCCAGCCATCCAGCAGCAATGAGGATGCCAGTAACCCGCCGAGCGCCGATATCACCCAATTGTCGCTCGAATCTCCCGCTCCCAGCAAGGCCCCGCGGAAGGAAACACGCACCCCATTGACTCGATCGAAGACCGTGGTCGAGTCACCAATGGATGTCCAGATGGCCGAGCCCTCACCCATCTCAATTGCATCGCTTTCCTTGTCTCCCCGTCGCACATCTGGAACACACTCCGGCAAGAACATTTTCGCCGAAGCCGACAGACAGCGAGCGAAGTGGGAACCCACCTTAGCGTACTCCGATGATGAGGACGATATTCCCGATCTGCCCTCCCCAACTCGCCCCAAGGTCAAGCCAGACCCGTTCAAAGCCCCTTCACGACCACTCCTGCGACAGAACACGGCTGCATTCATGCAGAAGCTAAGCACTCAACCGCCTATCTTCCCCACGAACGCTTCCAGACTACCACAGGTGTCAGGTGGCCTCTCTGACATGCTTCCTAGAGAGAGCAAGCCCCGGTCACCTCATCGGCGTTTGTCCAAAATCCCATCTTCAGCGAATCTGGCTGCCGATGCTGGCTCACCCACACGCAAGTCTGGCGTCAAGCAACTGCCCTCCAAAACCAACAACGGCGGTGAGGACATTTACAAGGCCGTGATGCAGCGCAACATGGGGGGAAGGACGTTGGTTGAACTGGCGCAGGCGCGCGCGGGTGGCCGTCCCGTTGATGAGATCAAGCGATGTGCCAGCGACTCACGGGGCTTGAAATCCAGTGCGCGAGACCCCCCGGCCGTGTGGGATCCCGAAAAAGACGAGATGCCCAGCCCATTCTTGGTCCGGGGAAGAAAGATCATTCGCAATTTGAGGTAGCTACTATCGCACAAGGATAACGCCATGCCTTGACACGGCCCATACACATTGAGTGTCAGCAATCTTGTCTTTCAGTTCCGCCGGTTGACCCGGTTATTCTTATGACATAGACGCCTTTTTGGGTATCTACTGTTGACACCTCATCGTCAATATACCATTTAATAATTCAAGACATACTTGGGAGTTATACGGCTTGGGTGGATTGAATATTCTCGAACCGGAGTTTGACCGTGCGAGACATGGTGGAAGCTTCGATGATGCATTTTTTGGTGCGCTGCATCTTGACTTTCAAAGCTTGATCGTCATATGAAGACGCAACACCCTCTACTTTCCTTTGTTTCTCTAATGCCGTGACGAAGTCCCTCAATCCCCTCAAAATGTCCCCTTTCCCCTCCCCCCAAATTCTCCCCCCAAATTTTTGTCTCTTTTCCCCCACTCACATTGCACACTGTACAGATAGTGACTGCATCTGTCCATATCCAGCTCGTCTGGTGGTTTCTGGTTACATTCTCCATGCCATGACATTGCCCCATCCCCCTCGATTTCCCCCTTTCGACTTCTCTGCGATGCACATCCCGAAAAGTCAGTACACTCGTTTGACACCTGTACATTTCCTATCTCTTTCGTCTATGCATTTGTGGTGCTCTACGGTTGGTGTTGATCTGGTGATCCTTGGGCTCTGTGGTTCTTTCGGAAATTTGCTCTCAAAGGGAGTTGTACATACATACATACACACACATTCTGTTTCTCGTTCATAAGGTCCTGCGCTAGATTGGATGATCAATAAATCTGCGATCTACGGTTCCAGTATCCTTCAACCTACGAATTCCAAGAAGTAGAGTTGCGACTTTTGGTAAAGGAAAGGAGAGAGAGCGCGAAATACGGGTACGTGGATAAGGCGCTGACTGATCAACAGTCCTCTTCCCATCCCCTCCCCCTCCTCCGTATAGTTAATCCCCTTTGGCCCCGAAATAATTGTCCTGGATATTCATTAATCTTGATTCATTAGGATCTATGCCTCCTCATCTTCAACTTCTTCGATTTGAACTGATCGAAGCTCCTGGTTGAACCTCCTTTCCTCCTCTTCTAACATTCGCCTTTGGGCATCGTCGTCTGTCGTTTCTGGTTGACCTACGGCCTCTGCTGCCTCTGCTACCCCTGCTTGGCCCATTTCTGCCTTGTAACCTGCTTGCTCTAGCCGGTCCATCTCTTCCGGCTCCAAGAGTTTACCCTGCCCTCGTATAGAATCCTGCTTAGCTCTGACGGCAGCGGGAATGAATTTGTTGATGGCCTCCTGTCGCAGGTCTCGGATCTGCGGCTTAGCCTCATAGACTGCCTTAGCTTCGACAACGGGGGGTTTTGCAGGAAGAGCATGTGGTCCTCGTGTACCCTGGGCCTGGTCGCCGCCTGGTCTTCTCTGGAACTGGCGCGGAATCGGCGGGGGTGTATCCCGAGGCATGGGTATCCTTCGCACCTCCTCATCTGTCTCGTCGCTACTCTCACTATCCCGATCATGCCGTCCAAAGCGCCCGCCGCCGCCACTACCACCACCACCATCCCTCCTGCGCTTCCCTAAAACGCCTCCATCGTCACCGTCTCGGTCTCCGCCGCTTCTAGACCCGAAGCTCGCGAATTTGGGAGCCTTATCTCCCAGTGCTTCTCGAGCCTTGAGCACCGCGCGATGATCTCGTTCGAGGGCTTCGAGCAACTGTTGATCACGTGGCCGCAGCTTTTGTCCCGATGCCTCTATGGACTTGATCTCATCAATCTGGCGCTGGATGCGCTCCGGGTTGCGACGGGCTAGTTTCTCATTCCGGCGGGCCAACGCTTCGGCCTTGCCCTTCTTGAGGCTCTTCTGCTTATCTAGTTTCCGCTGCGCCGCGGCAGGGTTCATGGTGCGCTCTTTATCTTTCGGCATTGTATATTTTTTTCTGAATATTAGATCTGCGAGGATGGGCCTGAGTTCCGCTGATAGTATGCAGGCACTGACTCGACTTGAACTCAAGTCTCGAGTTTGGGGGGGGGCTTGAGTCTGTGTGCAGCTGGCTAGACGTGGGGTGAACTCGGATTCGCTCAGTCTATTGAGCAGGATACATGATCAATTAGCCATTGTTACAACGATACAGGTCGCCGATAATCCTGCGCTGACAGTAGAGGGGGGAAAGGCGCGGGCTGGGCCGGGGGAGCATAAGAGAACGTATGCATATGTGTGTATGTATGACGAACTCCGGAATGTGCGTGGCCAGAAGGGAAAGAGCAATAGCTTCCTGCAGCAGCCCAGAATGGCATAGAAAAAAGAGGGGGGGGGGGATTGAAGATTGCTCACAGGCTGATGACAAAAAAAAAGGCTGCATGAGCAAGCCTAACCACGGGAGTAGCGGATTCGCGAAGCCGCAGATGTAGCTGCGGAATCTTGGCTAAGACCAATGAACGTCGCGCGGGCGCACCGTTCTAGCCTCACAGGTTGGGCAGCGTGCGATGGCTGTTGAATTTAGATTGAGTAAGCGAGTGGGTTGAAGATGACCCGTTTGATTTGAAGGGAGGTCGCAAGGTAGTGAGGTTGATGGCGGCTGGAGAAGCGCAGGGTGCGGCAATCTGGGCGCCTTGGTTGGTGAGAGAGAGGGTTGAACGGCAGATCAGGGTCGGTAGGTGAACGGATTCGAGGCGGCTAGAGATTGAGGTGGGAGAGAAATTAATGGAAATTGGATTGCATGCAGAAGAGCAGCAGACGGTGACAGCAAAAGATGATTATGAAGAAGTAGGAAGCTAGAGAAGTAGAAGTACGGAGTACGGAGTAGAGGAGCGTTCAAGGTTGAAGGAACGAACCGATGGAAATTGCGGGCGGGCGACATGACGGTTGCCCAATTGGGAAGCCTCCGGAGCGGCGGGCGGGCTTCATCTCTCATCCTCACAATAATGAATGAGCAGCCTTCGCAATCGCATTCCAAGTTTTGCTTGACTGCTTCGTTTCCTACCAAGGGAGGACGACTCTGGCTAGATCCAGAGCTTCTGTCTCCTAACCGAAAAAGAATCTTACCGTTGTAAATTGTTGTGTCGTCCCAGAACTCTCTCTTCTCGTACTCCCCCAAGTCTGCTAACAAGCAGCTGTCGTTCCTATACTCCTAGACGGTTACACCACCGGCGGCCGGATCGCATCCTGTTTTCAGCCTTAATCACACGGTCCTCTCCTGAAGAACGGAACCTGAATGAAGGCAAGGATAGCCACTCGATCGACCTTTTTGAAGCATCAAGCCTGGCCTTGTCTCCTTCTTTATACGCATTGATTGTAACAATTTGCGTGCATGTTGGTTGCTGCCATCCGTTCTGTCGCGCTCTCCCCTCACCCCTCCTTACTCTGCCTGGACGCCGGCGACCACCACGATCACCGACACTCTTCATCATCCTCTTCCCTTCTGTCGCCCTACACAAATTGGTCACTTGGGGCTAATCCCGTTCCCCTTCCCTTGAAGGAACTTGCGTTAGCCTTGACTTCGTGGAGATCAGACCCAGTTCGCCGTCGGTCTCCTCCCAGTGTAACCCCCCGACCGACTCACGAGGGCCGCTATTCTTCGTTCCTTTTTCTTTGCCGCCTACAAATTAGTAGGCTGATCTCTTCCCCTACCCAGCTCCCTTCGGTGGCCTCCAATGACACCGTAGGACGCTCAAGGAGCAATTAGGCCGCCCTGGGGCAGAGGCATACTTCACCACCATTGACCTGCTCTCGGCCAAATTCCCTCTACCCAGCAGGTGATTTCCCTCGCCGCGCCTACCCACTACCTCGTTTCGCAGCCGCACCGTTCTCTAAGCTTCAGCCACTACGCTCCTTCGTGGTCTTTTCCCTTACCTACTCCGGTTCTCATCATGAACTGCGGTCCGTTCTACATTCACACTACGAGATCAACTGGCGCTTCCTAAAACATTGTCGCGGTAGGAGCATGTCTCTGCCGGGACCAAATGTCCGTATCAGCATCGATTCCCGACACTTCGCTTGGCCTTACCTCCTCCGAGATCCAGATCCTAAGACAGCAACAACAAATTGCACTTCAAGGCAGCCATGGCGCCAATGGCATTTCCAGAGGCAGGGGGACCGGACGCACCAGCAATTCCAGTTCGCGCGCCGCCAGTGCCGCCAGCAGTCAGGGTCGTTTGCTTCTGGACCCTTTGAGTTTACGAGCGCTTTCGCAGCAGCTGGATGCCTTACAGCAACAAATTCGGAGTCGCATTGACTATGTATGTTTGACAACCCCTACAACGTGCAATCATGCATGTTTGAGTATCTCTCCTTCCCCTCGGATGACCAGTTTGCACTCGCTTTCCTGCCGCCTGAATACAATCTGCAGCTGGTGGAAGACGTTACGTACCACACATGCGCGCATATATCCTAATAGCTCTCAAACATCTCGGTTGCTAATTTGCAATAGCTCGAGGAACAAATGCAGCTATCAATTCAGAACAGCTACGATCGTGCTGGAAATGTTGTACGCAATGCCGATGCTGAAATCGCCCGCACACGTTCCATTCTGGCCTCCATAGATGAGCTGGAAACCGAGCTTGCCAAGATCGGTCACATAAGAGAAATTGTGAAAGCATACCGTGGCCGCATAGAAGGTCTTGACCAACGCCTGGACCAAGCTGCCCGTCGGAGGCATTGAGACACGCCAATCTACCCTATTCGCTTCAAATAGTACCATCTTCTTCTACATCTCGGTCTATGAAACGCCGCTTTTCGCCTATGGCACCAATTTGTCGTCATCCCCTTCATCTACTCTATTTCCTTTTCATACGGCCGAGGGACAGTCCTTTTCCCACCATGCTCACTCCTCTAATCCTTTGCGCTTCAGTAGCCACGAGAGAAATCGTTCAATCCACTGCAAACCTCCGGGGCAATCTTGCCAAGAAGCCTCTCAAACCTGAGAAAACTCAAACGAAAGCCCGGAGACATCGACATTTAAACTTTTTAGCGCCCACCCTCGCGCATCGCCACAAAAAACTGCAAACCATAAATCGATATTGTCCTCACGGACTCAATGACATGACTTTACAACTCTGCACAACTAGCACAGCGTTCTATATGCTTACTTTGATTCCAATCATGGTTGAACCATGAGTCTATGGGAGGAATTAGTTTCTCTTTTGGTTATGTATTCGGAGAGGACTATTGACTAGAGATTTGGATGTTCGCCACGCGGCGATTTTGAATTCGAGATGATCGAGCTTGACAGGAACAAGCATGGCGTTATTGGCATATGAACTCTACTTTTTACTTGGCTACCACTGGAGCTTGTCTCCTGATTTATGATTCACGCCTCCCAATCCACGAATCTGATGACCCGGCTGTCTGTTCCATCATGATGCGATTCCCCGGTATGCATTTATATTTATTTTACATGACGTCTTTTGATTTTCATATTGTCTTCGCTTTTAGCTCTGGAACTCACGGTGCGGTGGCACCCTACATCAATGGACCTTTTCCACTGGTGTCGGTGAAATATAGGCACATGTAATTTTAATGCCTCGGTCAGAATGAACCCGGCAGATGATTAGCACTGCGACTTGCAAGACCCGAGAAAGCCGGTGCTGTGAGGGACGATTGCAGGTAATGGTGTTATTTGCAAATCCCTTCATGTCGTGTTGGCCGGAGCACTTCTGTTAGAGCCAAGCAAAGAAACTCTGCTCAATGTGTATGACTCAATGTATGCCAGTTGTACCGATACAGCAGGCATGACGGCTCACGGCGAAAGATTCGGCGAGATCCCGAGGATTGAGCCTGGCTTAAAACCGACGACGTCCTGCCATAGCTCTTAAGGGCTATCCTGCAAGATCTTTCAACGATCATATGCTGATTGGAAGCAATACGAGACAACGGCTTCGATGAAAATCCTTGTAGCGTGGGTAGTATCTTTAAGAGCCTGCACTGTTCTGATTGTCTTGCTTCTCTTGCCCTTGTTCTTGCCGACGATCAGTCAGCTTCTTGCTGCGCTTCTCTGTTTGAGGGAAACGCTTCTCTGTCCCGCAAGTAGAGCAACGAATGACCAAGAGTTCAGCCCATGGCTTTCTGCGGCTGCGGCTGGGATTCCTCTTTTCGCGCGTACAAGTTACTCCAGGAAGTAGAAGCGTATCACATCGCTTGCAGAAAGATCTCTTCATGTCAACCGGTAGGCGAAGTTGCGTTTTCAGAGATACGCCGCGCATTTGCGACAGGTAGTTCCGAGAAAGCTGAGGTAGCTGGCCCGTCGCCGCGTTCTGCCCATCCAGGGTCGTGGTCTCGCTCGCAGAATCTTCAGAGGGAGAAATGAGTGGCACTATACGTGTCGAGACACTTGGCTTCTGGTCTTCTGTCTCATCTGTGGAGTCACCGACATGACGAGCGCTGGACTGGGCTTGCAGGAAAGTAGCCGCTTTGTATAGATAGTCAATGCGCGCGCGTATATGGCTGTTGACACCTCCTGCAGAATCTTTCTTGCCTTTGGACTTCCCTTTTACCATTGCGATGATTGGCCGGGGACCAGACTTTTTCAATGATTGTGTTGACAACAGTCGTACTGGAGGATGTGGAGAGAATAATAGTGGTTGAGGAAGCTTTCCTTCACTATGGATCCATGATAAGCTAACCGAAAGCGGTCGCCGGGCCCCGGACCAACCATGACTAATTGACTTTTTCACGTGATCGAGCTGTCTAGGCTCAGCCGCTCCATCCCTTCGCGCGGCGAATGTCCTTCCCTCCATCTCCATCGCCTTCCTTCGCGCCAACCAACCTGCCATCACCCTCAATCTATCTCACAGCATCAGCGAGGGCATCTCACGTACTACTCAGAACATAGATCTACCTATTTCCACCGGTTCAACCCCGCTTTTACGACCACATCGGACTTAGGCTTCTCTGCCTTGGTAAAGCAACGCGCTCCAACAGACAGAGTTTTCCCCATCTAGATCACCTTTTATCTTTCCACAAACCATCAACATGTCTCACGAGGAGGATCTCATCGACTACTCCGACGAGGAGCTTCCCACCACCGACGCGGCCGCGACCACCGCTGCTCCCGCCGCCAATGGAGAGGCCAAGAAGGGCGATCTGACTGTTTCTGGCGGCCGCTCCGACAAGAAGGGCAGCTATGTCGGTATCCACTCGACCGGTTTCCGTGACTTCCTGCTGAAGGAAGAGCTTCTGCGTGCCATCACCGACTGCGGTTTCGAACATCCATCGGAGGGTTAGTCCATCATACGTATTCTTTCCCAAAAAACCAAAACCTCCCTCCATTGCTCCAAGTTTCAACGTCCGTCCGTCCGTCCATCTCCGCGGGAAGGAAAAGAGTTCCATAGTCGCTTCCGGGCATACATATTTCGTTCGAGCTTGTGGGCGGCATGAGGATGATGCGTGTTTCGGGTCATGAAAAAGACGAGCCCAACCCTGCTTGCAAGAGTAGAGAGCAATCTAGGTTTCTGCTTGTTGCTCTCCTTTGCTTGGCAAATTACGGCAAGACCGTGTTCAGCAAGATTCTCGGGACCTTATCTCGCCTGTGACCACTTGATATTACTATTCGAGTGGATGTGTTGAAAGGAGCCGCATCGCTTCTTCACTGTTTTCACATGATACTCGTCCTCTTGCCGCCTGCAGAGAGCTCTTGGAATTGGAGTCTGTATCGCTGGTGATTGGAATCATCGATTCATTGCTCCCTCGAGACTCTTTTTTGTCGTGTTTTGTGCTGGGTTGTCAGATTAACGTGTCATCCTTTATCTCGATACCTCGGGGATGGACGGACTTGCGACACGGATTGCTTTACTTTCATTTCAAGTCTCATACATCGAGTACAAGTCTAACATACGGTCTCGCCTATCACAGTCCAGCAAGTTTGCATTCCCACCGCCATCTTGAACGTCGATGTTCTGTGCCAGGCCAAGTCTGGTCTCGGTAAGACTGCAGTCTTCGTCCTCACCACATTGCACCAGCTGGAGCCTGTTCCGGGAGAGTGCTCGATCCTCGTTATGTGCCACACCCGTGAGTTGGCTTACCAGATCAAGAACGAGTATGCTCGTTTCAGCAAGTACCTTCCCGACGTCCGCACCGCCGTCTTCTACGGTGGTACTCCCATCCAGAAGGATCTCGAGGTTCTGGCGAACAAGGAGTCTTACCCCAACATTGTCGTCGGTACTCCCGGTCGTCTGAACGCTTTGGTCCGCGACAAGAAGCTGTCTCTGCGCAATGTCAAGGCTTTCGTTCTTGACGAGTGTGACAAGATGCTTGACCAGATTGGTGAGTTCTGTTTCATCCTGTGATCCATATGCATGCTAATCATACGTCATAGACATGCGCCGTGATGTCCAGGAGATCTTCCGTGCTACCCCCGCCGATAAGCAGGTTATGATGTTCAGTGCCACCCTCTCTCAGGAGATCCGGCCCGTCTGCAAGAAGTTCATGCGCAACCCTCTCGAGGTCTACGTCGACGATGACACCAAGCTCACCCTTCACGGTCTTCAGCAATACTACATCAAGCTCAGCGAGGCGGAGAAGAACCGTAAGCTGAACGACCTTTTGGATAGCTTGGAGTTCAACCAGGTTATTATCTTCGTCAAGAGCACGCTCCGTGCTCAAGAGCTCGACAAGCTGTTGCGCGAGTGCAACTTCCCCAGTATCGCAGTTCACTCCGGAGTGAGCCAGGAGGAGCGGTAAGTCCGCCTCAGCAGGAGATCAGGGGGAAGGTTACTAACATTCTGTAGTATCAAACGCTACAAAGAGTTCAAGGAGTTCAACAAGCGTATCTGTGTTGCGACTGACGTTTTCGGTCGTGGTATCGATATTGAGCGTATCAACCTCGCTATCAACTACGATTTGCCCGGTGATGCCGACTCCTATCTCCACCGTGTCGGTCGTGCTGGTCGTTTCGGTACGAAGGGTCTGTCCATCTCCTTTGTCAGCACTGAGGACGACGAGAAGGTTCTCAAGGACATTGAGAAGCGCTTCGAAGTTGCCCTTCCGTAAGTTCTTAATCCATCTATCCTTGCAATATAGACTAACAAGGACTTTTAGCGAATACCCCGAGGGCGGTGTTGACTCCAGCACCTACATGGCTTAGACCAGTGGTGGTTGAAGCCACGGGCCGTTGAATACGATCAAGCTATTTCCTTTATATCTCGTCGTTAGTTTTTATTATTTCCTTTTGGCGTGATGGTTCGGTTACATTTTCCTCGCTCTTCGGCGAGGCACTGGTTGGATTATGCCGGGAAACACCAGAGACATCTAGGCAGAAAAGCATACTGAGTCATAAGCAAGCAACTACCGGATACCAGTGCCTTTTAGCATGACAGCTGTATCATCAATGTATGTTTGAGTGGGAAGTTCCAGCACGTAGATCAGGAGATCGGCGCGTCTTATGAGTCGTTCAATAACGTAACATCGACGCAACAACTCGGAAGCCTATTTCTGATAAGCAAGAAGAATCTCCGCCAGTGCTCCTTTAAGGTAAAAAAAAGGTAATTGACCTTGGGCGAGTGAGTTATCGATAAGCCGCCCGCCTGCCCCTGTGATTCATGGAAATAATGACGCAACACGAGGAAACGGCCCCTCCTGCTCATGGTACTCCCCCCACTTGAATTGCAGAGAACACGAGAGTGAGTTTGAAGTGATTGATTATATTCCGTGCCTTTCCTCATCTGACTTGCCTTTTTTCCATACACACACACACACACTCTCTCTCTCTCTCTCTCTCTCTCTCTCCCCCTCTTTCACTCAAATCCCCTCTCCCCTCAATTCGAAACCATGAGCCCCCGGTGCTTCATCATCCGCCACGGCGAGACCGAATGGTCCCTCAACGGCCGCCACACGGGCACCACCGACCTGCCCCTCACCGCGAACGGGGAGAAACGCATCAAAGCCACCGGCAAGGCCCTGGTGGGGAATGACCGATTGATCGCGCCGCGGAAGGTCGTCCATGTGTATGTTTTCCCCCTTCCCAGTTTCTCCAGCCGTGCACGCAGAAGTGTTGTGTTGTTGTTGTCGCTGTTTGTTTCCGGGACATCCGGATTCCAAACCTCCACGATACTGTGCGTTGCGCAGCGAGTATACCCACACCCACACACACAAAGTCATGAAAGACAAGACTAACACGGAACCCCCGTGGGCGAGGTGGGGTGAATAGATACGTCTCGCCGCGAGCCCGCGCGCAACGGACGCTCGAACTGCTCGAGATCGGGTGCAAGGAGCGGCTGCCGTGGACGGCGGCGCGCAAGCCCGAGGCGGAGGAGCCGATTCGCACGGAGGCGCGGGTGGAGGTGACGGAGGCGGTGCGCGAGTGGGACTACGGCGACTACGAGGGGTTGACGAGCCAGCAGATCCGGGAGGTGCGGGCGCGGAACGGGGAAGGGAGCTGGGATATTTGGCGCGATGGGTGTCCCGGGGGAGAGTATGTTCTGTCCCCGCTTGTGCCTTAGTGGAAAACAAAAAAGAAAGAAAGAAAGAAAGATTGGATTGGGGGGTTCCTATTGGTGGCCATGCTGAGTTGCTGAAGGATTATCCTGTGTGTATGTGTGTGTGTGTGTCTGCTAACAAGAGCGCGATGAACCCAGATCTCCCGAAGACGTGATCAAGCGGCTCGACGCCCTCATCGCCGAGATCCGCGCCAAATACCACGGCCCGTGTTTCGAGTCCGAGTCCGCCAAGGGGGATGTCCTGATCGTGGCGCATGGACATATCCTGCGGGCGTTTGCGATGCGGTGGACGGGCAAGCCGTTGACGGAGACGGCGTTGATTTTGGAGGCTGGTGGTGTGGGCACGTTGAGGTAGGTCTTCTTGCCCCAGCTTTTCCCCTGCTTCTCGTCCCTCTTGCTCTGTGTCAAGTGCAGTCGAACTAACCTCCCCCGAAAAAAAAACAACAGTTACGAGCACCACAGCATCGATGAGCCCGCAATCATCCTGGGTGGAGGGTTCGTGGTCGACTCCTGATTTCCATCCTTATTTTCGAATCCTGCTTTCCTCGAACCAGACACGGTAGGAAGTAGCGTATGATGGAAAGTTGGTAGACCGCCAGATAGCGTTGTACTGGCAGTGGCGATGGGTGGTGATGGTGATGGTGACAACGGGGAATGAAGCGTCCCCATTGACGATCAAAGAGAGCAATAGGATCAACCTCCAACATAAATAGCCGTTAGCAACATATCCAATAAATAGATTGAGCCATAGATCCCAAGAGAGAAAAAAAAAACCCACATTGATGGTCCCCGAAGAATAACCCAAAGCATTACCCCCTCCCTCCCTCCCTCTCTCTTTCTCTACCAAAGTCCTAAACTCCTCATTCACTGTCACTCTCGCCCCCAGCCCCAGCAGAACCAGCCCCAGCAGCATCAGCAGAACCAGAGCCAGAGCCAGAACCACCACCTTCAGTCTTGATAATCCCCTCCTCACCCAACACCTTCGCCGACCCCATAAACAGGGCCCCGACATATCCCCCCAGGAAGCGCATGTCCTCCGCCTGGACGGCCGTCATGCGCACCAGGTTCTCCGTGTCGCGGAGGTGGCTGTTCAGCTGCGCCAGCTGCGCGTGCAGGTTGGCGTACTGCCGGGTTTTGGCCATGGACATGCTGGTAGTGCTGCTGCTGCTGCTGCTGCCGCTGCCGCCGCCGCCGTAGCCCATGGAAGGAGCCGCCGAGGAGGGAAGGATGGAATGGCGGGGCATGTGATGGGAGTGGCTTTGGCTGTGGGTGTATTGGTGGGAAGGAGGCATGGCTGTCTACGTTTTTCGCTCGATATAAATTGAAACTCGTGTGTTGGCAAAGGCGGTAGCTGGCGAGGAGATCGGGTCCGTGGTTTAGTTGTGGTTGAGGTTGAGGGCTCGCCGTTTGTTGACATCTACGGTTCGGATCACGTGCAAGCGTCACTGCGAAGATCCCCCCGAAAGCTTTACACCTTACACCGACTACCATTGCAATAAATTGTTCCGATCGAAGTTGGTTCATTGTTGAGGACATGGTTCTTTCTAATCAAATGAACAGTTGCCGTGCCATCTGACGGCCTGGTGGCTTTCACTATTACTCTGCATGAACATGAACCCAGCCAAATCAAACACAGCAATCACCCGAATAAATGATGGACCCCCTGCTCTTTTTATGCGCCAGAAACCAGACCACGATGAAATAAAACGGCAGGGCTGCATAGGAACATTAAAAAAGACAATGTTTAGGAAATGCAAAGGAGGGCATGCATGTCAGACTGACTTGGATGAGATAAGGAAAAGAATCAGGCAGAGATAATAAAATCAAGAAGACGACGGAACCACATGTATGAACTCGACAAAATCATGCGCCGACTCGCATAGTGTACAACAATTTGTCATGCAGAAGCAGAATGTATGATCAGTACTGGAGAATGAACGTCCGTGGTATAGCTGCGAAAAGTAAAAAAAAGAAAAACGTATTTATCGCTCGAGCGGAGGCCCGTCAGCATGGGAATCAGGAATTGCTGCGGAGGTGATTGAGGCAAGAGATGTGGGTGAAAGAGATGGTCACCCCCACAAGCAACACGTGCGCAACAGCGCCCGCTCAACCAAAGGAGAAATTCAGGAAGAACCTTAAGTCCGTTGCATATATGTGAACAATTGAACAGAACCGGAGGACGACACAGGATGCGGTTCAATCCTCTTTATTTTTGGTGCCGAGCTTCTCATTAAAAGTATATCCTTTATAAGAGGCAAAAAGCAACCTGGATGAATTCCCCTTCACGGCAATCCAGTACAGGCGGAGAAAGAGGAAGTATAGTGGACACGGCAAGCATGCGCACAGTCAACAGGGTTCAACGTGCTCAGCTGCCGGCGAGGGGAGGGCTGGAGGGGAAACGGTTTCTTGGCTTTCAACGGACAGGCGCCGCAGCTTGCTGCGCGCCGAGGCTGATCTGGCTGCTGTGGGCTGAATTCTCGGAATCGAGGTTCGCACTGGCGCCGCTATCACCACTCCCCGCGCTGGCGCTCGCACTTCCAGTCAGACTTCTATCCTTTGGGGTGCCCTTGGTGGGATACGAATTGCTCACCCCAATTTGTTGCTCAACTTGTTGCGGGCCTACCGCATTACCATGGCCTGGGGGATACCTGGGAACAGGTGCCCGCATGTGTCCCGGAGGAGACGGATGACCGCCGTTCGGGGGCCCATGAGGAGGGCCAAAGTGTTGATCCTGAGCAGTGGCCGGACGGCCCATGCGAGGACCAGGCGGACCACCGTAAGGAGTCGCCGGCGAATGGCTGTTTCTCCTACTGTGTGGGTAGGGGTGCGGGGGATAGTCGCCCATGCGACTCGTGGTCATGGAGTTGGTACGTGAACCTGCAGCCATCTGGTTTCTATCAACAGCGCCGTATCGGTTTGACGAGTAAGCCATCATGGGGTTATCCAAGAGGGAATCATGGAGTCCCGGAATTTCCTGCATGATGCGGTCACTGGCACGTTTTCTTCCTCCCCCAAAGTAGCGGCTGAATGTACCCGACCGACCGCCGCCGCCGCCGCCGTTGGACAGAAGCTCAGGGTTCTTGCGTATTTGGCTGGCACTCGGAAATTTCTTGGCTCTTCGCGACGTGATGCTCAGCATATCCACATTGTCCGGGTCGATGTTTGGGACCAGACTGGTATCCATGGGATCGAAATAATCATCCTCGTCTTCCTCATCGAAAGTGGCCCTAGAGGGGGCATTCCTGCGGGGCGGTCCCCGCCTCATGCTCATTTCTTGTTCCCGAAGCTGCAACTCGCGCTGCCGCAAAGCCAACTCTCGTTCTCTCAAGGACAGGTCAGCAGTCGACTGCGAGTGGGCAGGACCAGGAGGGACGTCGGGATAACCGTTAGGGTTCCGGGGAGGAGGCCCAGCTTCACCAGCGTCATCATAGACAACTAGGTGGCTGAATTCCTCCAGCCCCTCCAGAGACGGCTCACGAGGAGGCATTCTGGCAGAAGGAGGCGGAGGTTGTGTGCTTGGGGGTCGTGACATTCCGGGCATGAGTGGTCCACGTCTAGGAGGGGGCATCATCATTGCAGAGCTTGACCTTCCAGGAGGCGGGCGCATGGGAGGACCATTCCTCGGTGGGGGAGCTGAGGACATCCGGGTGGGTTGGGGGGGCGGAGCTTGGACAGACGGGGTAGGCGATTCGCGAGGTTTGCTTAGATTAGTGGTATTAACGTGGTGCAAAATAGCGTAGATGGTTTCGATTCGGGGCAGGCGGATATTGAGTTCTGTTGCCAGCTTGATTGGGGATCCGAGGTACGTCTCGATCTCCATAGGACGACGAGCCTGGAAATCCTGATACATAGTGTTGGGAGGCTGAGACGCGGCCATCGCATCCATTGTCTTCTGAGGAAAGTCGCTTGGGAAAGAGCAGCCATGCGCTTTGGCCAAACCAATGAGCTCGTCAATCACATCGGTAACCAATTGCCGTACTCCGACCTTCTGCAGGAGTTCTGTTACGTTTCCGTTGTCAAACATGACACTTGTTGGGTAAAACGCAATAGGCCTGGATGGTGGCTGATTAGTGTCATAGACTCGAAGGAAGGATAACTCGGAATATTCACCCTATGATACGCTCGAATTGCTCTTGTCTGATGTTGTTCGACACTTTGCAGTCCACTTGACCGGAGCTCAAGGTCATCGCCAAGGCGGCCGCCATGTCGGATTGCATAGCCGATGGAAGGGTCGAATTGTTGTTGGTAGCCCCGACCCAGATATTCGACGAGTTCAAATGCTCAAACTCGCTGGGCCCTATCTGCGAGATCTCCACACCAGAAACGAGCGAGAGGACCACATTCGTGGGGAATCGTTGTTCAAGGTGTGATTCGACGCCAAGGGTGTTGGTGGTATTGAGCAGAATGCAGGTATGTTGAGGGGTAACCACGGATTCAATGACTGCTGCCAGGTCGTAGACATCGGGCAAGGCCTTCACGCAAAGAATAACATAGTCATATGCATTCTCTCGTGATGCCGCCTCTTCCGGTGAACGTACCACTGTAGAATGGCCGATGTCAGCTGACCAGCACAACCGCTTGCGGTAATCAGACACGAAAAAGAAAAGATAACATACCGTGACGAGGTTTGAATCTCTCATTGCCGAATGCTTTCGACCTATTTGTCAATTGTTAGATGCCTTCTGCGTTGTGTAGTATAGCCAGAGAGACAAACTTGAAAGACACTCCGTATTGCGAAACCGCCTCAAACCCCGATTTCCAGACTAGCGTTACGTCGCAGGAGGTGGACGCCTGGAGCCTCCAGGAAAGAAAAGCTGAGATAGCGTTGCTGCCGACTACACAGACTCGTGTTAGACGACGACCCATATTGAGATTGGCGATCGAAGCAGTTGGAGAAGAGAAATCATTGAAGGGGGTGGCAGCGTGAGGCTGATCCAGAGCACAAGACGGAGGGATCCCGTCCGTCCTGGCTGAATCTGATACCGGCGAAGACTGAGAGACTAACCTGACAAAACGCGCAGGCGCGGTGGAGGAGCCATGGTGACCGATCAAAATTGGAAAGAAGCGTTCCCACCAGCCGAGATGGTGGAAAAAAAAGGGAACCGTGGGTTATCGCCTAACTGCGAGTCGGACCAAAGTCGCCAAAGATCACGGCTGGGATGCGCGATTGACGTAGGCTGCCACCGAACGAAGGAACGCAGCGCGATCGCCGAAACTAGGATTATCGATTCGATTCGAATGCTGGACACACGCGATAGGCGCCAAGTGTAAGATAGTGAAAGTAAGGGGAATCACAGAAGGAAAATTTCGCGAAAATCAACACAGAAAAAGTAAAGGATTCCAACCAAGACAAACGAAAGGAGGTGGTGATGATCGTATCGAGGGAGAGGGAGGGAGGGAGCGTGAGGGAGAGTTAAAAAAACAATTTTGGCGGAACGAGAGGAAAAGAGAGAGAGAGAGAGAGAGAGCGAGAGAAAGAGAGGGGTGAGGGAGGAGAGAGAGAGAGGGAGGGTGGGTGAGGAGAAAGAAGGAAGGATAGTTAGTGAAAGGGGAAGAAGATAGCAGCAATCAGAGAGGTTGAAGGAGAAAAGAAGAGATTCGGAATGGGAATAGGAATTATTGGGGATGGGGATAAGGTGTGGATTGGATGGTTTGGCTGTGTTCGCAGTAGCAGCAGTAGCAGCAGTAGCAGCAGTAGCAGCAGTAGCAGCACCAGCACCAGCAAAGCACCAGCAATCAGCATCAGCAACCAACACCAGCAAAGATGAACCGGGAGCTCGATTCAGTTCAGTTCAGTCAGCTTTGGGCGGATGGACAGCCCAAATGGGAGAGCTGATGGAGCCGTACGTATCTTTTTCCCCCTCCACTGTAATAATAATAATAATAATAATAATAATAATTTTTTTTAACTTTTTTGGTTTACTTTTTTTTCTCTTCTCTTACCTGGTTTGCTTGTTCACCCATAAACCTCTAACGGTCGTCGTGGATCCCCCGCCAGGGCTCGATCCGGAAACGGAGGCAGGAAAGAAAGAAAAGATTGACTGTCGACGGAGAGAGTAAGGAGGGGAAAGGAGAAAGACGGAAACAAAAGAGCTGCAAGCGACAATCAAATGGCGAGAGAAGGGTGTGTGTAAGTAGTTAACTTACCAGGTGTGTGTGACTGAGTAAGAAAGAATGTCTGCCTCCGGGGATGGGAAAGGATGACAAGGCGTGATGAGGACCCCCCAGAGAGAGAGAGAGAGAGAAAGAGGCAGACAATAACACTGATGTCCTGAAATTGGCCGCATGCTAAGAATACTACTTAGTGAACTCCGGAGCACTGCCTTTGTTGCTGAGTTACTGACACTAACTATGCTCATATGCTACGCCTGCTATGATAGTTACCTGCAGGCATGGAGTAAACAAGCCATGATCTGCCGTATGTCAATCACCACAACATTCAATGAAAGACGATTGTTCAAATTGCTCGGGGGGTCAAAGGGACTGAGTGCTCATCTATTGATAACCATTGACTGGAAACTCACTTGTATGGCAGTCCAACAGAAACCCATCATCTTTAGGCCACTGGGAACATTCACACAGGAGATGCTGATAAATGATGAGTAGTAGTTAGTTATTCTTCATCCAGACTTGTACGAACTAACCCGTTCAGAATATTGTCCACGCTACAGGCTTACTTCCGTCCTATCGTTCCCAATCAACAAACCGGTTTTTGTATGTTCGGTTCGCTTCTTCAGTACCTCTTGCGCTCTCCGGCCTGTTATCCTACTGCTAAATAGTTGGACATGTTCATTATTCGTTTGTATTTTGGCTAAGTCTGGTACTTGGGATATGCAATAAAACCACTCGATAGACTGGGGTGCTAAGAGTAGTTAGTAGTAGTCAGGCGACATTGTTTCCTCCTCCTACCCCCCGGCGACGAAAGCAGGCCAGCCCCCATGATATCTCTGATAAGCGTAGTCATCAATCCATTTCTCTCCATCTCGATATCATTCTTTTTTACCCCTGAATGTGAACCAGGGACGAGTCAATTCCCCCACCAGGCGTTCCATCCATGGAATTATCCTTCACCCACAGCAATTAGTGTCCACCGCTACTAAGTTGCGGACAGATCCACGTATGACCGCGCGCCGCCGACGACAGCGACGACGAGGACGAGCGACGACGATGACGATGACGACGGAAGAGCGGGGGCTGTTGAGGAACGAGGGCAAAGGGGGGGGGAAGAGGAGGCGGAAACAACGGGGTTCGATTCAAACGCACTGCCCGTCGAAATATCCTGATTATGCCATTGTTTGGTTGTTTGAGAGAATAAGATCGTACATAATTCTTTTTTAAGTGATTTAACAATCTTATTTTGATGAGACACGACAATCCACATCCACCCTGGGACCTCCTCAATGGTGGGTTTGGGGCCAACCATGATGCGACCAAGCGGTCATCGAAACCAGTGCAGCAGCCAGCAGCAGCAGCAGCAGCACAGCACATCCTCCCGTCATTCATAATCCACCCTGCCTGAAACCCACATCGCCGGTGGTGGTCGAGGTCAGGCCCGGGATTCGCCCGCTGCAATCGGCGACAGGGAGATTGGCCAGTTTATGATGACTAGACTACTAAGGCTCTTCGGTAGAGTGAGGGTACGTACTGGCTAGGCTGGCATCGGCTGCGGGTCCCTCCAACGATAGACTTGGAACAGCCAAAGGTGCGCCATTGCACCAGAACTGCGAAAACTACGAATGGGAAAAGCGGGTGTGCCTCCGTTGCGGTCGCAGGAAGTGGGCGGTTCTGAGTTTTATTTTCAGGCTCTTTGCGCCACTAACCCGGTTCTGGTAACAAGCTAGAAACCAAGGTAAAACAGGGAGGATTGAGGATCAATATATATCCAGCTGGATCCTCGATCTTCCTTCCTCCGTTGATTTCGCAGCCTGTATGAGGGGTGGATGGTTGGATGGATGGATGATTGGGATGGTGGGGGGGGGGGGGGGGTTCAACCATCACGATGCATGCATGCATTGCATAAAAGCACCCAACTATACTTCCCAAAAGACCCCTAAAATAAACTGTGACTACTACCTACTGTATGTCCGTAGCTGAGGGAAGCTGAAGATCTAGGCAATCAGGTGTAGCTACCCAAGACCAGTCAATGCTCAAAGCAAGCAACCACCTTCATTAGAGATCGTCGACCATCCTAAAATAGGTGACGGTACTTCCAGACCAGACCCTGGGTGCTGCCGATTATCCAAGCTCAACTGAGAAGTGGTACGAGATGGACCGACCCTCCATGCTTAAATCTCTCGACGAGAAGCTTCGACACTCATTCCCAGTGTATATGGACAGAAAGAGAGAGTGCGAAAGACCAATTCCGACCCTCAAGATCTCTCGGCTTGCAGCTCATCTCACAAAGAATTCATTTCTCCAGCAATACCATATAATCCATCCCCATCACTCCGGCGATACTAGCAAGTATTTGTTTTTTTTTTCTGAATGGATATTTACCTCATACTCTCTCAGGGGAATTTCGCCGCTGGAACAACCGGGAAGGGGGCGGCGGTGTTTGTCGAAGCCGGCATGCCACAGAATCTTCCCGCAGTAGGGATCGACAAAAAGTCCCATACCGAGCCCGGATCCGTAGGACCTTTTCTGTTTGCAGAACAATTTGGGGGAATGCCATCGAACGGCTGTCTCCGCGACCAGCAATGCTGCGTGTTGCACCTGATTAACACAGTACAATGGGGAACTTCGCCACTGGCTTTTGATCATTGACATGAAACCGTGTAGGAGAAAGTATGGATTGATAGAGTTATGGTCTCAGATTGACTTTTCTAAAGTGTATTAACTTGCCGGTTAACTCCGTCCGCCGGTTGCATTCATAAAACAACCCAGATACGCATAACATAATGAACGTGATGGTGGCTTGTTCTTGTTCAACATCGAATTCAAACCATTGAGGAGGGGTGATTGAGGGCGCAAAAAGAAAGGAATGCAGTAAGTTACCTAGGTCTGATTAGTTAGTTATTACATGCTGTACATCATTAGACACGCCTTATGTTCCGTCAATCATTTGAATGACCATGGCGCACTAAGTACTGAATTATGGCAATTACGGGGTACTATCCATCCATCCTTTTCGCATCGTTGTCAACCCCGCCATGCCATTACTTACGGAAGAGAGATAAATGATCGATAGCAATGCGCTGCATTAGACCTGGCATGTGTGAAATGCGCCAGAGTGCATGAGTCTCCGAGCCTTGAAGGCAAAGAGGGGAAAGGGAGTCTAGTATTCCGTACTTGTAGTCAACTAACTTCCTTGAAGTGGAACCCGCAGCGTCGACGGAAACCAAGGCATCTTTCTTAGCGTGAATCTAGCTCCTGCTAGCCGGGGCTCGTCGAGAGCTAGAACAAATCACATTGTTCGATTACCACAAGTTAGCGGCGTGTTTCTATCTATGGTACTGCCTCGATTGTAGTGGGTCTGGTACTTATCAAATCTTACTGGAACAAGGAAATCTCTTTCCCCCCCCCCCTCCCCCCTTCAGTTTCTTCTTTTTCAAGCAGGCAACTTGCTTTGGCCAAAACCTACGGAGTTAGGAAAAAGGGACACAAGAGATGGTGGTCGGATGAGATGCCAAGATTCCTCTCCCGGCCATCGCTATGCTTAAGTAACCTACCAAACTGTGCATCTGTCAGCATACGAAGGATTCCTGCCGACGGGTGCCTCACTCTCCGTTACTTGCACTGTAAGTTGAATGCCAGAATGGTTAGACGGTTGCAGGAAGAGGAACCTTTCGTCTCTCATTGGCAGACTCTCCTTGAATTGCATTCGGCCGTACAAAATCATCCCAAGATTCTCTTTTGCATTCTTAATCTCCGGTCCCTGAGATCGTGATCATTGCTGGTGGGCCGCAAGTGCCAACACATCATCATGGGTGTTGTTGACTTTCCCCTTCCGGTCTCGAACCACGGGCGTGGCGAATTATTCTAGAAGGTGATGTATTCCATTGCGCATTTTGGTTGCAATCCCCGGGACCCAGCTCGATCGAACCCAAGGTAATGTTCGACTACGAAAATACCACACATAGCCATCAACATCGGGTACAACAAACTCAATTGAACGACCTGTGCTTGAACCCGATTTACTAGAGCGAGATTTGAACCGCAATAGCTGCTCAAATCCGAGAAGTGCTGCCTACATGCAGACTATGCTAGCGCATGCGCTGTATGCAGTGACTATCCCGATAGTGTCTGGACGCCTGGAAGCCTGTTGCGTATGGTTCGGTAGACCGTGCGTTAGCAAGAGCATCCTACTGTATAACTGAAATAACCAATAAATCAGTCAACAATCCACTTTCTGTGAAGCTGATTACTTCCCAGTATGTATGACATTTCGCGACGGACCCCTTCTCATCCAGGCTGGACCACGTACAACACATGGGAAACCAGGGCCCATGCCCATGGCCATCACATTCAAAACCCAACTGAAAACAGTCGAACCACGGCATATCCGAGCCCGCCCCGCGATAGAGAGAGAAAAAGAGCCAAGGCCGGTCCAATGTGCAATGAACGGCCCAACCAGGAGAGGTTGTGGTCTGGGCTCAACCCCAACCAGATCATAGCACCTGCAGACTAAGAGCTCAGCTCGTTACAGAAGACGACGAACACATCCATGCAGAAGATTGGGGCCCATCCCCAATGCGGAACCCGCGCCAGAGCTTTGAAGTTTGAATGGCTGCGCCGATCCGATTTGTAGCCGCAACCGCAAAGCGTTGCCTAGTATCTATCACTCATGCTTATTCGGCCTTCGGGGGAGATATACAAAATTAGTCCGGGATGGCTGTCTCTTGTGCTGAGCTTGCTCTCCACTGGTGGCTTTGTATGCTGGACGTCAGCTGCTATTGTTACTCTGGTGTAGCTGTAGGGTTTCACACGATACATCGTTGCCATACGCTTTCCCCGTGAAATTGGGATAAGAACTAGAAAAGCAGTCGGGTGATGCGCTGGTACAGTACAGACATAAAATCGCACCCGCGAAGTCCCGCGTTTGACCTGTCATGTTACCTCTAGTGCCATGGTTGGACAAGGGTACCGAGTACTTTGAAGAGGGGCCTTGAAGTAGAGAATTTTGATGGCTGCGAGTACGGCTCGCGGATCTTCCACGGCATTGATGAACTCACTCGCCGGAATCAATGTATATTTAGCGGCTATTGCCCGCGCCGCATCTAAAGGCACAACGATGGGAGAAGATAAGGGAAGAGGCAGATAGAAGCGGATGCAGGCCAACCACTGAGTAGATAGGATTGACAATTGTGGCGTGATACGCAGTCTGCTAGTAAATTACTAGCATTCTAACTACCGCGTCAATTTTCGAGTTTAGACTAGCTCGAACGTGCAGACGTCATGATTGTGTCGCAAACCCCGCAAGACACGAGTACGCACACGAAGATCGACTGCGAAGCTCTCTCTCTGCCGGGGTCGCGGGAGGAGTCTTTGCTCGGGAGGGCTTTGACCACATTGCTCTGTGACAGAGCTCAATTCTTCATCAGTTGGTTCGTTTTTTCGAGTCTCTTGGCTGATGAAAGTTGTTTGTTCTCGTCGGGACGCTGGCGATCATGACACAACAGTAAAAAAACATCATCGCATCGCGTGGCACATGCTAAAGCAGAAAGCAAACTGCAAATTAGTCATCTGAGGTGAAGATAGTTAACTATGCCGTGTTCAGGGGTCAAATTTGAACAAACAAGATGTGGGCGATGATCTTGCCGAATGCGTTGATGGGGGGGGGGTATCCATGAGAGCAAATGAGAATCAATCAAAGTGAAGAGGTCTAGAAGGAGTTGACATGCTCGATCCCGGATTGTGGGTGGAGCCCGTCGGATCATGGATGCAACCAGCAGATGCTCGGCTGACTCAGCGGGAGAGATGCAACAAGGAATGCCGAACGATGGATGCCTCGTATTCCTGGCGGTTAAGGATTAACTCGGGCTGATTTGCACTGCATGACATTCCACTCGGCCAGTCCAGTTGAGTTTGTATAGCACGTACCGACATCATGCATGCATATATGCGAAGCCACCAAGTCAGCTTCGAAAGCAGCTCGTCAATTCGACTTGACTGTTGTGTCCCAATTCTGTAACGTGCGCAGATGGGAGAAAGTGCTGTATGAGGATGATCAAGTGAGGTTGGATCGATTAACTACTGAGCTAGTAGTTATGCATCGTCTTACTAAGCGAGTCACATTTCTTTATGCAGTGTCTACGAGGGGCAATATCTGATAGAACCCGACGGAGGGGCTTGAGCCGACAAGAAATTGTGATCGTGATATAGGCATATCTTGGCTTAGTCTCAGGTCCCAGCCATTCTTTACAAGTATGTACTATGTAGAATTCAAGTTCCCCAGGCCTCTGTGCGAATACACAGATGACTAATCAGTATTCAACGCAGAATTCTCCACATTTGATGGAAACCCATCTATCTGATAGCAGGAGAATACACAAGCGGTAGAGAGATCTTGATTAACCCAAAGCATCACAAGAACAAGCTTGTCTCTCGCGACCAGCCTTGTGTATACGGCAGCAGGCGAGGAGCAACAATGACTCGAACCTCGCGCAAGCCACCCCGAGACCCAGCTCAGCTCTCGGGGAAGCCGCTAGCAGAGACCCTAGAGCCATCACCCATCCTGCACAGCGAGACAGAAGACTGGACGACTTCTCGAGATCTCACCGAACATGGTCTGTTGTTTGTGCCCGAGGTGATGCAGGATCTGACCCTGTACCTGCTGGCCAACCCCAACGTCAACTCCAGCCACCTGTTCCGGGCCGATATCCTCTTCGACAGCGAGGGGATAATGCGCACTCCGCGGGAGAAGGCGCAGTCCTTCGCGCTCACTGGCAATGCCAATGCGGAGGCCCTCGCATCCACTGAGATTCTCGATGGCACAGAGGACGAGGTCGAGGTCGAGCCCACCCCCGCGCGCGATGTCCCCGGCTTCACCCTGACAAGGACCATCGTCCGACGCTTAGTACCCCGGAACCCTAAGCTGGACCGGACCCTGGACCAAACCTGTCACTTCTACGAGGCGGAGACGACGGCTGGAACTGAAGGGGGCTGCAGACGCTCTCTGGTGATCTATACACCTCACATCACCAAGGAGGAGGACATCCCCTACTACCACCCGACCCTGCGCTCTCTAGCCTATCTATACGACTATAACACCACCACCCCAGAGCATCCCTCCCAAGACCCAACCTCAGGCTCAAACCCAGGCCCAGGAACCCTAACCTTACACACGCTCCTCTTCCGCAACCTCCCCATCACCAACCGCCTGGAACGCACTCTACAAGCCCTCCTCAACACGCAAATCCGTCTTGCCCGGACCACCCGCCTACCCACCACATCATCATCGCCCTCCTCCACCTCCACCAACCAAAAACACCTACTAGGCGCCAACAAAAACCCCCTTAAAGACAACATCCTCCCGCAACACCTCGTCCAGGACACCTACACGCGCCTCAAGGCCAAATACGCCAGCGACCTGTGCCAGAGATGGGTGGAAACCACGGAGCCCTCGAAGCACGTCTTCGAAGACCTATCCATCGCCGCCTTCCTCATCGAGCTCTGGCGCAGCATGTACGGCGTCGTCCCGAGTGATGAGCGCAGCCACGGGGGTGCTATCGGCACCACCACCACCACCACTCCAAAATTCCCCGGCTTCGTAGACGTAGCCTGCGGCAACGGCGTCCTCGTCTACATCCTGCTACAGGAAGGCTACGAAGGCTGGGGCTTCGACGCCCGCCGCCGCAAGACGTGGGCGATCTTCCCGGAGCGGATCCAATCCCGTCTGAAAGAGGAGATCTACATCCCTGCGCCTTTCAGCGATGCAGTCGGTGTCGGTGTCGGTGTTGGCGAACCGTCTCGTAGTTCCAACCCCAACCCTGTCTCCAGCTCCAACCCTGTCTCCAACCCCAACCCCTTCAACCTCACCGTCCCAACGCACACCGGCCACTTCCCCACCAACACCTTCATCATCTCCAACCACGCCGACGAACTGACCGTCTGGACGCCCCTGATGGCCGCGCTGCTGTGTCTCCGCAACCCGTCCCCGTTCGTCGCCATCCCCTGCTGCTCGCATGCCTTGTCCGGCGCGAAGTACCGGTATCCGCCGCCGAGGGGTGCATCCACTGCAGCTAAAAATAAGGAACAGGAGGAGCAGCAGCAGCAGCCCGACTCCGGGGACTTGAAGGCCCTGCGGAAGGAGCGGCAGGATGCGCAGGCGTCGGAGGCCGGGTTCCTGAAGAGTATGTATGGGTCGCTGACGGCGAAGACGATGGCGGTGGCTGAGGAGGTGGGGTATGAGGTTGAGAAGACGTTGTTGCGGATCCCTAGTACGAGGAATATGGCTGTGGTTGGGGGCAGGAGGGGGACGATGCTAAGGTGGAAGGGGGGAGGGGAGGAGTTGACGAAGAACGAGGCGCAGAAGGCGCAAGTGGTGGGAGATGCTGATGCTGATGCTGATGCTGATGCTGAAGAGGTTGTGGCAAAGGTCATGGCTGCTGTGCAGCGGGAATGTGCTCGAGAGGGAGGCGTGGAAGCCGCGGCGAAGATCTGGATAGAGAGAGCGAGAGGGATCAACAGGGGTCCGGGGATGGGGAAGCAGCGTGGTGGCGGGCATTGACAGGGAGTGCTCGAGAAACAGAAGAGCGTCCTCATACGAGGATTCAATTGTGAGAAAAGATGATGCAATAGAGCGGGCCTATTCTATAAAAAGTTTCTAAGATTCTATAGACGTCGATGCTGAGCTCGGCTTGGCAAGAAATAAATGACTGAGAAGGGAGTCCGCATACAGTGAGTGAAAAGAATCAAAAAGAATTGCCCGAATAGTCCGAATGAGAAAAACACCACTGGAAGAACTCCGACCATGCATTTTCTATACAGAATGAGCGAAGAGATATCATTTGAATTTACTTGCCTTCACCGACAAATCACACATCTACTATCGTCGATATCACCATTGCTGAATTGGCACCGGATCACGGCTATCATAAGAGACAACAATGGCGAGCCATACGCATAGAATGCTTATGCCTCCTTGGGCTCGCGAGCTTCTGCCTTCGAAGAGGGATTGGCGGTCGGCGCCGAGGATGCGCGCTGCGCCGCGGCGGACTTGACAGCTGCTGCAACGGAACTGTCCCTGATGCGCTTCAGTCTCTCCGAGCGGGCTTCCCCAGGCAGACTACCCCAAACCGGATCAATGGAATCAGCTCGCCAGTTTGGCCGATGGCCAATTGCCCCACCTCTCGTTGGTAGATGCACCATAGGCGAGCCGCCTGCGCCGTCTTCACCCCACATCCTAACACGCTGGAGCTTACGCAGCTTGGCCAGCCCATACACACAGACGACCAGTGTGATAGCGAAGCAGGTCACAGAGACCGCGCCGAAACCCAGATCCGATTCTTCGATGAAGTTCTTCAAGTTCATTCCGTATAGTGCAGAGAAGAGGGTTCCAGTCGCGAGTCCGAGTGTGCCGATGCTGAATTTCAAGTCGAGAAGCATGAGGGAGTTGCGGTTGGCGTCCAGAATAGCCTTGACACTATACACGGAGACAATTAGCTATTTATCCACAGCAAAACTTTGGAAGCAAGTAATACTCACACTTCTTCCGTGTTGCGGATCCCTGTTACCAAGTTGCCGCTAGCCTGGACAATTTCATCGCAGACTTTATGATATGATTCCAGTAGCATTTCGACTTCTTGGTGATCATCCTCCTCACGCTCGATGTTCTTTTGACGCTCAGTGAGGTACATCGCCGCCAAGTCGTCGTCCGCTTCCAGCAGATCATCGATAGCATCACGTACAAGTCGGGCCTTCTGCTCGAAAGTACCCAGCTTCTTCGAGTAAATCAGCAGGTGCCGCAGCTTCTCCCGATCGATGTCCTCTTCCAGGGCCCGCAGAACGCGCACGACAGGTTCTCTGACGCCGTTAAACTCCTCCTCCAAACCACTTGTGACACTGATCAACACAGCTTCGAGCGCCCGGAACTCGTAAGGTAAAGCGCCCGCGCTTTGTCCCTGTCTTTGCCGCAGCTTGCCCTCCAGATCATAAACGAACAGAGACTGCATGTAGGAGTCGGTTGAGCCGTAGGCGTCAAACACAAGCACACGATCGGCCTTGATCAGAACGCGGAGGTGGAGAAGATTGATGAGAATCGCGCTGGGCCGGACCAGAATGTGCGGCAGGGTTGATGAGTCGATTTTGCGCAAATCCCGTGGGAGAAGGCCATACTGGGCGCGGCTGTTAATGCGATTTCATGCCCCTCATCACAATGTCGCATGCATGTCACTCACCTTGGCAATCAGCTCACTCTTCTTGAACTCCCCGTTCACCAGGGTGACGTTTCCGTTGCTATCAAACTCCGTGCATCGCAGTCGCGGCTCATTGGAAGCCTTGGCCGCCAATCCGCGCCCAAGTGTGAAGCCCGGCTCCGTGCCGTCACCGATCAATGTGGGCGGGCTGCACGCATACTTGTTGCTTTCCGCAGCCTTGCTTCGTCTCCAATCAAGAAGCCTGCGGAAGAGAGGCCGGTCTTTGGTGGAGACGGCGCGCGATGGTTGTGCATTAGGAACGTGAAATGCTGGCGTTGCGAGAGGTGGAGTAAATGAGGCTCGACATCGTGCACCACCACGGCCTCGAGCTGGGAAACTCGGTAGCGGTAGCAGACTTGCCTGGAGCGGTTCTTGCGATGGTGGCAATTCGACCCGATTGCAGTTATTGGTGAAGGTTCGCAGTGAAGGCAAACGAGGCGGCGGGCGAGTCTGGCCGCAGGCTGTTGGGTTGGCGGTGAAAAAAAGTGACTCGGACTGAGAGCGCAGAAACCGGAGAAGAGACGCCGACGGGGCTGAAGATTTCAGAGACGACGGGGACGGCATTTCTGAGGCGCGTGCGACGACTTCATCAAGAACCACAAAGACAACCGCCACTCATCCTTGGGTAGTTTCTGACCGGCGGAGATGGATTTGACTATCTTTTTCCCGCGGCCCAAGTTGTTGCGCGCCTCCGGGCCTATGATGATCCGGCTCCTTATCCATTCCACATCTCAGATAAAGATTCCAGTCCTCTTCGTTTTTCCTCGACGCCTGCAAGGAACCATGACAGCCGACAATTAATTGGTGAACGATGGGTCCCGTGATTCATGCCTTCTAAGTCTCTTACACTGATCTCTTTGTTGCGGTTTGTCTTCTCTGCATTCATGACTACTTCCGGGGGGAATGATATCTATGAGCCAATACCCCGGCGGACCTGCCAACGTTCTCTGGGATGTCACTCCACTTTTGTTGCCGGTACTGATATAAACTTTGCATGAGGAAATCCTTAAATGCCTGCCCGCCTGCTGCCTGACTGGAGCAGTGCAATAAATGAGTGGTTAGACTGCTGCGGGAGGTGTGTTTACTGTACAGGAGAAGACTCATACATCCCAGCATCCTATAGAAAACTTGGATGCCACCCGATTGGATGCTCCATTCGTGCTATGACGTCACAATACGGAAAATGTTCCTGACTAAATAAATGGTGGGCCAAAAGGCTGTCCAGCAACTCAGTACTACGTATCGTATCTAAAATAAGTTGACATGACGAAACGCCAAAGTTCGAATTTTGTCTATAGAGTAAAGTAGTGCAATGCGTGCAAGAAGCTACAAGCTTCCGACTAGGAAGTATAGCTGCATTGCGCATGGACAGTCTTGCAAAGACACTTACCGGCCAGCCGCGCAACAAGCGCAGCAAACAGCAAGAAACGATATTGAAAAAAGGTATCCGGCGCGAACGAACATGCTCAATGCACTGCAACGCCAGAAAAAATCATGGGAAAGGTAGATACGACGCAACAATCACCAATCATCATCGTCCTCCTTTTCGTCATCTGTCGATAGAAATCAGCTCTGAATATACCGATATACCGCAAGAAGCGCATAGCAAAGAAGGCATGTACTTACCGCTGCCGCTAACTTTCTGCTTTCTCTTGGCCAGGGCGTCCTGCAGAGCTCCAGCCAAACCTCCTTGAGGCGCGCTTCCAGCACTTGGTGTGGCCGCAGCTGACTCGCTAGAGCCGGGCACAAAGGCACCACTTCGGTCTTTCTTTTCCGAATCTTTAACCCTCCGCAAGCCCGTACCTCCCTTCCCTCCAGATGCTCGGATGGCAGCCATGAGGTCATTTCTACCTGCATCAGGAGCAGGCAGCGGTGGGGCGGCACCACCTGGCGGGGGTGGGGGCGGAGGACCACCAGCCCCAGGAGGGGGTGGAGGTGGAGCGCCGACTCCAGGAGGGGGTGGCGGGGGTGGAGGAGCGCCAGATCCAGGGGGAGGAGGGGGAGGAGGGGGAGGCGGTCCAGTGCTGGACGGAGGTGGGGGCGGCGGAGGTATCGAAGGTGCTGCATTTGAGGAAGGGTGTGACGATGGTGGTGGGGGAGGAGGCACGCTCGACGATGGTGGTGGGGGAGGAGGCGGCGGACCAGCAGCACTCGTAGGTGGCGGCGGAATCGGCCGGGAGCTGGAAGGCACAGGTGGAGGAGGCGGGGGTACTGAGGCCGGACTTCTTGGAGGAGGCGGCGGAGGACCTGGGGCGGCAGCATTGGGGATTTTGGGTGGTAGCTGGGGCGGCGCCGCAGGACTCATAGTGCGCGGAGGCGGCGGCGGAGGTGCAGAAGGTAAGGGGCTGCGACTCGGTGGCGCCGGCGGAGCAGACACCTTTCGCACTCCTTCGAATGGGGGTGGAACACCGAAGCGAGAGTGATTCTCTTCCATTGGCGTCTTTGGAGGCCGCGGGGGAGGCGGAGGGCCTGGGTTTGTGCTGGACATTGCTCGCTGACGACCAGGGGCCACGGATGCCGCTATGTGGGCAAATTTACCGGCATCCGCAATTGGTGGAGGGGCACGGAAGCGGTTCCTTGGGGGCGAAGGCTCGCGATTTGATGCAGGCGTGGCAGGTTCATCATCGACATCAGTCCGAGTCCTGCGCGACGGAGGAGGAGGTGGCGGAGCGCCGCGCCTGCTGCCACCACTATTTCCAGTGTTCTGCGGACTGAGGGCTGCCACTTTCGGAGCTGGAGGTGCGGATGGGGGAGGCGGAGGGGGAGCCTTTCCTCGCCGCTGATCTTCAGCAAGAGATGAACTGGAGTCGGAACCAGCAGCGCCCTGTTTCTGCTCAATATAGGCCTTGATGAAATCGGAATTCTCCGCTATCTGGTCCTCCGTGATTCCCATCTGCAGAAGTTCATCTAGCAGTCCCTTCCATGCGGGGTCGCTAGTATCAAAAGGCAACTCCTTGCGTGGCGGGCTGACGGCGGGCGGCGGGGGAGCGATCTGAATCGAAGGTGCAGGTGGTAATTCCGCAGGCGTGACCGTTTGAGCGTGAGACCCGGACGAAGAGCGATGCCCAAGCAAGCTGCCGAACAACGATCGACCAACGCCATGTTTGCCATTGACGACTGGGGCTGGGCCCTGGCCACGAGTCGACGCAAAAGGTGTCAACCGTGTCTCTTTGCTCGCATGCTTCTCCCGCTCGTGGACCTTCTTAATGAAGGTCTTAGCCTCTTTTTCGTCGGCGAAAGAGAACCCGGCGGGGCAGTCTTCGAGTTCAAAGGTGTGGAAGAATGTGCGGTCCTGATTATATGCGAAATTATCGTAAATTTCTTGGTCCCATATAACTCCCCTCCCTGCAGGCTGTACCGTAGAAAATTGGATGATCAGTAAAGAGATGACTATGTCTTGGATCAGGGATGCGCTTACCGATACATCCACCAACTTGAGCCAGAAGGTACGGCCGACTAGGTCATTTGCCAGCACTGCAGCACCTTGTAAACCAGTGTAGGTCCATCTTTGAGAATCCGGATATGCAACGTAAAGGCGCGCAACGGCTACAGCAAGGATTTTGTTCGCAGGCTTGGGGACAGTTCTCCTGACGATTTCCTTGTCGGCGTCGGTAAGTATAGAAGGCATGGCGATGTACCGGGAGTTTTAGACAAGTGAGTAAAGCGCGCGCAGAGTGGGAATGGCGATCAGAGCGATTGTATAGTGTCTTGCGAACGCATCGCAGGTGGTTTAGTGCGAATCTAGAGGCCCAATGGATCAGGAGGGTTGTTGATCCTCAGGCACGACTGTTGGCTGATAGGGCGCGGCAGTAACGGATGTCACAGGGAGTAGGGGGTAGCTTGATTCCCTAGGGTTCTGGGGGCTGGGTGTGAAGTTAGCATGAATGGCGAAAAAAGTAAGATATTCTGATAGAAGATCATTCAGAAGGATGCACATAAGGAGACACCGACCGCTAGTGTGAGAATCTGCCTTGAAGGTTGAATGACGGGGGCAAAGAGGTCAAGTAGCAAGTAGCAGGAAGAGAAACGTGAGGGGAGGGGGAGCCTGGGCGGAGAGAGAAAGAGAGAGGCTTAGGCGGGCGGCGGCACTAAAGAGGCGCGCAGTGGGGATATCCGGTGGGCTGGGCCTACGACGTACGAGTACGAGTAGTTACCTCTACTACTCTACACTGCATACGGAGTACTCTACTGACTAGTTGCAAAATGGCAATTATCCTTATGTCCTCTTCCCATACATGCTGTTTAAATGTCAGGATTTCTGGTTAATCACTATCATCGCAATCGCTCCCATAGTCGGAAGTCCTTATTGTGTCCTTATCCTAGACGGGATGTTGCCGCATTTGTCAAAGGCCATCTTAGGCAGAAATGACACAGTAAAGTAGAAGACAATAACTGCTAGAATGTGATGAACTTCGGTCTCTAGGCAGCTTCTTATTCCTGTAGTAGTACGTCTCAATCCTGAATTGGTCATGCCATGTGGCTGCGAGCGTGCTTACATTGTCAACTTATCAAGTCGAATTATCGAAGCCCAACCGACGTCATCGCGTTGCCTGCAACTATAGAAAAGCCCGCTTGTCTCTGGCCGCCTCTTTCGTTGCAACTGTTTAAGATCTCCCCAAAATCATTCAACTGTTCTCTATCCTCACTATACATCTATTCCTCACTAAGTCAAGCTAAACACGTTACTCATCACGATGCCTGTCATCCCCGAGCCTGCTAGCTTCCCTACTGCCCACGGCAGTAACAACGATAGCCCTTCCAACTCCTCGGAGCAGAGAGACCCTGGCCAGGATACAAAGAAAGCCTCGATGCTCGATCACCTGTCAAAGGGCCCTCAGATCCCGGACAGTGAGTCTGGAGTTTTCTTACTGCTGAACAGTTCTCCTCATTGACCCTGCTTTCTTAGACATGCCACCTAAAGCAACAAAGGAAGAGATTGAGGCGCGGAAGAAGGAGCTGAACCAGTGATTGTGCCGGACATCTCAGATGGTCACCTACTTTCATACTTCAATTGTATTAATCATGAGAATTACGTACGTTGTTTGGTGAATGAATTACTTTTTGACGTTGCGATTGCGGGGATATATTTACTTGGCGCGGACTGCAATGTGATACCTGCATACAGGGGTGGTGCTTCCTTTGCACCAGTCTGTGAAACCCATGAGACCCATAGATAGACAAGTCTTTCCCATCATCTCGCTTCATAGAACTAGCACATCAACTTATTGCATGAGTATACCTCATCTGCCCTGCTTCTGCCTGCGACCCGTTGCAGGATTGTCCCAAAAGGGAATCATTACATCATGATGCACGTGACCCCGCGTTCACTTTGCTCCTCACAGCGCGATGCGAGGCTGTCTTCTGTCGCGTCAAGAGTTTCCTCATGCCGCCTGAACGAGCCAATGTCCCGGTGAAGCTGTCCCTGCCTCTGGTAAGTGTTTTACTGTCTTGTACATCCGGCTCAACATGTCGAGGACTCGCTAACAGGATAAAATTAGCAATACCAGCAGGACATCTTCACCGAACTGCGCGCGGAGGATGAATTGGTGGTTCTTGCTCGAGGCCTCGGCCTCCTCCGACTAGTGACTAATTTACTTCACTTCTACGATGCGGCCGGAAACAACCTTGTATTGGTCGTTGGTGCTGACGATCGAGAGAATGAGTGGATTGGAGAGGGTGCGCGGCCTGATTGCGGTCCCAAACTATGACGGCAGTCCTCGGAAAGTGGCTGACCACAGCTTGCAGCGCTTGCGGAACACTATGCAATCAGTAAAACGCCTCTGGCTAGGGGTCTTAAGGTGATCAACACTGATAGAGCTACGGTTTCGATGAGGTAGGTCACGGTCGGTCCACGCTCACTGTATTTCGTGCTAAACGTCGTACAGAGAGAAGCTATATGCCGCGGGTGGTATTCTGAGTGTGACATCCAGAATACTAGTGGTGGACTTTCTGTCCAGTAGGTGAAACACGTTGTATGCTTGCAAGGGTGTTGATCTCTGATTGAACGCCTTCATTAGAGCTCCTCGACCCTTCGAAAGTGACGGGCATGGTTGTGCTCCATGCCGACAAGTAAGCCACTAACTACCGGAATGCATTCCGATACTGACGCGGTGTAGAATTCTTGCAACTTCCCTCGAAGCTTTTATCCTTCGTGTATATAGAGAAGCAAACAAGACCGGATTCCTCAAAGCGTTCTCGGACTCCCCCGAGCCGTTCACAACAGGGTTTGCTCCATTGGCCACCTCCATGCGGAATCTCTTTCTTCGCAAAGCATCGCTATGGCCGCGCTTTCATGTCACCGTTGCAGAGTCGTTGGAAGGCCATAGAAAAGCCGAGGTGATCGAGCTTGAGGTACCGATGAGTGACAAGATGCGGGACATACAAAATGCGGTCCTTGAGTGTGTGGAAATATGCATTGGAGAGCTAAAGAAGGCGAATACAGGGCTTGATATCGCAGACTGGACTCTGGACAGTGCTTTGCATCGAAGCTTTGACATTGCCATTAGGCGCCAGCTTGACCCGATGTGGCATCGGGTGAGCTTCAGAACCAGGCAAATTGTCAGCGACTTGTCGGATCTGCGTTCTATTCTCCAGTATGTTCACTTCTTCGGTTTAGAAGTCTGCTCCCACTGCAATGGCCGTGTCAATTATCCATTTCCAATCACTGACTGAACGTCAGTGCCCTGCTTACCTATGATGCCGTTTCGTTTCTCAAATTTCTCGACCTCATTGTGACCGCCCATACTCCGCCTCCCGGCTCTACAAGGCACAATTACTCCCCCTGGCTCTTCCTTGACGCAGCTGATGTGTTATTTCAAACGGCTAAGGCGAGAGTATATCAAGGCAAAATAAGCAATGAGGTGGCTCGCTCATCATTGACTTCGTTTCCTACTACCCTGCAACCGGTTCTAGAAGAACAACCGAAGTGGGAGGTCCTGGCAGAAGTGCTTGAGGAGATTGAGACCGATGCATATCTGAACCCCTCAAATGTTGACGAATCAAACAGCACCGTGTTGATTATGTGCAGCGACCAGAGAACCTGCCGTCAGCTTCGTGAATATCTTGCAACAATGCATGCTCATGTCGGGGACAGGAAGCGGGAGAGCTCTGACCCCGGTAATGCTGTGGGTGAAAAGAAAGGCTCGGCTGAAGTTATGATGCGCCGAAGGCTACGAGAATACCTAGACTGGAAGGCCTCTTTATCCAAAGTCAGCAAGAATCTTTCCTCTAAACCACCCAACGAAGACTCCAATGGCGCAACGAGCACGCCTGCACCGGGAACTGTGAATCCCAGAGCACCCGCGAACAAAAGACGTCGCGTTCGTGGTGGAGGTGCAGCAGCAGGCCCCGGACGAGCGCCCAACGCCGGCATTCAAGTGGAGATGGAACCCTCGGGCCAAGTCACGGCACTCCTAGATGAAATAAAGCCCACAGAAGTCGAGGAAACCCAGAAGGAAGAGATAGTTGTGGAGGACTTGGACGACATGGATGACTATTACGAACTATATGATATGAACGATTTGATTATGATGCACCCTTACGATGGCGACATGGACGAGCACATCCTCGAGGAGGTTCGTCCACGGTACATCATCATGTACGAACCAGACCCTGCATTCATCCGACGAGTCGAAGTCTACCGGAGCTCTCATGTGGGCAGAAATGTGCGCGTGTATTTTGTCTACTATGGAGGTTCAGTGGAAGAGCAGCGGTACTTGAGTACTGTACGACGGGAGAAGGACTCGTTCACGAAGCTGATCAAGGAGAAGGGCGTACGTATCTCCTGCACCTCTCAACACACCAGTTACTAACGAGATCTACAGAGTATGGCCGTGACTATCGTCCATGATAAAAGCCTAGAGGACCCCCAGGAGCAGTTCCTCCGGACCGTGAACACCCGCATTGCAGGAGGCGGCCGACTCGCCGCAACGGCCTCACCACCCCGGGTCGTGGTCGACGTCCGGGAGTTCCGAAGCGCGCTCCCGTCCCTCCTGCACGGAAACAACATGATCGTGATCCCCTGCCAGCTGACCGTTGGCGACTACATCCTGACGCCGGACATCTGCGTCGAGCGCAAGTCCATCCGCGATCTGATCACCTCCCTGCGTAACGGCCGCCTCTACAACCAGGCGGAGACGATGCTCCAGCACTACAAGAACCCCTTCCTGCTGATCGAGTTCGACCAGAATAAGTCCTTCACCTTCGACGCCTTCGCGTCCGCGACCACGCCCGGGACCTCCTTCATGACGGACTTCGGCTTTTCGTCCTCCGGGACCAGCACCCTCTCCGCGAACAGCTCCCTGGTCAACCCTTCCAGCCCCAAGTCGGCGCAGCATCTGCTCGTCCTCCTCACCCTGACCTTCCCCAAGCTGAGAATCATCTGGTCCTCCTCCCCCTACCAGACCGCCGAGATCTTCGCCGAGCTGAAGAAGAACAACCCGGAGCCGGACCCGATCCGCGCCGTGCAGATCGGCCTCGACGTGGATATCGCCTCGTCGTCCCACACGACCGGGGACATCATGGCCGCGGCGGGCATCGAGCACCGGACCTTCAATCTCCTGCCTCAGGACATGCTCCGAGCCGTGCCCGGGGTGAGCCCCAATGTTCTCGAGCGGCTCATCCTGGAAACGGAGAACATCCACGAGGTTGCGAATATGAGCGTGGAGCAGCTGGATCCGCTCGTGGGGATCGAGGCTGCACGCAAGATCGTCGGTTTCTTCCGGAAGAGCGTGTTTGATGATTAGTTCAAGACGCCCGCAGTACCAGGATGTACATCATGAGTCTTTTGCATCAGCCGCATTTTTTGTAAATAAAGCGGTATGAAAGGGATAAATTACACGTCAAAGTCTACGTATAAGATGGAGTTTGCTTTGATAGTAAATTTTAGAATCCGTAACCTTTTCATAACTCTATCATCCAGGTTTCAAAAAGTGAAAAACAAAGGAGCGAATTTTGAAGAAGGTAAAACCAGGGAACAGAAAAAGAAAATCGTCAACACAAAGCCAGGCTGCACGCAGCCCGTCTTTTTTTCGGTATGTATTGCGACCCAATTCCTCCGTAGACAACCCGAAGGCGGCTCTCTTGATGGATCATGATCTGGCGAACCAAGAAGACCCAACCGAGATAACCCGCAGGTCTAACCCTGCCGATGATTCATACCCTATATTGCGAAAGGCCACACGCAAGATTGAGGCGAGCGCATGTAGCGAAGCGGGTGGAAGAAAGGCGCCGCTGCTGCCTTCATCCATCCTCCAGAGACCTTTCCGGGGAGAAAAGAGACGAATGGCGTAGGACAAGATAAGGCCCAGGCCAACCGCCGCCAAGGTTTCACAGAGCCCCTCCGGCGCAAGCACATGCTTGCTCCCACAGGAATCCAAGAACCGAGGCGGATTTTCCTTCCCGGAAAAAAGGACGTTTGACGTTTCGAGAGGAATAGCATGAAGGACGTGTGGCGGGGAAGAGAGACAAGAGTAGATCCCAGGGGAGCTCTCCTCGCGCAGTGGGGGGTAATGAATGCATCGGAGACGAGAGAAGAAGGCGAGCTTAGAGCTCGTCGACATCGATCTCCTTCTCCTCCTCGCTCTCGCGGTCCTCGTCGAACTCGACGTTGTCCTCGAAGCCCTCGTGGCCGTAGGTGTCGGTCTCGTTGATCTTGGCGTGTTCGGGCAACTCGCCGTAGGCCTTGAGACTTCTGGCCTCGTCGGCGGTGTACTTCATGATGACATCGCCCTTCTCGTCCTGGTAGTCACGCAGCGAGAGGAGGATGATGTCGCCCTGATTGATCCAGACCTTCTTGCGGAGCTTGCCACGGATGTGTGCCAGGCGCTTCTCGCCGTCGAAGCACAGCGCCTCCAGGCGGCCGTTACCGAGCATCTTCACGACCTGCGCGTACTCCTGGCCCTCCTCCTTGAAAACGAGCTCACGCTTCTCATTGTCGTTCTCGTTCTTTCCACGACGACGGTTCTTACCGCCCTGTTGGTAGTAAAAAAACATGCGTTAGCAAAAGGGTCCTCAAGTGTAGCAGGGCTGCGAGAAGAATCCCGCTTTGTAGATTTCACCAACGCCAGGCCTCGCCACCTAGAAACGACAACAGTACCCGGCTGATGTACTCGGGCGCAGCGGGATACGGTGGTATGAGTCGTGGCGACCAGCAAGCCTGGAAGCGAAAATCTGTGAAGCGGGGTTCATGGAGGGTTCATGTTCTCACCTTTCCCTTGTTCTTGGGCATGGTGCAATCTCGCTAACCGCGTTGGTCTTTCACTCGATGCGATAGCCGATGATCGGACACGAAAGGGGTGGGTTGTTGAGATGGACGTCCCTACGGACCAGCAGAGGGTTGAAAGTGGGGGTGGAAGACAGAAAGAGACAACGATGATTTCGACGCTTTTCAGGCTCTGCCGCCTCTTATGTAAGCACCAGTGGGGGAGTGGCGTGGCAGCCTGATTGATGCCTTAGGATATCTGCCTCAGGTCCACCATTCACAAGCAGAAACCGTCGACCGCCCGGCAGAAATGGTAGAGTTGCGTTATCGATAGAGCCTGGAGGAAGAAAGTATAACTCAGTAGCTACAATAAATGCAAGCAACCTATGACCCATGCAAACATGGATCTTGACAACTGATTACTACTCTCCGACACGCCTCCTCTGCTCTGTGGCATCTGTACCTAGCAGCGCTGTTATATTCACATCCAGCGTATACGAAACTGACGTACTAAAGCCATCAATTGTCGCTTTCACGCTCGTCGCTTCCGAACTTCCATCTGCCTCAGCCATTCTACCGACAGAGTGCTTTACTTGTTTTCTGGGCCAGAAAGTTGGACTCAATCCCGGTCTTTAGTGCTACCTCGGTGCTGACTGCCCTTTCTTCTGGGGATCCGCCTGCATTGTCCTATCCCACCCTCGTCAATAGGAACCGCCTCTCTCGACAAAGGGCATCCACCTGAGAATCGATGGCCAAGCGCGTAGCGAGGCTCGGAGGGGCCACAGGGAACCTGCGCATCCAAACGGCACGATACACCCTTCGTTACCAAGTCGAACACGAGATGCCTTTCATCGCCGCTCAACAATTAGCTTTGAACAACGCTATAAGAGTCAAACTTTCTCATCTATACCAAACCCGGCCTCGCGATACGCTATGGTACTCATTTGGCCTTAAAATGCTTTTAGATTACAAGAGTGTCGTTCGATCATGGGCGATGGGAAGGTCCAGAGTGGCGTTTCGCAAAGCTTTGGCGGAGCGTGGATACGATCAGGACGGCAGAGCGATCAGCTCTTTTCCAAGGGCCGCTACTGAGGAAACAAAGATTGCCGGCTTACGAGGATCGGTTGACTTTACCGTGCGGGAAGAGGTCGTCACAGCAAAGTCTTCGGACATTGAGAAGGATATGCGAGAAATTGTGGACAAAATAATCAGGGTGATGCTTCATGCTCCGAAAGCAGGGACTGGCAAGCTGAAGCAACGTGTCTTATGGGATAATAAGCAGCCTAAGCGTAAATGATATACAGTTTGATACTGAATCAAGATGAGAATGGCACTTTCTTCTGTAATTAAATGAAGTGAAATAACCATCTTGCATGGATGGTATGAAACAGCGTGATGGCGGCTGAACGGTCTATTGACAACTTAGGTTTGGTTTGTTCCTAGCCGGCCGATCTTCGAGAAACCAAACATAACAACACTCCATCTCTTCCTCCGACTTGACTTACGTACTCCTCCTCTTCCTCATCTTTCTTGTCATCGCGCTGGCAAGACTGCCTGGACAGAGACTTGATTTCCTGTGCATTGAATACCCCCTGTGTTCCATCGCAAACCATTGGTTTTGCGCGCTATCTCTGGTCGCTCCGTCGGTACAGTCTACAGCTTGCGCTCCTCCACCCAGTCCGCCATGTTGGTATCCTTGACTGTTGGGAAGGTCGACGCCGGAGTCGCCGTCCTCTTGACTCAAGACAACAGATTGGTAAGTCACTCTTCTACTGTTATTGGAATTGTGACGACTATGTGATGACAGAGGCTCCTTTGCATCTCTCGAACAAACCTCTCACGTACCTTCTCCATGCTAATTCGCCCATTACAATCCCCCCCAGATCGAATTCCCCTCCGTGCTCCTGCCTAACAACATCACATCCGGTAGCATCGTCGACATCACCGTCGCGCGCAACCACGCCGCCGAAACCGCCAGCGCAACTGCCTTCCAGACGCTGCAGAAACGCATCCTCAACACCTACGGCATCAAGACCCCCACGCCTCCGATCCTCCGCCTCCGCAACGCAACCCAGACCTCCCTCGTCCTCGAATGGGATCCCATCGACCTGGCCACCGCGTCGCTGAAATCCCTGTCCCTCTACCGCAATGGCTCCAAGGCCGGTTCGATCCCCCGCCCGCTCGAGACACGTAGCACCAAGATCAGCGGCCTGGCCATCCACACCGAGTACACCTTCCACCTGGTGCTGCGCACCACCGCGGGGACCTACCAATCCGAGAAGCTCGTCTGCCGCACCCACAAGATGACCGATCTGTCCGGCATCACGGTCACGGCAGGCGTGTTGCACCCGCAGCAGAAGGATGCGCTCGCGGCCGCGCTCGACCGCATCGGCGGGAAGCTGATCGACACCGTCCGCATCGATACTACGCATTTTGTCTGCACGGAGGGCCGCGGGCCTCTCTGGGAGAAGGCGGTCGAGATGAACATCCCCGTAGTCGTGCCCGAGTGGGTCGATGCCTGTGAGGCCGAAGGCACCATCGTCAGCGTCCGCGGCTACTACCTGAACGCGGATCCCAAGGCTCGTCAGCTGGGGCCCATTCATGGCTCCATGCAGCATCAGCGCACGACGTCGACCGCGACGTCGCTCCTGACCGCCGCCACGGGTCAGCCCCAGACCAGCCAGAACCCGAATCCAACCCCGAGCCCGAACCAATACCAGGACCAGGACCAGATCCAGATCCAGAACCAGAACCAGTCGCCATCCCCTTCGCCATCGAACCTGACCCCCTCGGGAGCCCTGCAGGTACAGCAGCAGCTCGAGGACCCACCGCTTACCCCTTTCCCCGGAGCCGAAATGACAGGTCAACCGACAGCGGAAGAGAGGGAGGTCTCGTCCGACGAAGGTCGACTGTCCCCACCACCGCCGGTACCCCCCAAAGACGACGAGGAAGAAGCGAGGGGGGACGAGCACGCTGAGGACGAGCCACCCGTTCAAGAGGAGCACGATACGGCGGAGGTAGCGACGCCCGCGGACGCTAAAGCCGGCGATAGCGATCATGACGAACATACAAGCACAGCAGATGACCAATCCGACCGCCACATAGAGGAGGACAAGGGCAAACCATCAGGAGACGATGAGGATAAGGAGCGCCATTCCAAGGAAGGTGAAGGTGATTTCAATGAAGTTCCATTATAGTGTTGTCGCTGCTGCTGTCCAATCAGCCATACTTTCCGGCTATTTCTTTTCTTTTGTGATCTTCATCTATTTTCATTTTTTACTTTTTACCCATTACTGCGACGATTTTCAAATGGACCTTACTTTGTAGCGCCTATGGATGTATGGCCGATAGAGAAAAGGAATAATCAATCAACCGGCTCTAGATTCCCCATGCCATGCTCCATTAAAATGAGCGTTTCTATCTTGCCGAATGTATGGTATTATCCCACCATTTGTAGTTGTGTTTATTTGTGGCGTCTTCCTAGTTCGGTGTTTGTTGATGTTTTTCTCGAGTTGGCGCCGCTTCCGCCCGACCTTTAGTTTGTACAGTATGTGGCAGTGCATGGTGTATTCAAACCTGGAAGTTTATGATCCTTTTTTGTGTTACTAAATTTCTTCTTTCATTTCTATCCTTTTAATTTAATTGATGCAGGCATCCCACGTGGAAGGTACCAATTCGGCACGTAGATCTATCATCGTGTAAGCTACTGCAGTATTGTTGTTTGTGCTGTTGTCAGTGCGCATGATATATTTATAGTGTAGTTGCCCACGGGCTTGGCCCTCGCCCTTGGAGATTTGTTTCCAACCACCATCTACATTCCGTTCCCACCACCTCTAATTGTTTTTGTTTGTTCATCTTATATACGTTTATCATCCCAAGGTTTCTAGTTGACTGTACGGACAATATCGTCGATAGCCTGCGCTACATAGGCAACGTTGCCTTGGCTCACTGCGATGAATCATTAGTCAAGGCTGCTACGACCCGAAAAGAAAGGGCGGGATCAACTTACAGCCACTGATGGAGGCTCTGCCGGACTTGAGGAGGTAGATGTGGTACTTCTCCTTGAGGGCCTCGACCTGAGTCGGGGTGAGACCGGTGTAGGAGAACATGCCGTTCTGGAAGCGGGGTTAGCATTGGTGGGCTGGTTTGATTTGAGGGGAGAGAGTCTGGTGAGGTGTGCAGCAACTGACCTGCTCGACGATGTGCTTCCACGTTCCGGGGGTCTCCAATCGCACGAGCTCGTTGAACAGGGCCTGGCGCATGGACTTGATGCGCGAGCTCATGACCTTGAGATCGTCATGCCACTGGGCGGTCAGCTCGTCGTTGGTGAGGACCTTCTTGACGATGGTGCAGCCGCCGACGGGGCCCATGGAGAACTCGCCGCGGATGAGGTGGCAGAGGTTGTTGACGACGAGGTCGCGGAGGTGCTGGCTCCCCTGGGGCAGCACGTAGTGGAAGGCGCCGACGCGCTGGCCGTACAGGCCGAAGTTCTTGGAGAAGCTCTGGGCGACGCACATCTCGAGGTGCGGCTTCTCGTTGAGGAAGTAGCGCACGGCCCAGGCGTCCTCGTCGGCGGAGCCCGACGCGAACCCCTGGTAGGCCGAGTCGAAGAAGGGGAAGACCTGCTTGCGCTCGCACAGGTCGGCGATCGCCTTCCACTGCTCCCGGTTGGGGTCCAGGCCCGTGGGGTTGTGGGCGCAGGCGTGTAGCAGGATGACGTCGCCAGCCTGGGCGCTCGCCTCGAGCGTCGCCATCATGCCCTCGAAGTCAAAGGAGCGCGTGTCCGCCTTGTAGTAGGGGTAGGTGCGCCGCGGCACCCCGGCCAGCTCCCAGATGGTCAGGTGGTTGGCCCACGACGGGTCCGACAGCCACACCGTCCGCGGCTTCATCTTGTGCGCCAGGAACAGCGCCCCCAGGTGGTTGGCGCCCGTGCCGGCCACCGCCTGCACCGACCCGATGCGCCCCTTCTGCGCCGTCTGCTGCTCCGTCGCCTGCTTCGCGTCGAACCCGAACATCAGGTCCCGCGCCAGCTCCAGGAACGGAATGTCCCCCTCAATCGCCGTGTACTCGTGCCGGAACAGGTTGTCCTCCGCCAGCAGCTGCTGCTCTGCCTGCCGCACGACCGGCAGCGGCCACGGCTTGCCATCGTCGGTGCGGTACACGCCAACCCCCAGGCTGACCTTCTGCGGGAAGGTGTCGTTGTTGTAGGCGCGGTTCAGGGCGAAGATCTCGTCCGCCGGCAACGGATGCAAGTCGAGGACGGTCATGGTGGGTGATGAGGGATTATGGGGGGTAAGTTGAGGGTATCTTCGATTGTTGTCAGCGAGGCAGGCTCGATGAAGTGTATCAGGTTCCGGGGTAAGTTCTTCTGCACCTACCTTAAAGCTTAGAGAGGGGGGGGTTCCCGAGGGGCAGTGGCTTAGAATTTAAGGATTGCCGGTCGGTGGAGCAGTGGGATTTTTAGTTGGATCGGAATGGGGACACGGGTGACGAACAGGTTTACAAGAGGCTAGCAGTACGCCCTTAACAGCACAATATCAGATCGTGCTGGTACTGAATGGAGACTCGAAATGGAGAGCAACATACGAGATACTCAATGCAGCAAGAGAAAGACGGTGGACCAAATGCATGAGTCAATATTCAGTTGTGCATGGCATGCAGGATTGGCCGATATCGCCCTCGTGGATCCCCAGCCAAATACCCGCCGGTTCGGTTCTTCTAGGCATGGCTATTCCCTTTTTCTTTTTCTTTTCTGCTTTCGCCGCTGACGACAATCGACCGACGGGAAAGCCCGCTTAGTGAAGGGTCTCCTGGAAACCGTGGTTCATCGCAGGAAGAGGCCATTGTGACCCGTGTGACTGCAACAGCCCGTGCCATTGATATCACTACTCCGTTGTTGGTGTCGTCCAGTTGATGAGTCGGTTGCTGAGCGGTGACGAGAATGACAGGAATGGATCATGTGGCTGGCCACATTGCTTTGAGCAGCAGTGCATGGACTGCACAGAACCGGACTTGTACAGTTGTTACAGTTCAATTGTCTGCGTAAGAGGGAGGGTTGAGATAGCGCATCCCCAATTGGAGTTCGAATTTGGATGTGTCGAATCGAGCTCATGGTGAGGTTCAAGTCGGATAAGGGCGGACAAAATGCCGGTCATCTGCTCGGGACCCCCGGTTGTAGCCGAGCTGGAACTATAGAATAGAATCAACGCGATACACTCCTCGCTTGTCAGGTTTATGACGCCTTGGGACTACCAGCGAGTTCTTATCTTGCCAATGAAGCATATGTGTTATCCCGATAGGTAGCAAGCCTGCGAAGTACAGTACTGTACATAGTAGTTCTGTGCAATGCTTGATCGGGGTAACCCCAATCGACTCGGTCGCTACTTGATAACGATGATGAGGGGCTGTGAGGGGAAGTCTTCATACCCGGCCAACTTGGCTTAGGGGAAACGACCATCTTACATTCGACTCCTTTGGATCATTCTGTCACATCTAACCCTACTGCTTACTTCTATTCGACCAACCAACATGGCTTCACTGAATGACGAAAAACTCTTACATGACATCCGCCCGAAGGTGTTAACCCAACCACTACACAACAGCATCCCTCCGGAGCTGCTGTCGCGATTTGACCCGATCTTTGTTGAGAACCATAACAAATATAACGCGGGAAGGCTTCATACCCATGAGGTTCCCATTGAGGAGTTCCGTCGCAATCCAGCCAAATATGCCATCAGCTATGGCCGTGCGAGCGGTCCAAACATCTACCGCATCTCTGAACAGAAATGCCCCGTCCAAGGGGGAGAGATAAGAGTACGCATCTTCGAACCTGAAACCGTGGTCGACGAGCATGGTAAGATCCAGAAGAGGGCGGCTTATATCAATTTCCACGGCGGTGGGTGGGTGTTCGGTGACCTATCGAAGGATCACGACTTCTGTAAGAGAGTCGTCGACGGGCTGGAAGGGCAGCTGGTGGCCTTTGATGTCGACTACAGACTAGCCCCAGAGCATCAATACCCAGCACCGGTGGATGATTGCTGGACAGCGATCAACTGGGTCAGCAGCAGCTTCTTCTTCCCATTGTATTGATCTGACCGCAAAACTAACTACCAAGACAGGTCCGGTCAAGGGCCGAGGAGTTCAATATCGACCTCGATCGAATGGCGGTCGGAGGCATGTCAGCAGGTGGACATTTGGCAGCCGTCATGGCTCATCTCTGCCGTGACGCCCGCATTCCCTTGCGACTGCAGGTGCTGAATGTACCGGTGTGCGATCTACACAGTCCGTTCAAGCCAGATGGCACGTTCGATCGGGATGGCTGCCCATATGAGTCGTACAAAGAGATGGAGTTTACGGTGCCTCTGCCAGTAGCACGCATGTCCTACTTTCACAGACATTTTCTGGGGGTCCCGAGGCCAGCCACATCAGAGGAGGTGAGCTACTGTTACAGTGGACCGAGCCAACTATGTGCACTTTGCATGATGCTGACATGGCTTTCAGGACTGGAAAATCTCCCCCATCTTAGCTCCCAATTTTGCGGGGCTGGCGCCTGCATTGGTCTTCACTGCTGAAATGGATCCTCTGCGGGATGAAGGTGAAGTTTATGCTGCCAAGCTGAAAGCTGCAGGATGTTCGGTGGAGTTGATGCAGATGAAGGGTGCACCCCATACCTTCGCTCTGCTAGACGGGATACTAGACTCGGGGCGGGTGTATAATGAGAAAGTGATTGAAGGACTGAAGGCGGTCGTCGCGATCAACTAGGAGTGCTGCCGCTGCGTCATGCATATTCGGTAGAATGGATGGCGGTGTAGGAGAAATGCGGAGAGAGTCTAAGGATCATGGTTTATCCGGGTGGTCTCATTTCCATACATTACACCGTACTGCTGCATCACGCACCAAGAACCGGGACCAAAACAAACTGCCGCCTGTAATGACGGTACCGGGCCGGGAGAGCTCGGCAGGCGGTATCGGAAAAGAATGGCCATTCATTAAGACCTCGTTTTACCCTCTTCTTCTTCCCCTTCTTTTTTCTGTGGCCGTCCATCCCCTTGATTTTTGGGTATTCTTGAGCGTGTATACTTAGACTTGCAGTTCCATCCTTATCACATTCTTATTGAAGTATGATGACCGCCTCACCGCCGCGCACGAGCTGCAATGGCTGGCTGGCTTGCTCCCCTTGCAATTGCAATTGGCTGCTCCGATCAACTCTAACTTGGAATGACCAGCAGATCAAAAGCCGAACCCCGTCATGTTGACCTCCTCCAACACTTCGCGGGCCGCGGTGCGCTCGATGGCCAGCCTGACACGCGCTGTCTCCTCCAGCTCCCCCGCAGCTGCCGCGGCTTTTGCTGCCCGCTCCCCCGCTGCTCTCAGTAGCCGACGCCTCTTGGCCTCCAATAGCCGGGTCATGCAACAGTTCCCCCGCCTTCAGTCCTTGAACTCTACCTCCTCCAAGCGCGCCTTTGGTACCACCGTCAGAATGGTGAGTTTTCCTGCCCCAGCTACCAACCGATCGCGATAAGTAAAAGCGATGGCGCCTGGCTGCACATCGCTTTACTCATCTCGGACTTTCCAAATTTCACAACAGTTGGACCCCATGCACGAACGTGCAGTGCTGACCGACCTTGGCTCTCCAGTCTTCTGCCACTCGTATCGAAACCGATGCCTTCGGTGAAATCCAGGTATGCGATCCCCCTCATTCCCATACGATGCGCCTTTGATGATGAGGTCTGATTGTGTTCTGCTCTAGGTCCCCGCGGACAAGTACTGGGGTGCCCAGACCCAGCGGTAAGAGCTCTGTCTATTGCTCTCATCTTCACGAAGACCGGGAAACGGAAACGCGGGGAATAGTACAAAGACTGACGGGGGAACAGTTCTCTGGGTAACTTCGACATCAACCAGCCCCAGGACCGTATGCCCGAGGCTGTTGTCAAGGCTTTCGGTGTCCTGAAGGGTGCTGCTGCCACCGTCAACATGAAGTTCGGCCTTGGTAAGCTACCATTCTTTGAAAAACACCTACACGGGCGCATCGCTGACATGCGCAACAGACCCCAAGATCGGTGAGGCCATCAAGCAGGCCGCCGCTGAGGTTGCTGAGGGCAAGCTGAACGACCACTTCCCTCTCGTCGTCTGGCAGACTGGTTCCGGTACCCAGTCCAACATGAACTCCAACGAGGTCATCTCGAACCGTGCCATTGAGATCCTGGGTGGTGAGAAGGGCAGCAAGAAGCCCGTCCACCCCAACGACCACGTGAACATGTCTGCCTCCTCCAACGATTCCTTCCCCACCGCCATGCACATCGCTGCCGTCGTGGAGCTTGAGAACACCCTGCTCCCTGCCCTGCAGAGCCTCCGCGATGCTCTCCAGGTCAAGGTCGAGAAGTTCGACAAGATCATCAAGATCGGTCGTACCCACTTGCAGGATGCCACCCCTCTTACTCTCGGCCAGGAGTTCTCTGGCTACGTTGCGCAGCTCGACCGCAACATCGAGCGTGTTCAGGCCTCAATCCCCCACCTCCGCTACCTTGCCCAGGGTGGTACTGCCGTCGGAACTGGTCTGAACACCTTCAAGGGCTTCGATGAGGCCATCGCCGCCGAGGTTACCAAGATGACCGGCACCCAGTTCTACACTGCCCCCAACAAGTTTGAGGTCCTTGCCGCCCACGACTCCGTCGTTGAGGCCTCTGGTTCCTTGAACACCCTGGCTGGCTCTCTCTTCAAGATCGCCCAGGACATCCGTTACCTCGGATCCGGTCCCCGTTGCGGTCTGGGTGAGCTGTCTCTTCCCGAGAACGAGCCCGGCTCTTCCATCATGCCTGGCAAGGTCAACCCCACCCAGTGCGAGTCCCTCACTATGGTCTGCGCTCAGGTCATGGGTAACCACGTCGCTGCCACTATTGGTGGCATGAACGGTCAGTTCGAGCTCAACGTCTTCAAGCCCGTTATGATCCGCAACCTGCTCCACAGCGTGCGCATCCTTGCGGACGGTATGAAGAGCTTCGAGAAGAACCTGGTGCACGGTCTCGAGGCCAACGAGCCCAGAATCAACGCTCTCCTTCACGAGAGGTAAGTGACAAGCGAAAATATTTACTGTTTTATCGATCGTTCGCTAACCCCTACTTCTAGTCTGATGCTTGTTACCTGCCTGAACCCCGTTATTGGTTACGACATGGCCTCCAAGGTCGCCAAGAACGCTCACAAGAAGGGTCTCACCCTCAAGCAGAGTGCCATGGAGCTCAAGGCTCTGAGCGAGGAGGACTTCGACAAGTACGTCCGTCCCGAGCTGATGCTGAGCCCCAAGGAGAAGAAATAGATGCATAGACGGCGCGTTGGATGACTAGGAATGAGGGGATTTGGTCTTTTTGAATAGTTTGGAGGGACGCGATCTAGCGGAGTCCAGACTTTGCTCTTTTTTTTTTAACATCAAATTTATGTACACCCAGGAAATTTCATTGTATAATTTTTTTTTCATCGACTGTGTGAATCTATGAGGAAAGTTTGAGTAGGACTATGTGGGATGAATCCCGATCTTGCGGTAATTTGGTCGAATCGCATTCGCCGCCAACTGCTACTATTTTTGGAATGCCCCAGGGGTGACCGGGGCAGACTGCGAAGACTGCCCTGCAGCAACATCCTTTTCTTGCGGAGAGGCACGGAGAGGCAAACAGCTAACGAGTAAAAATGTCATATCAGGACCGCATGCTATGTCGGAAAGGGAGTTGAAAGCGAAGGGGTCTAGGTGGGAGTAGTCAGGGGCGGACAGAATGACAATAATTCAATGAAGATCAATAAATGGGGTGTTTCAGGCAGCCCATGGCTGTGCTTGCGGCCATCTTTAATACGAGTGACTTCCGCCGCGCGCCGTGATCTGTCCCCTCTTCACTTTTATTTATATGCAGAATCCCATCAACTCTGTACAATTGAACCGTCTGTCCCTCTTTCAGACCTCTGTGTACATTTCCCACGCGCTGGTCCCCTTTTCCTTGCACATTCCGCCCGTCAGGAGTTTCATTCCCCTTGTTCCTGACCACGAACCCCGCTACTTCTCAAAAGAGAGGCACATATCCACCCACCACCATTCCCCTACAGTCTGAGCAACAACATCCATCCCCTGGTCAAAACCCACAACCAACCGAACCGCCAGCACCGTCCCAATTTCCCACAAAACCAACATAATGACGAACCTCACCACCAACAACTCCACCGCTGCTCCCCAGCACGCCCCGGCCGCCGCCGCCGTCGTCAAGCCCACCACTAACGAAAACGACAACACCATCAACACCGACCCCCTCCTCTTCCCCACGACCCTCGTCTCCCCGGACGTCACCGCCGCCCTCCCAGAAGCCTACACGATCCGGCCCCTGCGCCGCTCCGACTACCAGCGCGGCTACCTGGACGTGCTGCGCGTGCTGACGACCGTCGGCGCCATCACCGCGGCGCAGTGGGACGCCCGCTACGACTGGATCGCCGCCCGCAACGACGAGTACTACCTGCTGGTCATCTGCGACGGGACCGGCCGCGTCGTCGGCACGGGCAGCCTGATCGTCGAGCGCAAGTTCATCCACGCCCTGGGCATGGTCGGCCACATCGAGGACATCGCCGTCGACAAAGACCAGCAGGGCAAGAAGCTGGGGCTGCGCCTCATTCAGGCGCTGGACTTTGTGGCGGAGAAGGTCGGCTGCTATAAGGTTGGTTCTGTCCTTTCTCCTTACAGAGGTGTGGGGGTGGGGTTTGGGGGTTTGGCTAATTTCTTTCTGTACTGGGTAGACGATCCTTGATTGCTCCGAGTCGAATGAGGGGTTTTATCTTAAGTGTGGGTTTAAGCGGGCGGGGTTGGAGATGGCGCATTATTATTAGAGGGATGGGGGTTGGTTTTCTGTGGTGAGGTGTGGGTGTGATTTTCTTGATCCAAGGGGGGAGGGTCTCTTTTTTTTTTTGCTATTCTTGGGGCGTTTCGTATAGATTATCGTGGCATTCCTGGGTCCTTTGGGGTTTGGGGGTGTGGGATTGGGCTCGGTGCCGATACATAATTTTATCTGGGGTGTTGCATGGGGGGAAACTAGAGTATGGGTTTCATTATGCTTGAGGTCCCGTTGTGGATATATGAGGGCAGGGACTAGGTGGTTGATGCAGTGATGTGGTGTGGTTTCTGTTTCGGGGGTTATGTGCTATATAACTTATAACTTATAAGTGGACTAGAGGAGGCCAAGGCTCATCATATATTGGCGAAATCCTGGGTTCAGTGAGTGAGTATTGATGCGGTGGTATCGGGATCCTGGTAGGACAAGTAAGGGTTATGCCAGTAGGACTCGGGTGTGTAGGACACACTGCTGTCAGGGACCATGTTGGGGGGTGCCTGAGGCGGGACGTCATGTGGTTGATATTCTAGCTCCGAACTATACCTGGAGAATAGAGGGTGAAATACTATCGTTGCAGGACGTATCATGTAGAGTCCGACTTGGATTCGGATTCTCGGGGGAGATCATGTACGAATTGATGTCCCATCACAGGATTATGGAGGACAGACGACCGTCGAAGTACATGGGCAATCACAATCTGGTTGCAGGAAGGTCAGAACGTGGCGATGTCAAGTACGACTTAGCTCCAGTATATCATGGAGCCAGGAAGTGGGAATCTACAAGCTCGAAGACTCAACAAACGAAAACGAAATCGAAATCGAACCAATGCCATCATATCACATCCATTTTCCATTTTTATGGTTTTATAAAAAGTACCATGGCGCAACATGATAGAGAGAACCACCCTATCTGGAAGAGCCAAGGGGGTATATTGTAAACGGGACTCTCTCCCCCCGGACTCTTTCGACCGGGGAGAGAAGAAAACGTTTCTTGTTGCCTTTTTTCGCTCATGGGCCGGAAAGTTCGCATTTTGGTTTCAATAGAAAATTTGTTGATTGAAGGAAAACGTAAAATTCCAGCTCCGGAAAAACCTCCCAAGATTTCATGATATCCCTTGTGCTCCCCCAGTTTAACAACCCAAGCCAAACCGCTTCTTCTTTTTCAAGTCACGTTTTTATTTAGGAAATTTAACGGGACTTGGCGGCGACCTTGGGGGCGGAACCCTTGGCACCCTGCTTGCTCTGGATGCGCTGGGTACCCTTGCCGGCGGCGGCGTTCTTGGCCTTCTCGGCCTTCTTGCGGGCCTCGGAGGCAGCCTTCTTCTCCTTAGCGTCCTTGATGGCCTGCTGGCGGGCAGCGGCACGGGCCTCGGGGCGCTGGGAGCGGCGCTCCTTGATCACGTCGAGGGAGGCACCGACAATGGCACGCTGGTGCTTGACGGCACGGCGGGTGCGCTTCTTGGCAACTTCCTGTATTCACGGCAAAAGATGTCCCGTCAGCAAATTTCGTTCCACCCACGATATATCAAACCATGGGCTCCTGTGTCTCTCGCGTCGTGAGCTCTCCTGCCTGATGGTAATGTTGATGGAGCCCCTTCCTTCTTTCCGTCATTTGTGCATGCAAGTGTCGCGTCAGGCGGATTTGGCGATGGACGAGTCGACTTGAATAGTTGATGCAAATTCCCCATCCAAACTTTGGCCGTTGCTCAAAACTGTTGTTCCCGACATGTTCTACCTCCCCTTCCGATCCACACATCCCCACAGACAGGAGAGAGACGATCCAAGAGGACACAGAAACCTTCGTTTCACGCGCGAAATGCAGAGGATATGGCGGTGGTTACTGACTTCAGAGATACCCTTCTTATGCTGGCGACGGTAGAGGACAGTCCAGGCGATACGGCGAGGGTTCTTGCGCTGGAGGAAGAGGGACTCGGACTTTCCATTCTGGAAGCGGAAGATCTTGCTGTCGCCACGGACGTACAGCTTACCCTGTTACAACCGAAGAAAAAAAGTCAACAATCTGGGCCTCTTCTCATCATGTTGGCGAATGTGGGATATTTTTTTGGATGATTTCGTCACGGGGTTGCCGGATATAACATCACTCTTTCATGTCGGGGCTGGGGGCGAAAAAACGCACCTTTCCAGGGTAGATCTTCTGGCCGGAGAAAGAATCGTCGTAGGTACGCATCTTGATCGTCTGAGATGCGCAGCCGGTCTGTTGTCGGTTGGCGTTGGGTGGTTGAGTCGAAGCGGTCTCTGCGGCGAGGCTGTTCGGGCGAGACTGACACAATTGTGGTGGTGCGGTGCGGGAGCCTCGCTAAACCCTACCACGTGACCAACTCCTGCCCTTGGCTGCCCGCCTGCCCGCCTACCCGCCTTCCCGCCGACAGGCCCTCTTGGTATAGTTCACTTGGTATTGTATGGGGGACTGGCGCGGGGGAGCAACTTAGTAACGGGTTGATGGATTAACTATGTTCTCTTCTTCGAAAGGTTGCACACCTTGATTCGTTCTTGCTCAGATTCATCAATTTCATTATGATTATTATGGGTTTTGTGTCTGAGACTATGTGACAGAGAAATATGAAAACAAATCCCGCCTCTGAAGAGCGTCATCGTACACACCAGGATCGTATCATCAGAGCGATACATGGCTTCTCCAAGTCACATACAGCAAGGGTTCATCTAACAGGACCGAATTTTAAAATGATGCAGGCTCACTTGTCTATCCATTCCCGTCTGTTTCACTCTTATCCATTCGTAACCGGAACGCCATGATCACGATACATCAAGCAACATGCCCGATCGATAGCATCAGGTCGCAGTATCAATTTCCCATTCGAGATGGTACCAAAGTCGCTGGCCTTCCGCCAAAGCACAAAGCGGTTGCGCCTATTCATGACGCATGCCAGTCACAGGGGCCCCAAGGGTTGGGCTTGCAGTCCTAGATAGACAAAAGTAATTAGCATGTTTTTCACCTAGCACCGATCCTCTCTTCGCCAGCTGACAACTCCCCAGAGGACATGTCCCACTTACCTTGCACTGGATGTCGCGACACATCGGAGTGGAGCAGATACCGCAGCAGTCGGAGCAGACATAACGTCCGCAACCAGCGGGCTCGGTGCACACCGTGTAGGTCGAGTGATCTCTGGTCAAGTTCCCGTAACGGTCCAGAAGGGCGGTCACCATGAAGCAGCGGCGCGACTTCAACCAATTTCGATTCGCGATGGGCTGGTCCATGTATCGATCGCAACCCCAGCGGACGCAGCAGGGCTTCCCGCAGATAGGGCAGGGCCCGCGGCACTCGATGCACCACAGAATCTTACAGTCCCAGGAGCGGCTGTCATCGGGTCTAGCGGGTTCTCCAGGAGCGGCGCCCTTAAGAAGAGTGCCGGTGAAGCCGCGCACCCAGAGAGTCTATTCCTTGTGTTAGCTGCGGATAGGTTGGGCAATTCGGAGCTGGAGTAGGTAGGTCTCTTACTGGATCTTTGTAAGGCTTGCGTGCCACGGGCGGGGTCGCTTCGGGCTTTTTGGCGTCACCCTCAGCGCTGTCGCATTTGTCTTCACCTTTGGCGTCGTCCTTGTCTTCGCCTTTGTCGTCGGCTTTGCTCCGGTTCTCGCTGTGTATGGAAGCGGCAGCACTGCTTCCAGGAAGATTCACGGAAGAGTGGCCGGCGGACTGAGGCTCCTCTAGATCCTTCTCCTCGCGCAAAAGGGGAGTCGATGAATTTGGAGAGAGAGAGACAATGGTGAAGCCCAAGCGTGACCCTTCAGGCTGGTCAGCGGACTGAGTCCTCTCGGCGGGCTCCTTGCGCAAAAGGGCAGTCGATGAGTCGGGAGTAAGAGTGCCAGCGGTGAAGCTCAAGCGTGACCCTTCAGAACGCTCGTCGGAAACAATGTTCCAGGAATCTAGACCGAGAGAGGCTGTAGAGGAGCTCAAGCGTGCGCCTTGAGACTTTTCGCCGGGCACAATGATCGAAGCACCGAAACCGAGAGAGGCCTTGGAATCGCTCAAGCGTGACTCTTTAGACTCCTCGTCTGAAACAATGTTCCAGGAATCAAGACCGAGAGAGGCTGTAGAGGAGCTCAAGCGTGCGCCTTCATACTTATCGCCGGGCACAGTGATTGAAGCACCGAAACCGAGAGAGGCCTTGGAAACGCTCAAGCGCGACTCTTTGGACTGCTCGCCAGACGCAGTGTTCGAGGCACTAGGGTTAGGAGTGGCCATGAGGGTGCTCAAGCGCGACTCTTTAGACTGCTCGCCAGACTCAAGGTTCAAGGCAGCAAGATTGGGAGGGGCCATGGAACTGTTCAAGTGTGACTGGTTAGCCTGCTCGCCGGACGCAATCTTCGAGGCAGGAAAATTGGGAGAGGCCATGGAACTGTTCAGGCGTGACTGGTTAGACTGCTCGCCGCTCATGATGTTCGAGGCACCAAGACCGAGCGAGGCCATGGAATCACCCAAGAGAGACGCTTCATCCCTTACACTCAGGACGACTTCTTTCTCTTTGAGTGAGACAAGCTGCTCTTCAGTCTCCTCGATAATAGTACAACGATCCCAGAAGTCCAGGCGCATGTAGACAGGGACATCGTCATCGCCAATATCTGCTCACAAGGTCAGTTCGTCTCACTCAGCTATCACCTGGCATGGTGTTGCGTATTTGTTTACAAACAACACAAGGAGCACAAGCAATGAGAGGGGACACTTACCACCAGATGTGTCACCGAAGCTCGCAGAGCTCTGAGTTCCAATACTAGCGGCCAGGCTGTCGGTGCTCTGGTTGCCCAGGGCGTTGACCAAAACCGCGGACTCCAGAGACATGTTGCTTTCATTCTTGTTAGACATAACCTTCTCCTTCTTGCTGCCATCGCTAGGCTTTCCATGCTTCTTGGAGTTAGACTTGTTGTCCCTGGCGATCTTAGAGTTACCGGTCTCTGTTTGGAAGGTCCAAGCATAAGCTACCGCTAGACGAGCTACAACACAGGCAAGAAGACGACAACTTACTCTCCTTGGTCATCGAAACCACAGACCACTCAGAGACAGACTTTTGGTCGCTCTCCTTCTCAGCGGCGGGGCCTTCTTTGTTGAGCTCCATCTTGTAGTCAGTAGGTCCAGCCTGGGTGACGGATTGTTTGAAGGAGTGTAGGTTCTCGTAGTACGCCAACGCAGGATGCTCGTACTGGTCCTCGACGAGAGGGGGGCGGTCGAGCTCTTTCTCTGGACGACGTAGTCTGCGCTGGTAATCCTCCAGCGTGGGAAACAGGTGATCCAGGTCTTCAATGGTCACTGCACGCGGGGCTGCGCGCGGGGCTTGAGTGCTTTGGTTGACTGTTACCACCGACTCACTGAAACGATGTCATTTGATGAAGGGGGTTGTTTACCTGGTCCTCCTTGAGGCGTCCCTGTCCCTTTCACACAGTCTCGACAACTTGAAGACCGCGGTTCCTGGGATGAATGGGTTGAGAACTTGTTTGATGGTTGGAATCATGATAGCTGGGTGATGCGTGTTGGAAGTCACATTGGGGGCGATGATGCAGTTGACAGTATCGAGAGATAGTAACTGTTGACATTAATGTTAAGGCTACTAACACTATAAGGTCCCGTGACCTTATACATGGTTGCGCCAGGAACTGAAACGAGAAGATCGATGCTGGAGTGAATTGGTTATAATCTGGCGTTAGGCTGACTTCCTGTAGTGAAGTGTTATTATCGGTTCGTTGTTATGTTCTTTATAGGCGACTATATGCAAGCCAGGCACAGTGAATATGAATAACCAATATCAGCTTGATAAAGTAGAACTCTGGAGAAAGTGTGAGGCTGGTTGTTTGTCGATGGAGCTATCCTCCTGCAGCTACATAGGCTAGTACTGTACATATCTTTCCTCTTCACTGCTGCACTAGATCCACCATCATGGAAAACCCACCAACCCTCAGCTCATATAGTCAAGCCCATAGCAGGAGCTTTCTCAGTCTACATCTCAGCTTCCTGGCATACAGGTCACGAGGTAAAAACTATTCCCTCACTTAGTATGAGCTGACACAAAAGCAAGTTTGGAGATCATATGTACATTGCTATCTATCCATGCGAAAGCGCCCCCACCAGGGCGACTATGGCTAAGCGGAACTAACTACATTCTCGAAGAGAGCAACAAAAAAAAAGAAAACCACAGGACCAGCACCAAGATGTACCAGATATGAGATACGTCCTTTGCTGCCATCTACACGAGCGAATGAAAATAGAACCCAAAGGTGCAGAGCTGTCATCCCTCAAGTGCAATGCCGGCTTGTCCCTCTCTCCCTGCAGAGCCGCAAGTGAAGTAGCTGTAAAGACTGACGCCGGGAAGAATACTGGAGGGGATCTTAAGGAAAAAAGAACGAGAGGCACTTTTCTTCTCTGTTGTTTCTTCTTTGAGGTCTCATGGGTCACGTCACAGACGTTTTGTTGCACCTACCGGGTTCGTGTCAAGGGCAGGCAACCTGGGGAAGAGGCTACCACCGAAGCTTCTTTTTTTTCTCTCTTCTCCCCCGTTCCCAAGAGTTGAACGGCATGCATCTAAGTCATGGCGTGGGTTCTAGTCCACTCTTTCGCGGTCTGTATGGCAGCCGGCTCATCCTCCTTCCAGCGTTGGGCGACGTCGTTGGCGAGCGGGTCGTCGGGGTTCGGGGCACCCAGCAAGGCCTGGATTGAGAGTAGGATCGTGCGGATTTGTAAAGCGGGGGACCAGTTGTCTAGTTTGGTGGTTAGTTCTCATCCCTTTCCTCGTGGCATAAGTTCCGTAGAGGACATACTCTTGAGCACGTCCAAGCAGATCCGTCCCAGCCGGTCGATGTTGGGGTGGTAGATCTTCGTCAAGAAGCGGATCTTCGGGGGAGTCATGGGGTAGTCCTCGGGCAAAAACAGTTCGAGACGGAAGATGCCACCTTCAAAAGCGAGTGGTTAGCGGCCAATCAGGCTATCCCTCGCACATTTCCAGACGATATACCTTCGTACGGCGACTGTGCAGGTCCGTGGATCGAGACATCGAAGTAGCGCAAGTTGTCTTCATGCGGGACAGCGTTGATGCCGGGAACCCTGCGGATGGAGATACGTTAGCCAGTCTTGTAGGAGACGAGGACTCGAGACAGACTCGACTTACGGCTCCGCCATCAGGCGCTCAGTTTCCTTGATGATTCTCTTCGGCAACGCCATCTTGGACCTGTAGATTGAAATGAACCTTAGTATACATCCAGACCCTTGGGTTCCTAGCGCCTTCAAGTACTCGAAGGTGGGGCGGGGCTTACGGTTTCTCTGCTTTTGGCCTGTCTGGAGCGTGACAAATCAAGTTCCTACACCAAAAAGGAGAAGAGAAGGCAAAACAAAAAGAAAAACAGCAGTCGACCTGTGAGCTGCTTATCGAGAAGGAAACAAAAAAAAAGACCAATAGCTTTAGGTTGTCTATACGTGATCCTCTTCCGGAAACTAATCTGAATCGACGTAACCCGACAGAGGGGCACTGCATTTCGGGCATTTGTCACCCACCGCAATATGCACGGGTTGCTCGGAACGCCATCCGTGCAGGTGCCTTGACCCGAAATGGAAAGTCCGGATTCCCCCAGACTTGTGGAGCTGCGACTGAGCCTCAGTGTCTCGACTCCTTTGGGGCAGATGCGGTTGCTTGAGGTAGGCTTGCTTGTGAGTTAGGCCAGCTTCATTGATGAGATCATTGGCTAACAGCGCGCTTGCTCAGCTATCTCTAGCTCATTACCTCTCTCAAGACCCCGCATGCCCATTGTATGCAAAGCTCCGAACTTCGACCAGTTCCATACTTGCTCAATGCGCGCTACTGCTTTCTCTCAATTGTCCATTATCCGCAATTGACCGGCCCTTTATGTTATCGAGAGTTCGACATGAGACCAACACGTCCTATCGCACACGATCACATCTCTCATGCTCGCATTCCTGCTTGAATTCGATACTTTTCCAGGGTGTGGATAGCAGCCGAGACGCAGCGCAACGAGGACGGAGCTTCCGACGGCCTGGCCAGACGACGGAACCATGACGGACACCAGTGAGCCCAGGCCACCGACGTCGGCCTATGAAAGTCCAACATTCGGCGAAGATAGTTCATTTCATGTGGAGCAACCTGTTGGGTCTATGTCCATATCGCCATGTGGACGGGATGTGGTGCTAGCTTCCAAGGAGGGTCTGCACGTTATTGATCTGGACTCGCCTTACTCCCCGCCCCGGTACCTGCCTCATCACACACCGTGGGAGGTCGCGGATGTCCAATGGTCGCCATTCGCGGCCCGAGACTACTGGGTCGTCAGTACATCGAATCAGAAAGCACTGGTCTGGAACTTGGGGATGAAGACTTCGGAGAGTTCAATTGAGCATGTACTGCACGCCCACACGCGGGCGATCACCGACATCAACTTCTCGGCGCATCATCCGGATATGTTGGCCACCTGTGCTGTTGATAGTTTTGTTCACTGCTGGGATCTGCGCATCACCTCCAGGCCCGCCATATCATTCTCCGACTGGTTTGCTGGTGCAACACAGGTGAAGTGGAATCGACAGGACCCTAATGTGATCGCGAGCTCGCATGACAAGTTTCTACGGATCTGGGACAAACGGATGGGCGCGTACCCGATCACATCCATCCAAGCACATGACACGAAGATTTACGGCCTCGATTGGAATAGAGTACGACCCGGGGCTCTCACGACTTGCTCACTCGATCGGACGATAAAGTTCTGGGATTACACAGTCGATACCGAGGTTCCTGAGAAGCTCATCCGGGCACCGTTCCCCGTGTGGCGCGCACGAAACACCCCATTCGGTTGGGGTGTCTTAGCCATGCCGCAGAGAGGTAACAGTGATCTTCACTTGTACAGTCGCAGACTCGGAGAGGGTGCCAATCCCGGCGAGGATCTTCCGTTGGTTCACAGCTTCCCGGGACACAAAGGTCAAGTGAAGGAGTTCCTATGGAGAGCTCGTGGGGGTATAGCTGATGGGATTGATCATAGAGATTTCCAGCTCGTCTCATGGGGCACCGATCGAGAACTCCGATTGCACAGGGTTGACCCGGATATCTTACAACGAGTGGGCTATGAGAAAGGAAAGTCGTTTATCTCTAACTTTAATCTTACCCGTAAAGGTGCGGTCTACAAGTCCTTTCGGGATACGAACGCCGACCAAGATGATGAAGACACAGGGTCCCTCTCGCCGAAGACCCAACAAAGCGCCACGCCACAAACCTCCCGCAACAAGGGGCTGAATACGATTTCTATCCCATATGCGCGCGGCTGGACACAAGGTGGAGGCAACTCGGACTCCAGGATAGGCATGCAGGGGCGGACGAACGTTCGAGCCGATACCAACCCTATCGCATGGATGCGCGGCGTGAAGATATCTGGCTGGGACATCGAAACCCTGGGTGATGAGATCACTCATGTTGGAGAGAAGTTCACCAAGGTATCTTTTGAGTCCGTTGATGTCAGGCAAAGGAAAGCGATGATATCCCTCAACGGCCCGTGGGGTGCTGATAGCGACTCTCTTTTCTTGAAAGTTGATATCAAGTTTCCGAGTGATTACCCCCGGGCTTCCATTCCTATATTCAACGTACAGAAGACTGCCGCAGTTACCGATGAGCTTGCCGACAAGCTCGTGGCAGAAACTCGGAAGATAGCAGATACCTACTTAACTCACAAGCGAGGCTGCTTGGAAGGGGTACTTCGTTATCTACTGGGCGAAAGCACACTTGAGGAAAGTATGGCATGGATTTCTGGAGAAACAGCCGAGACTGTCAAGTCCCCGATCAATGGCCAGCTCGAGGGAGAGGAGTCAAGCGATGAGGACGAAGTCGGGCTATCCCAAAGCCAAGACTTAGGCATGAGCTCGGAACTACTTCGTCCAGTCAATGCCAACGTTATGGTGCCTGTGGCTAAGGGATGTGGTGCGTTGTGGGCAAATGACGGCCGTTTGGTATGCTTTTTTCCCTCCAAGAATGATAAATCGGCAGAATGGATGGAGAACCTAGGCCTGAGAGAGATGTCCAGGCTCTCGAGAGCCGATAAAGTTTTTGAAGGGTTTGGCCGATTGCAGACGAGCTCGCCTGGTCCGCGGCCTTCTGCTACGATTGCCAGCACTGATGATGGCGCATCAGAGTATTCCGATGACTCGGACGCGGAGAGTTCAAGCTCTTCCGGGTCCTCCGGTATCTTATCAGGGTTGCAGCATCGATTCCCGACTCCTCAAACATGGAGGAGTGGTGGCAGCCTGGGGATTTATAGGCCACGCTCTACAGATAACTCCCAGAGGTCAACAGCGGGAGCAGTGACCACGAAATCGTCTGATCCGCCTCAGAACGTGATTTCGATTCACGACTTCAGTGATATGCTACCAGCAAAACGCGAATTGGCTGTCGGATATCGTATCTGTGGCAAAGCCACGGATGTGTGTGCCCATAATTCTGCCGTCGCTCTCGATCACGGGTACCACGAGCTAGCTCGAATCTGGGGCCTCCTAAGGCTCATTCTTCACAACCGGAAATCATCGATGCTTGCCTCTAGTCTAGACCAACTAGGAAGGCCGCCGCGCATTCAGCGAAAAGACAGTGCTATTGATCTTACTTACGACGCCAAGAGCCATAATAGGAGCTCGAAGGGATCCCAAGCCTCGTCAATAAGATGGGGGGATCACCCTTTTGGTAGTCACTGGCTCATTCCATCTCTATTTGATCACTTCGAACGAATCGGCGATGTACAGATGATCGCGATGCTGTCATGTGTCCTGCACGAACCGAACAATGAAGAGATATCGGCGAAGGAGAAGGTTCATCACAGTAGGAGTGTCTCTAAGCGCATGGAAGAACATTCATTCTCGTTCGACTTTTACCCTCCGCATACAGTGATACAAAACAAATCACATACTGCGACTCCCCTTGCCACCACACCAAAAGACAGCCATACAACTCCCATCACACACAGTTCCGGACGCTCATCCTCCGAGATTTGGCGTGTTGATTCCACTCCTCCTTATTCTACGGGAACAACTCCCCCGCTGAACTCTCGAGTTGCGGCCCTACCGGCAGACCGGAAAACTTGGAGCCAAAATGTATCAATAGCAGCCTCACCCGATCAGCAGTCTCAGCCTCGAAGTGCATCGGGGCTTGGTTCTGTTCTTGCCTCTTCCCTTTCCCGGTCTTTCACCTTTGGGCCCTCTTCGGCGTCCCCCCCTGCGACTGCATTGTCGAAGAAGAAGCAAAGTCCAAGTGGCAGCCTACATACGACCGGTGGATCCGGTATGTGGGTTACCAGTGCTCTTACGGCCAAGCCTGCTTCGGCGGTTCCGGACTATCTGACTACCTCTACCGCGCTTACTTCACAAACCCATTCCGACACGGAAAGTGAGCGACCGTCACCTGCGAAACCCCGGGCGAAACTGCAAACAACATTCAAGAATCAAAATGCATTTGACAGCGGCAGCTCACAGAACACGTTCCTTGACCCAAAGAAAGAAGGTCTATACCATTCATATCGAGCAGCATACGCCCACCTCCTTTCAATCTGGGCATTGCCCGTACAACGCAGTGAGGTTCTCAAAATTGGCGGCATAGCTAGTCCTCTCAAGGACCTGCATGTTCCTCGCCAAAATGCCAATGGTCACCATGATTCATTCTCTTTCCCAATCTCAAAACATCGGGGCGCGACCACGGTGACTATTGATGAGGAGAATCGAGGCCTGGACATTCAACGCCATTGCAATAAGTGTGGACAGGCACTTCAACATTCGATCTTCGCCACAAAAGCTGCCGTTGAAGCGCTGACCTCCAAGAGTCATATGAAGGGGACTGCGACATCCATCGTCACGTGCCCCAACTGCAAACCAAGACAGTCACTTGCTCTGAAGTTGCCGTGTGTTATATGCGGCGAGGTGGTGGACGGAATGCTTATTCCCTGTCTCGGCTGCGGTCATGTCAGCTGCTTTGATTGCCATCGAGGCTGGTTCTCCATGGCTTCCGCAGACACTCATCCTGATGATCACGCTGAGCAAGACGAATACCGATACTGTCCGAGCGGCTGCGGGTGTAAATGCTCTGATTTCATTGACATAGATCCCGCCTCACCCTGGGACGTAACCACAGACCCAACGAGTCCACAAGAGCGGGAGAGCACCCACCATCGGCATCGAAGTAAGAAGTCTGATGGGGCAGTCTCCACGAAAAATTCCGGTGAACACGCCACGGCACCTAATAGTGCTCAACATGGAGAAGACGCCGATCGATCGCAGAGCGTCTCGCCTTTTGCATCTCTTGCGAAAGGCCTGGGTGGAGGATTGAGCAGAGGGCTGCGACTACGGGACGACAAAAGAAGATCGAAGCTGTCGTCGACTTCGTTTGTCCCCAAGAAGTCTTCGATGAATCAGGTTGTTGAGAATAGATGATGGTCATTTGTCTCTGCGTTTCTAGCTAGCGACGTTGTGTATACCCCTTCGGTTTTTTCTTTGTTTTGGTAGCTCTAGGGTTAGGTGCTGGTTTAATCCTACTTTTAAGATATGGTCCGTTTACCATAATCGATCACGTCGGAGATAAAGCGGAAAACTGTTTTGAAAATGAGCTTCTGTTTGCTTTGTAATCAGTTGGTTGTAATTTAGCTATGTGTTACCATGCAAAGGTCATGGACGGACACGAATGATAAGATCTCGACACGGAGAGTGTCGATGTGATGCCTGAAAGATCTGGTCACGAACCAACCGCTTATCGGCCAAAGTCGATAACACTCCGCCGTCATTTCTCGATCATTGACCCACACCATCACTCACTTTGTGACCTACCTCATCTTCACCACTGTCCGACATGAGGAGTAGGGTATCTCAGAACTAGACGCTATCTTAATCTTACTCTTACGTACCCATTGCCAAACTACTATGAGCAACACCGGTCTTGTCGCATGGGGCGTTCCCCGGCTAGCGGAGCTTCTTCCGTTGGACCAGGAATCGCTCACCCAGATCATCGACTACGCCGCCAGCCTCTCCAAGGAAGAAGGAGCCAACCACCTCAAGAACCTCTTGGGTGACTCGCCCGCCGCATTCGAATTCATCGCTGCCTTCAGCTCCCGCCGTTCGGCCCCGCCGCCGCAGCGCTCCGCCGCATCCTCACCAGCACCGACATCCGCTCCCGCCCCCTCAAGCACATCGTCCGCACCTCCCAGAAACACCAGCAGCAGTTCAGGCCGAAAAGGCAAGAAGTCAAAGCCACCGCTCCACAGCGCTGGCCCTGTGCGCCGGCCCGAGAACTTCGGCGACGTGACCGGCGGATACAGAAAGGAGGATCAAATTGAGGATTACATGCCTGTCTCCATGTCAGGCCGGGGTCGACCGGATGCGAAGCCATCTCTCGGTCTACGAAATCTACCGGTCACAACTTCTCAAGGATCATCCGCTACCTCATCGCGCAACCAGTCGCCCGCCCCTCCCCGGCCTACATCCACCACCACCACCACCACCAGCAAGAACAACAAAGCCCCACCTTCAGCCGCGGGACCCGTCATCTCGGATCTCCTACCTAACGTGAAGTCGAAAGCTGCCAAGTCAACGGCGCGTGGCGCCGCAAATGCAGGCGGAGGAGGCTCGTCCTCCTCGTCATCGGCCAAGGGCGGCGGCGCCCTGACGACAACGAACATCACCGATCTGACAGCCGCGATCGCCGCGCTGGAGGTGTCCACAAACCCGACGCTGGGCCCGGGGGCCCGGAAATGTACGTGCTACGCCAGCATCCACCCGCTCTTCGACCCGGCGCCGAACTGTCTGAACTGCGGGAAGATCATCTGCGCGCTGGAGGGGCTGCAGCCGTGCTCGTTCTGCGGGACGCCGCTGCTGTCGAGCGACGAGGTGCAGAGCATGATCCGGGAGCTGCGCGCGGAACGGGGCCAGGAGAAGATGCGGGCCCACAATGAGAGCGTCCAGCACCGGGACGGGGGACCGGGGCTGGGACCAGGAAGTAACAGTACCAGCAATAATAAGCTGGATGCGGCCCGCGCGCATCGCGATAAGCTGCTACAGTTCCAGGCGCAGAACGCCAAGCGCACGCGGGTGGTGGACGAGGCGGCGGACTTTGAGACCCCCAATGTCGCGTCGACGCTGTGGATGACCCCCGCGCAGCGGGCGCTGGCCCTGAAAAAGCAGCAGCGCATCATGCGGGAGATGGAGGAGAAGGCCCGGCCGGAGTGGGAGAAGAAGAAGACCATCATGAGCTTGGATATCAAGGGTGGTCGAGTGACGCGGGTGTATCAGTCCGCCGCGGAAGCGACCGGGTCGGCGAAGGCCGCGGAGGAGGGGGAGGACGAAGATGACAATGAGGCCAAGGCTGCGCAGCGAGATGAGGCCGATCGTGCGAACAGCGGTGGCCACGCGTTTAGCAACAATCCGCTCCTGGCGGCTGGCGGGCTGCTCCGGCCGGTGTGGAAAACGGCCGACGGTAAGCAGCCCGAGACGGCGCGCAAGGAGCGCCAGCCAACCTGGCGGCGGGTGCAGGATGACAACGACGATAACGAGCAGTGGATTCTAGATGGCGGGGCGCATGGGTATACATGATCCTATGGAGGCGCAAAGATTCTGGCGTCACCGTGCAGTTCCTCCCTCTCTCCCTGCGTTCAGGAGTGAGTGTGTTGGCTTGTACATACTCAACATTCTCCTTGCATAGTATCTACGTGTGTTCTCGCTGGTTGTATACACCACAGCAAAAACCACACTACGTATCTCTCAAGCTAGCGAGCCATCGTATCCTTCGGTGGGGCACAATGAAAGCCAGAGCCCGTATTAATTTCAACTTGGAATAGACTCTCGTACTGGGTAATTGCTACGCTACAATGGGAGCTAGAGCTCGTGTTCGGAAGGGCGATACCTGCTAGGTAGTAATCCTATCAATAATAATAGTATCCTATAACCTGTCAAACGTTACACATCAGACATATGCCGCATCTATATTACTCCTATACTCACCTATACAGTACACCCCATGGGATAATGAAAAGCATAGCCAACAATTCAACCCAAATTCCCCTGCACTAAAGTACCAGAAACCTGCTCCGCTGGATCATGACGCCAATAGATCAGCCATAAGGTGAGGAGAGATCATGGACCATGGAACGTAACAGCCAGCCAGTTAGTCAGTCACTCGCCCAAGCTGCTAACTAGCTGCTGCGCTGCGTCAAAGCCCGCAAGTAACCGAGAAACCAAGGGTAGGCAGGGCATTATTAATTCAGAGACCGGTCGGTCGGTAGGTATATGAATATTAGCCATCTGCATCTTTCAATATTACCTATCAGTTTGCTCCCCACTTTGGCCCCGTGTCTTACAATTCACTTCTTTACTTGAGACTGAGACATCACGAACCGAGAGCGGGAAGTGACGTTTGCGGGGAAGTTGGCAGTGCCGCAGTATACAAGCTCGGTTCGAAGCGGGTAGATTCGGCCAACCACCACTTACCATTCACGGAGGGTCATCGTATCTGAGATACAAGGTATCAGCAGCTGCAACTGAACACGAGTGAGTGGATTGATAAAGTACTGGCTGGAGTGGTGCTTATACGACTGCTACCTACCTTATTAATACTTGCTCCCCCCTTCTTTCTTCTCCAGGTCGAGAGACCAACTCGTCGAGCTACATCCATCAAGCCAGTCCCAAGGCAACCAGGGCAACAGAAGGATGTTAAGCCAGCTGAGCTGGGACGCCATATCACTATCCCCGGGTGGAATCGCCTGGGGTGTGCTGGGGTTACTCTCCGCGGTGGTGAGTGCACACCGATTACCCTCAGATTCGCCCTATCGTTGCTCTTTCGAAGAATACTACTAACGGGGTATGGATGCAAACAGACCCTCCTCTACACCCTCTACAACCGCTACCTCCACCCGCTCCACCACCTTCCGGGCCCCCTGCTCGCCTCGCTCACCCCCTGGGTCCAGCTGTACCACGGCCTCCGCGGCGACCGCCACCTCTGGCTACACACACTCCACACCCAGTACGGCAGCCACGTGCGGGTGGCGCCCAACTTTGTGTCCGTCAACACCGCACAAGGGCTGCACGACATCTACGGCCACGGAAAGCGCCTCAAAAAGGCCGACTTCTACAATGCGTTCCCGGCCATCAAGGGCGTCTACAACACGCACAACGTCATCGATAAGACGGCGCACGGCCGCAAGCGCCGCGTCCTGAGCCAGGCGTTTGCCGACCATGCGTTGAAGAGTATGGAGGATGTTATGCTCTTGCATGTGCGGCAGCTTTGTAGTGGGTTGGTGGGGAGACAGCTGCAACAGACTCCAACGGAAGGTGGAGGCGGGGAGAAACAGGGGCCGGCAGTGGTGCAGGATTTGGGCCGATGGTTTAGTTATCTCACGTATGATGTGATGGGGGAGTTATGTTTTGGGAAGAGCTTTGATATGTTGATTGAGAGTAGCCGGCGGAGGTTGGTCGAGTTGGTGGATCGCGCGGCGAACCGGCATTATATCGTGAGTGTGCCCCAGTTTCTTCTGTGTCTTCTGGTGGGTTTGGCTGACATTGCGGGGGAACACTTCCAGTGTGGTCTGTGGATGCCCCTCGATCGATGGCACCTGGACCAGATCTTCATTCATCGGTTGACCAACGACCGCTGGAACTTCATCATGAACTCCCGGGTCGAGGCCACGAAGCGCGCCCAGGAACGCACCCAGGCGGGCCACGACGCCAAACGCGATTTCTTCTACTACCTGCTGAACGCCCGGGACCCGGAGTCCGGACAGGGGCTGACCACCCCGGAGCTCTGGGGCGAGGCCAACGTTCTGATGATCGCGGGCAGCGACACGACGTCGACCACCCTCTCGGCCACGGTGTTCTACCTGGTGCGCAACCCGCTTGCGATGGAGCGGCTGAAGAACGAGGTCCGCGGGGCGTTTACTTCTGTCGAGGACATTGTCTCGGGCAGCCAACTCAACGAGCTGGTGTACTTGAAGGCTTGTCTGGACGAGGCGCTGCGGCTGGCTCCCGCCGTGCCGGGGGCGCCTCCCCGCGAGGTGATGGAGGGCGGCGCCATGGTGGACGGGGTGTTCCTGCCTGAGGGGACCGATTGCGGCACGCCGACCTTCTCCATCCACCACCAGGCTGCGTACTACCGTCAACCGGGTGCGTACCTGCCGGAGCGCTGGATCGAAGGCGCGACGTGTAAGACGGAGTTCGAGTCCTGGGAGACGAGTAAAGAGGATGTCGAGGTCGCGCGACGTGCGTTCTGCCCGTTCAGCATCGGTCCGCGCGGCTGCATCGGCAAGAGCATGGCATTCATGGAGATGCGACTGACGATTGCACGGTTGATCTTCCTCTTTGATCTGGCGTTGGCCGACCACCGCGGGGAGGACGCCGAGGGCCACTTGGCGCTGGTGGATCACTTCACCAGCGCCAAAGAAGGGCCCAATGTGACTGTACGAGTGCGTACGTAGCTAAGCTGATGTAGATTGAGAACACCTAAAGCACAGTACATAACTTCATCGAAATCAGATCCAACCTTCCAGTGCACAGTAGAGGCTGGTTGCAGGGCCGATACCAGGCAAATCGACGCTATCGGAAGGACACGTGCCGGACACGTGCCGCCATCCCCAGGCAGCGAGACAGACTGCCCTTCTCTTTCCCTACATTTCTCTCCGACTCCCCTTCTTACATACATATCAAGAAATCAGTCACTCGTTTATTTCTTTTGATCTCCTCAATATTCAGACTCTCGTTAACCTATTTTCGTTGCCTATTGTTTTGCTTTTAACTTTCATCTTTGTTCCCCCAAACATCGAGATGCCCCCTTCGGCGCTGACCACGACCTTCATACAATCGACCTTCCTTAATGCCATTGCCAATCTCCTCGCCCAGGTCATAGATCAGTACCACCGCGGTGTACGTAGCTTGATTTCTTTTTCCCGTCATCAATTTTCCCGCAATCCCGTGCATGTATAGAAAAAACCACAAAACACGCTATATACATACAAGAATCCACGGTGTCCTCCTCAACATTGACCTCTGTCATGCATGACTAACATGATTTGGGGGAAAATGGGGGAATTGGGGAATTGGGGAAATGGGGGAATAGTTTGGGGGTACTGGGTAGTGGTGGTAAGTGGATGAGAGAGAGAGAGAGGGTCCTATAACTCAACTCTGGATTTGTTTCTTTGGGGTTCTGCGTTTCCCCGCCTTTGCCTTTGCCGTGCCTTGCCCTGCCGTGTTGAAACGGTGAACCCTTGGGCCTTGACGCCTTGTCTCCAAATGATCTTCCGGATCATCCCGAGTCCGAGTCCACTGCGGGAGGCACCAACCCTATGATCCATGATCCATGATGTATACATCGATTGCCTAAACGGGTAATCTGTAAACTTCTGGCCATTCCCATTCGTGTCATGTCCCCAGGACATCATTACCACCTAGCAGGGCACTTGATTCATGCCGAGAAACAGACCTCATCAACACCGAGATCCAGCTTCTCTCTTCCTTTTTGATAATCTAAACACCAAGCCTATCCCCCACCCACACAAATATGGGAGCCCCAACACCAGCCCCAACCACCACAACCCAAACCCCCTCCCCATCACCAAAGAACAACCACAAACCGGACCCTCCCTATTCTCATCCACCTGTCCACCATCCCCCAACTTACCCCCCTTAACCCCCTCCATCCTCCCCTCCCCCCCCCCTAATTTCCCTTCCCAGAAACCATTCCACCTAAACCCCACCGCCCTCCTCCAATTCCTCATCTACGGTCTCCTCAGCGTCCTCCCCAATTTCCTCTGGCAACGGTTCCTCGAATCCCGCTTCCCGGGGTTCCCCTCCTGGCGGCGGCGGTGGTCGTCGGCCCTCACCACCACCACCACCACCACCACCATTCCCCGGACATCATCCACCCCCACCCCGCCCAATCCCGCTACTACGAAGGCCGCACCACCGAAAGGGGAAGTATGCATCCCCATCCCCATCATCCCCATCTTTCCCGAAAATACCACGACCAAAGCCAAAGACAAAGCCAAGGACCAAGACCCGAAAAGGCAAGCGGGGAGGTTCTACCCCCGCAGCAGCAGCAGCAGCAGCAGTAGCGGCAACGGAGTCCGCAACTTCCTCGCCAAGTTCCTGCTGGATCAGACGGTGGGATCGGTGATGAATATCGTGCTGTTTGTGGTGTTGATCAATTTGTTGAAGGGGGTGAGTTGGGCGGGGTGTTGGGGGTTGGTGCGTGAGGTATGTGCTCTTTTTACCTTGACTGTGGTTGAAGTTGGGGAGAGGGAGGGGGGTGGTTCTCCCTTTGATGGCTGGGGCTCGGGCTTAGGTGACGAGACGATGACGAGACGATGCTGACTTTTGAGCTGGGGGCAGGACTTCCGGCCGATCATGATGGCGCGGCTCAAGTATCGGCCGCTCGTCTCGGTGCTCATGTACACGGTGGTGCCGGTGGACCGGCGCGTGGTGTTTGGGAGTGCCTGTGGGGTGATCTGGGGGGTGTATTTGAGTTTATATGCGGTGGTTTAGCCAGTGTCAAAATCTGGCGTCTTGGATATGGGCTGCATAATACTTCGCTTTGTTTCACACTGGGTGCTTGGGGCTTGGGGCTTGGGGCTATTCTGTCAAAGAACGATAGGGGCCCAATTGTCAACCATAGACTAATAATGCTTCGCGTTCATATCATATTAGCATATTACAGTACATCACCCCGCCACTGTATGGATTCCCCGACCTGCCAACTGAAAAGGATAAATCTACATACATCCATGATGTAGCAATCTGAAACCCAGCCCCAGTCATTATAGAAAGTGTAAAAAGAAAAGAAGATTACACTTTTGCGAAGCAGCAGAAGAATCAGCGCAGCCAATTCCAACCTACATCAAGCGGCCGTCCGCTCAATCCTTCGTCCCTTGACGGACAGCCATTCAATAGGCAACGCCCCCACCAGCGCCAGCGCCCCCATCGCCACGGCCACATAGAAGGTCTGCATGATGGCCGAGTTGTACGCCTCCAACGCCTGCGGCAGCGTACTCTCCGGCACGACGTGGCGTAGCATGGTCGCTCCAGCGCCCATCACCTGGCGCACATCCAGCCCCGCAATGTGCCCCAGGTTCTCGCGCAGCTTGTTCTGGAACACGTTCTGGGCGACCGACACGAAGATCGCGCCGCCGAGCGTCTGCGTGAACACGACGATGGCCGTGGCGCTGGGCACGTCGGCTGGGCCGAGCGCGGCCTGACATACCAGCATCGGTTGCTGCAGGCCGATGCCCGCCCCGATCCCGATGATGATCTGGTAGCCGATCCAGTGGGCCGCCTTCGAGTCGGGCTCCAGCGTGCTGAGGAGGCCCCCGCCGATGGCCACGAACACCGGCGATGCCAGCAGGAATGGCGTGTAGTACCCGAAGACCGAGATCAGGACTCCGGCGACCATGGCGAACACAACGACACCCAGCAACATGGGGAGGTTCATGATGCCCGACTTGGTCGCTGATACGCCCTTGATTGCCTGGAACCAGATCGGCAGCTATTTGCAAGTATATTAGCTACTGTTTCGTCACTTGACACAGATACAAAGCAAAGAGGGGCACTCACATAGTAGACGAAGGTGAAAAACGAGCCGCCCATACAGAAGGTGAAAAACGCCCCACCCCAGACGTTCCGATTCTTGATCAGTCTCGGTGGGATGGTGGCCTTGTCCTTGCCCCAGATTTGCGTCCCGATAAAGCACAGAATGAGTAACCCAGATAGGAGGAACAACGCGATGATGCGGCCATTGTTCCAGGCGTAGGTGGTACCGCCCCACTGCAACGCCAGGAGCATGCAGATGACGCCCGGGAGAAAGAAGGCCGTGCCGGGGAGATCCAGCTGAGACACTTGATCCCTGAATCCGTACGTGCTCTTGACCGACCTAGGTGCCTTGAAGAAAATAAGGATAAACAGGATGGTCAGCCCACCGATGGGCAGATTGATGTAGAAGCACCACCGCCAGCTGAGGTGATCGGTGAACGCGCCCCCCATGAGCGGCCCGGCCACACTGGCCACGCCATACATCCCGGCCAGCGTGCCAGCGTAGACCGGTCTTCGTTCCAGCGGTGCTGTTTGGGCAACAATCAGCATGGCCCCGGAGAAGAGACCGGCTGATCCGACCCCAGCAACGGCTCGCCCGATGATCAGAGCCACCGAATTGGGGGCTAACGCGCAGATCAACGACCCGACCTCGAAGATGGCCAGTGCAATCAGATACACCCATTTCGTCGAGTAGAATGTGTACAGCTTGCCGAAGATCAAGGTGAGCGCACAGGTCGTGAGGAGGTAGGCACTGCCGTACCAACCCACGTCGTCCAGGGAGTGGAACTGATCGGTGATCTTGGGGATGGCCGTGGCCAGGATAGTATTGTCCTTGACACGAGAAGAGAGTCAGGGGAGCTCCACACGTTAGTTTCAATTTTGATGAGATCACTTACCAAAGCAATACAGAAGAGAGAGATGGAAAGTCCGATGAGAATCAGGGCAAGCTTCCAAGAAGTGGGATATTCTGGCTCTGAACCAGCAGCGTCATCACCGTGACGCGAGCTTGTTGACTTGGCCTCATTCAGCGGCACATGGATCTGAGAATGGGAGGACGCTCCACGGGACGAGTGTGCAGGAGTACTGTCGCGATCAGTGGATTGCATCCTGCTGGAAGCAGCCTTTCTCATCTCCCTTCTGTTACGCGGAGGAGTCAACTCGATCGACGACGCTTGACGAGACATGGTCCCTGGATGAAGGAAAACACACACGCCCTCTCTGTGATATCAGTCGAATAGAGTCACTATATCACCAGCAAGATGTAGACGATTCTTGGACTAGCATGGACCGATAAATCGAATTAACGGTAAGGTGAATGGGTCAAGGTGCCGTGACAACGTTAGTGTTGGAGGCAGAAACCAAACGCTCAGTCAGTCAGTGCAGTACCAACAATAGCAATGTCAATCAAGTGGAAAGAAAGGAAATGGCAAGACGAGATCACTGAATCAACACTGGCCAGCAGGCACTGGCACTGGCAGAACAAAGTCCCTCCCTAATTTGGAACCGGCTGTACCACCGGACCTTTTCCCTTTTCCCTTTCCTTTCCTTTCCTTTCCACCCTGACGGCGTTTGTCGTCATCAGAAGGAATCCATCCATCCATCCACTGCAGACACGACGGTCGGGGAGCATGACTGTAACCCCATGCTGACTGTGGTGTTCATCCCTGTTGCATGCTCGTGTCCATTCCCAGAGGTCTTCTTTTGTATGGCCCCGGACTAGCTCACCACCCTCTCTCTGGCCTGGCCTGGCCTGGCCTGGACTGGAAGAGGTCAGGAAATCGGGGCTGAACGCATGCAGTGACAGGTGGGATTGGGATGGTCACACAGGCTATGATGAATGAGTGAGCCATCAACAGCTGCATGCATGGCACGGCCGTCCGTGGAGTCTTTGCCTGCTGTCGTCCGGACATTCGGGCGGATATCTACTTCCGCAGTCCGGGCATAGAAGAACATTCACCCACACACAGGCCTGTAGTTGAGTGAATACATCCTCATCAGCCAGTCATAAAAAGAGACTGGGGCTGTCAAGAGGCTCTTAGCTCTGGCTCAGCCGAGAGGAATATTCCCACAATACTCTCATGCGGGCTTGATCACAATGTTCCCATCTGGACGAAGGGATATCCCTACCCCAAAACTATTGCGGCCTGATCAACTGGACATGACCAAAAGGGCCATTATGCTAGCAAGAAAGGTAGAGCTTATTTGTTATTCCCAACCAGTAAACCTAGGATATATTCACAAGATGTGCCAATCAAACAGTTGTGCAACGCCGTAAAACATGATAGTGTATCCAGCACCTCCCTACTTCCCAGCCGCTCTGCCAACACCTGATCCATGCGGAATTTCAGCCATGTCCCTTGCGGGTCCGAGTCCAGACTCGACATCAATGCCTGATATCCTAGCAAAAGGCCGCTCAATCCAACAAAAGTTGAAGCAACATTGAAAAATCACCAAAAAACATCAGATGCCCCCGATCCCTCACTGGCCACGCAAGCCGCTGGTGTTGGGCTTCTTGGCATCCTCTTTGCTGGCGACTAGAGCGATCAAAGCAGCACCCACACCACTGCCATCCTTGGAGATACCAATGCGGATCTTCTTGTTACCGGCCTCGCCAACCTCGGGGACCTCGCGGAGCGCATCCCGCATGTGGCCCTCGAAGTTGGGGTAGAACTCCACCAGACTGCCATCCACACCAATATCCACCAGATCCTCCGACTGCAGCTTGCCAGTGGAGTGGAGAACAGCCGCCAGAGGCACGGCAGCCAGACGAGCGGCACGCTTACCAATAGCATGTACCACGGTCTGGATGGCTTTGCAATCGTCGTTGCTGGGGTTCTCGATCTTCAGGTGATCCTTCAGGGCCGTCTTGATCTGATCCAGGTTCTCGGTCTTGTCGGCCTCAACCAAGCTCAACAAGCTAGTGTCAATGCCCCACTGGCGGAAGAGGGACGACTCCTTAGGGACCGAGACAGTCGACGATGCGCTAGACTTGAGGAAACCCAGGGACTCGTTGCCGTGCATGTCCAGCATAACACGGCGCAGGATCTCACCTAGGAACATACCGGAGACGCGCTTCTCGAACATCTGAATGCCGGGGTTGTTGCTGTCCGCGTCCAGTTGCTGGTCATAAACGGTGTTGGGAAGGACGCTCAGGTGGTTGTCGAAGCTGCCCCATTCGGCGTTGATGATCATCTCCCCGGTAGACTTGTCGTACGAAGAGTGTTCAATGGTCTGCATCTTGGTGATGCGGTCGAGCTTCTCGACATACGCACCGTTGGTGCCCGTGCCGAAGATGGCGCCGAGGAAAGTACCCGTGGCACCAGGGGAGGTGTAGGAGCGAGCCATCAAGGTTCCCACGGTGTCATTGACCAGGGCGGCCACACGCACGGGGAGATCCAGCTCATCGATGGCACTCTGGAGCAACGCGCAGACATCCTGGCCCACGGCATCGGGGATGTCGAAGCCCTTGGTCCAACGAATCAGGGTACCCTTGTTGATGCCCAGCTGGCGGACGGGGAAACTGAAGGTGAAACCCAGGTCAAAGAGTTCCTCCTCGCAGTTGTCCTTCTTCTGGTTACGGCGTCGAATGTGTGCCTCAAAGTGCTCGTTGTGGTGAATGCGCAGGAACGACTCGATCTGACGTGCCAAGAACAGGAACAGATCCTTGGCGGTGCCGGAGGACATGGTCTCCCGAGGGATCATGATCTTAGACTGGGTCAGGGAGAAAGTGGTATCTCCATGGAGGTCAATGGAGCACACGCGGAAGTTGGTTCCGCCAAGGTCTACAGCCAAATACAATCCCTGTCGTGTGTCTGGTCAGCTGGCGGGGTCCGGATCGATCCGGAGGGAAGAGGCCCGGCGCCTGATTCTCTTACCTTTTCTGTGCCATTGGGTACAGAGGTCACGAAGGTTGGGATCTGGCTTAAGGTGGTGTGCTCCTGCGACAGGCCCTCGTCCATCTCGCGCACGTACTCTGTTACACCGCGACGCACCTCGTCGGCAGGGTAGTCAAACTGGCGGGCAATCCGCACAGCCTCTTGGAGAACTGGGGAAGACATGATGACGATTTTGATGTGATGAAGGAGGGGAAGAGAAGAGTAGGTGAGAATGTCGCAAGGATGACGAGGACAAAGAATATGGAGAGGATTCCCGGAAAGAGAGAAACTGGAGGGAGAGGCGGGGGAGGGGGAGGGGAAAGTAGTAGGCCGGAAGAGGGAATAAACTTGCGGAGAGAGAGAGGGGGGAGGAGAGAGATCGAAGTATGGAGATGAGGAGTGGATGAGTGAATAGACAGATGAAGAAAGGATTTTTGGAGAGGGAGAGAGAGGAGAAATGGAGCAGGTGAAGAGGGTAACAGCAGGATAATAAACGAAAGAACAGAAGGACGGAGGAAAGAGAATAATACGGGAATAATGATGAGACTATCCCATTTTCATGGCGGGGTCGATGAGGTCAGTCCGTCGCGGGGCGCCCAAGGAAAAAAAAAACCAACGACAGGGCCGGGTTCGCCGGTCATCGCCTTCGCCTATCCAGTTCCCGAGTCCCCTTCCCGATTTTTACGGTAACCATCCAGTAACTATTCAATTCTGATTCAGTATTCATTATTCAACAGTCCCGGTAGCGAGTGCACTGTCAAGATTCCATGACGTACAGAAGCCACGAGTGCTGGTGGGGGATTGGGTCGTTCCTTCACCGGTGAGGGCAAAAGAGGTTTAGTAGAGAAGGAAATGGAAGGGGCCCGATGGAGAACCTGAAGCCTTTCTGCCAAGTGAGTCTCACGATGGTGCGGTATTGCTCAAGTATCCTGGGTAATTTTCCCCTGATGATGAGACATGTGGCCTCCCACATCTCCAGATATGCCTCTGATCTGGGGCATATGGAGAGAATGAACTATACTGTGTACGGAGTAGGTAACACGCGACGAAGGATTGGTCCCCCCCCCTTTCCCCTGCAGAGTACAGAAGCTGTCAAAGACAAGAACACCATCGATCATGTCAGCTGCATCTCGATGATTATCAGGACCCTGCCTACTGTAGACAGAGCCGTAACCTTAAAAAGAACAATGTTCCCCGGGGGGGAAGGAATTGATGGTTGGTAGCATCACCATACGGGAAGATGGGATACGAGCAGGATCAGGCGACTTTGAATCCGTACCGGATGCGGTATCAAGCCCCAGGCCACGAGATCAGGCACTAACTAGGCACCAAGAGCCAAGGCACCGAGGCAGAGTTATCCGATCTGACACCTCAGGCATTCACACGTCCAGGCATCCAGACATTCAGGCAGAGGGGAGAAAAACCAAGGCACTAAGGCAGGAGCTATCCGTCGTCACTGACTAATGGCACGTGACTATGGCCGGCGGAAGTCGGCTGGGAACGCAGAAGCATCAAGATGCAATCCCCTCCGCCGACAGTGGAATTGTCCCCGATCCGTGCATTCAGCGGCCACTCATTACCCTGCCTTCCTCCTGAACGTACCATCGGTCTTCGTGTGGCTGACGGACTCAACCCATTTTCCTTGATAACGAACCCTCCCTAACACACTCCTCAATTCATCACATCATGGGCGCCGGCAGCTCCAAGCCCGAGGCCTCGGCCGGCTCGACACACGTTTTCACGAGGTATGTACACATCACAGCTGAGGCAGCTCGCCTGCATCATGCTTGTGTGTCTCCCCAATTTACACCCATGCGCCAAGAAAACAAGATTGGCGTAATTGCGCGGCTCAATGGGTTGGAGAAACAAAGATGACGATTTCGTCACGACCCTTCCAATCCGGGAAATCACATACCTCACTCAACACCTACCATTCATGAGTTCCAATGGCGCCTGGATCAGTCTGGACCAAAGCAAACTTGAAAGCTAACAACAATTCCCAATCCAGCAACTCCCCCGTCCAATTCTCCTCCAACCTAGTTGAGTCCCTCCAGAACAACACCGAGGTACGTTACATTGAACAATCCAATCCACCCTTCCCCCCAAATCCCCAAATCTCCTCCACAACCTCATCCACCCAACCATACTAAATCTTCTCGAAAAAAACAAAAGACCGACTCCTCCCGCGCCAAAGCCCTCGAACTCCAGATCCAAGCGCGCGTCTCGGAAGAACTCGAACGCCTCCGCGCCCGCGAACAGCAGACCCTCGCGGAGATCGAGAAGCGCCTCGCCGAAGTCAAAGACACCGCCACCTCTTCCTCTTCATCAGCATCCTCCACATCCACCCCGAACATCGCCTACCCGCCGGGCTCCCTGAACCTGGATGCGCCCCGCATCCCCTTCGCCGGCCGCGAGGCCACCCCCGCCGCTGCCGCGGCCCCGGAGGCCCAAAAGCCCATCAACCTGGACGTGTCGCGGGACTCGGTGAACTCGGAGATCGAGGAGCTGCGCGCCCGGCTCGAGGGCCGGCGGCGGTTGGCGCAGCTGGACGGGGAGGTGGAGAAGGCCCGGGCGGAGGTGGTGGGTTGTCTGCGGTTGAACGACCGGCGGCCGCTGAACTGCTGGAAGGAGGTCGAGAGCTTTAAGCGCGAGGTCGCGAAGATGGAGGAGGCGTTTGTGGATCGGATTGTCGGTTAAAGTCGGGGATAAAATGGGCAGACAGACAGAAAGACAGAGAGGGGGGGATCTTTGGGAACATGCGTCCACTGACGCTTGTGTAAAGTGTGTTGTTAGTTCTGTGTGAGTGTGTATGTGTTAGCTATGTTGTTTCTTTATGAATAGATTCGATTCCTGTGGTTTTTCCTTCTTGGTTTGTGTCATGATGTATATGTCCGTCGAATTGGGGTTTATTTTGGCTGCTTGCTCCATAGATTCAAGCACTTGTTTCCATTTACGAAAGGTTAGACTCAGCAGGGTCTTTTGCTGGCAACATACACAACTCAACATGGCCATCATTAGAACCCCCAACCAAGACATTTAGAACATCCGCCTGGAACCAACCTTTCCTTCGCATGAGATCATTGATATTCAACACCCACCTCAAACCACACCTAATTGGCATCCATAAATTCACTCTACAAAACTGCGGGGGTATCATGAAAGACCGAAACCCATCTACATACAACATACAACCATGAAAGGCATTACCTCCAACTCAGATCCCATCCACAGCTAAACAAGCTCCCAATACCCCAGTCGCCCAACCAATTCACCCGCAGACCGAACAATGCACAGGTTCTTCTTCGCCTTCGCTTTGTCTTTGCTAGTAGTAGCCTTCCGGACCTTGATGATCTGAATCGACCCGATGCCCGTTCCCTTGCCCTCTGCCAGGTTGTAGTTGCCCGTCGTGACGAAGCCAATCAGATCATCCTCGGAGGGAAGCGGGAGGTGTGTCTGGCGGTCATCGACTGTGTCGGCGCAGGGGGCTATGAGTGATGCAGCGAGACGCTGTTGGGCGTCTTCTTTACTTGGAGGCTTGTCGGTGGCGGTGGTGTTGGCGCGGGATTGTTTACTTTGGTCGGTCTCCTTCGAAGCGAGGGAGACCCAGCGCTGTCTGAGGTCTGGGTCATTGGTGGGGAGACGGTAGATGCGGGCTCGAGGAGTCGGGGTGCCACGGCTGACGAGGGAGATGCGAACTGTGGCAAGGGTGGCGTTATCAACACTGACTGATCGATCACTGAGTGCGCGGGATGCTTGTGATGACGAAAGTTGGTGGATGTTCAGCGGTGGAAGGCTTGTAGTAGCATCAGCAGCAGCAGCAGCAGCATCCCTCCTAGTGATATCTGCCTCTTTGTCCGTCTTCTGCGCATCCTCGGCGGCCTTGGCTGGACCATGAACGAGTCTTTCCCAATCGCATGCCCAACCTCGGCCGATTTCGCCTTTCTGACCATTGCGCAGATCCAGAGAGTCGAATTCGACCCGACGCCCCTTGGGCCGTCGCTCCCATGCCTTTCTCGCCTCCTCTCGCTCGCGCAGACCCCATTCCCACCCGGCACGGGTTCCGGGGTAGTCGCCAGGGAACCAGGGTTCACCGGATTCGAATGCCAGCTGTTGCTGCTCTTTGAGACCTCCGAATCGGGGGATGCCTCCGCTTGACAGAGGGTAGTACATCAGGCTGTACCAGACAGGGAGAACGCATTTCCAAGGGAGCAGGATCGTCCAGCTACCCGGGGCGTTGTTGTCCTTCGATTGCGCAGGCGATCGGCACGCAAGGACGATGACAGGGATCTGCGGATCTGTCTCCTTTGCTGGGGGGATTTCTCCCGGCCCAGCTGCTGAGCGTCGCCGATTGATGGCCTTCTGGCTCGGCATCTGACGCGCAGCGGCCAGACGCGCACGGCGATCAAAAAGAGCCGGTGCAGTCTGGGTACGATCCGGGTGCCAGTCAGAGAGCAGAACCGCCAAATCCTGCATGTCACTCTCGGATGTTGGGGGTTTCAAGGTCTTTGGAGGGTGGCTCAATCGGGGATCGGAGACAGAGAAGGCGAGCAGCGCCTCTCTCGGTAACGAAGCGGCGTTGGACACCCCCAACAAGGAGCTCCAAGTAGCCTCCGGGCTATTCTGTGTGAAAGGTTTTCCATCCGCGACGACCGGCTTCAGGGAAGCGATCAACGCCTCCATTGACCCGGGGCCAGTGATTTCAATACTACCAATCTCGAAACGGAGATCCTCGACCATGACGGGCGGGTTCTGCTGTTTCGAGATTACCAGCACCTCATTCCACAGCTGCAGGAAAGCCGACGGGTGAACACGGATCCAAAGCTTCTTGCGTTGCTGCTGCAGCTGCTTCTTTTGTTTCCCAGCAGCAGCAGCAGCATCAACATCCAACATCTCCACATCCCGATCCTCACCCCCCGCAGCCCCAGCAGCACACCACACCAACATAACCTCCGCAATCGGCCTCCTGCTCTCCCCCTCACCCGGCGGCGCAGCAGCCTCAAATACCCAAGCCCGTAACCCTCTCTTCCCCTCCCTCCACTTCTTCCCTTTAACCCCCCAAGCACCCTGCCCCGCATCACCATCAACCCCCAGGCCCCTCAAAACAGCCTCCACCGCCGCCCCCGCCCCCTCCAACTGCAAGGTAGCCATATAACTCAAATCCCACGCCACGCAGCCCCTCGTACCCCTCGCCCGATGCGTAGGCCGATAACTCTTCTCCGTCGGCGACAACGGCACGGCAAACCGCCACAGCGGATCCAGCGAAGTGGTCATCTTCGCCCGCTTCGCATGGAACATATGGGTCGGCAACCAGGTCTTGCAGCGCTGCCGTTTCCGGAACCGGGCCTCCGGCGGCGCGGGGCGCGAGAGCCGGTTCTTTTTGATCTTGGGCACGCGCGGCGCGATCTCGAACGCATGAGTTGCTGCTGCACCCCCGGTGTTCGCCGCCGCCGCCTCCAGTTGTTGTTTGAGTTCAGCTGCCCGCTGCGCCCGCCGCTGCACCCGTTTCGCCTTCGTCCGCTGGTTCAACCCCTGCAAGCGGCGCGCCGTCTCGAGGCGGATGCGCATCTGTTCGGTGGGTTTGCGGGTGCGCGAGTTGACGGTCGGGGTGTTGTCTTCTAGCATCTGTGCGTATACCAGAATTCAAGGGGTTAGCAAAGGAGAGAACAATTTAGCCCCTCTCCCCTCCCCCGGAAAAAAAAAGACGTACCTCTCTCCTCGCCCTCGCCCTCAACCGCCTCGGCACGCGCTTGACATTATGACTCGCCGTCCGCCGCCGCAACGCCCGCGGCACCTTCTGGAACGCCCGACTCGTCAACGCCGCCCGCGACCGCTGCATCCCGGCCTCCAGCGACCGGATCTCGAACTCCCGGGCCTCGACGTACGCCGCGACGTCCAGCTCGCCGGTGACGGACAGGGCCGCGTCCGAGGTCTGCACGGCCAGGGTCCGGGCGTCGAAGGTTTTGGCGCGCTTGCGGGCGGCAGCCGCCGAGAAGCCATTGTTGCTTTTGCTGTTGTTGTTGGTGGTGTTGTTGTTGCCATTGCGGCTGCTAGTGATGGTGCTGTTGTTGTTTCTGCTCCCCGCCGCCGCCGCCGCCGCCGCCGTGCGCTTCGAAGGCGGATTGAGGGCCATCCGTATGATTTTGAGAGGAGTCTTGGAAGGATAAAGGAAATGAAAAATGACTGGCCCGGGATGGATTAAAGAAACAAGGTGGAGGGCAGGTTCGTAGACACTTTTGTTTTCAGCCTCTCCGCTTCTCTAATCCCTGCCTGATTGTAATTTCTGTCAATGATAAAATGATGGAATGGGAACAAATGCATGGCCGGCACATGGAAAGGTTCAGGTTTAGCGCAAGTCACGCTCCCGCCGCGCCGGCCAAAACAGCCACACACAAAGAAAGGCACCCACCAATGACAGCCACTGGAGGGGCTCAGTCTTCAAACAACTTAATCTAAACGCTTGCGAGCTTCGGGCTTAAAATCATGTAGATCCTTGCAAGCTACTGGTTGGCTTAATCTCCTCTCTACAGGTGTTTTACAGCTTCTGAGTATACCGGCCTGCTTGTTACGCCTTCTACGTCGACGACTCCAAAAGACTCAAGACTCTTTGACATCATTCACTAAAGTTACAATGGATCTGGGTTTGATTTCATAGCATCGTAATGCGTTGAATTTCTTCAACTATCTAGTGGGAAGTCTAGCTCTTTCTAATATGACTTTTTCTTTTGCCTTTATTCCAGGTCATTATCCCACAAAGCTAAAGTTCAACGCCGTCTATCAAGCCCATGCAACCTCTATAGTATTGAAAATTGGTGCATTTACAGGTTCTTGAGGATGGTCTCGGCGCTCGAGAACTGTGATGAACGTTAGTGGTCGATCAAAAAAATCTCAACGAAACAAGTGGCTCAACATACCTCGAGGTGGTTCTTAGCGGGCTCACGCTTGGCGTAGGTGACCTTGCCGTGGTCGATGATGATGGCGTAGCGGCCAGTGCGGCCCTCCTCATCAGCCCAGCCGATGCTCTTGGAGAAACGGGCCTCGGGGTCGGAAAGGAAGAGCTGTCATCTGTCAGCTGGGGCTCAATGGGGCAGTGGAAGAGGACGAAGAACATACGAAGTCATCACCAGTGACGTTGTTGGCCTTACCCCAGGCGCTCATGACGTAGGCATCGTTGTAGGCAAGGACGGCAACAACGTCGACACCCTTGGCCTTGAGCTCAGGGAGCTTCTCGGCGTACTCGGGGACGTGGCGAGCAGAGCAGACAGGGGTGAAAGCACCGGGGAGGGCGAAGAGGACGACCTTCTTGTCGGCCCACTCCTTGGAGGCGTTGTAGTTGATGGGGATACCGCAAGCCTGGATCTCCTTGTTCTCCTCAGCCCAGGGGATGTAGCTATCAAGCAGAGACGAGTCAGTGGAATTGTTGCGAGGTTGAGAGCGATGCGGTGGCAAGGAGGTATTGCCAGAGCCAGAGATAGTCGTGCATGCAGGAATAGACAAGAGATAGTGAGAGAATGAACTTACGAGAAGACGACGTCGGAGGGGAAGCTGTCACCGGGGTTGAGGCCAGACATTGTGATGGATTGGTTGTGTGTGAGAAAGGTGGGTTGAAGATGAGAGAAGTGAGAGAGTTGTTGATGAATTGGAAAAGTGGGTTGGAGATTGGTTTAAATACGTAAGAGAAAGAAGAAGAGAGGACGGATGGAGGGAGGAACCCGTGGCGGGTTAAATATATGCTGATGGGATGGGATGGAATGGATGGATGGTTCCTGCCGGAAGGCGTGCCTGTTGGCAGGCCAGCGAATTAACGCGAACGATACGGCAGCGACGGCCCGTCTAAGGCGCCATAAGGTGATCCGAAGCAGAAAGATACCGAATCAATTGGATTCGTACAGTGAATTTTGGAGGGGGGTTGTATTATCAAGAAAGACCGCCCGAGACTGAGCCTTGGGAGAGCCCCGCCAATTGCCCCTCCTCTCCACCGCCGATATCTCTGCTATCTAGACCGTCCTCGGTGACAAATCCACCTCCGTCCTCTCCTTCATCGTCATTGTCTAGATTGGGATGCTGATTGATAACACTCAATTCTGTGCTCAGGGGCTCTAATACCTTATGACTCAGCTGACACTGTGCTCAACGAATCTTTGGGCCATACTGTGAGTGATTATTTCGGAGTCTCGACCGGGTTACAGGCCGAGATCGATAGTAAGTCTGAAAGACAGTGCAGGTGGAACTTATTCCCCCACTCGGATCATCATCATGATACCTCAGACTGACTTTTAGATACAGTTACAGAGGTATCTAAGCCATGAGTTCCATTATGATACTATCCAGTGCCGAAACAATTATCAATCGCGTCCAACAGCTCCTCGTCGAACAACTACACATAGCCTAAGGAACCAACCGAATGCCACGGCAGTCTCACCCAGTAGCATATCTCCGCCTCATTTCCCAAATACTAATCACAAAATCAAACTCCAGGACTGACAGACACCACCCTACCTAGTATCACTCTCATCAGCAACCTAAGGTACCTACCTATACAGAGTCACAGATCCCGGCCCTGCAGGAGGCCGTTGAGACGATCCCACTACTCCCGAGGGAGCGCGCTCATTGGCGGATGGCCAAGATGGCGAGGACTGTGGATCTCCGAGGCGAATCTCAACCCAATCACACTTCCCACGGCGTTTGTTGCTGGCAGGGATAGAATCTTCTACGGCTTGTCGGCTTTCTCACCGCCAAAGACCCGCCAACTACGTAACCAGCCCCGAGAACCTTGGGGCTTTCGTTCCCCCGCCACTATGCCGGATCAAAACACCCCTGGTTCCGAGGCAACAAGGCTTGGTTTACTCATCACAAGGGCTATACCACGAAGGGGGAAAAAAAGAAGAACTTGGTTCCGTGGGTACACATGCAATTTTGTGTCATGCTCGCCACAGAAGTCAATTGAGGTTCTTTTGCTGTAGGAGGGTTGATTCTGCGGGTCAAACAGGCACCAATCTGATAAGACGTTTCGCTGCTTGTCCTCCGTAGTAGTGGTGGCTGTGAATACGCGATGTTCTGGTGTCATCTGGACCCTTTGATTACGGTCAAGATTTCTACACAACGACTGATTGCTTATGTAGAACTCAGTGATTTATGCTCAGTCATGCACAATACGCTGGGTCTCGGTCATCGCATGCGACCGACTGATTATCTAAGGCAGGTCGAAGTCCGGGGCAACGGTCTCCACTGTGCTTATACAGCATCTGGATTCTAGAAGGCGATAATTATCGCCACCAATATAATCAGGGACTGATCTATACATGCTTCCACACAGTGCCCAGGATCACTAAGAAATCGTGTCCAGGTGCAGGAACCCCCAATCAGATGAACGGATGGCGCCGCATTCGTGTTTAAGGTTGAGACAAACTACTATTCTTGTGAAGCTGTCACTACAAGCGTTGATGGCTGTGCTTCCCAGGCAGAGCCAGTTGTATTGACAGTGGCATATATGAGCGAATGTAAAAGGTCAAAGCAGTTTGGCCATAGCGGTCATGTTGTCAGACAACTCCATCGCTCGAATTTGAGCAACCATTCTAGAGTTCCGACGCCAGACTCAGAAGCTTAGCGGTGAAACCCTGGTGAAAGACCTCTCCTCCTGCGCCAGCGAGTGCAAAGCAGACAGTAGGATCAGATCGGCGGCCGACAAACCGCTGCTTTGCTGCATACCAGGAACATGAAAAGGCCTTTCTTCAACCTCACAGACCTTGCCATGACTGGGGAGCTCGCCAGTCTGGAAGTATCCTCGGATCACCTTGGCTGAGCACAACGACGGGCCGCTCAAGGTACAATGCTGCAGAACGAGACGTGGAGTATCAGTATGTTTGCCGCCACTGTAGGTAAAAAACCATGACAACCAAGAAGTGTAGGGCACTTACCCCAACTGAGTTCTGCTGTAGTACAACCGACCCGGGGAACTGCTTCGACATTGTGAATGCACTGCAGGGATTTTATTAGCTATATGTCATAACAGACACAGAGAGAGTTAAAAAAGCGGACTGACTTTCGGAGAGGCGTGACTGGGTCGTAAGTGTTTCCCGCAAACAACAGCGGATGAGATGTGTTCCCAGCGATTGGGCCTTTAGTAGAATAAGTCAGGGTTGATAGAACAATCCGAGTATTAATGAATGCGCCTACCCTCAAATTGCCATGCAGGCCTTGCCTTCCACTCGATGCAGCCGAAGCGGATCTCAGCCCAGATGTCCCCCACAGTCTCACTCTGGTTACGCAGCGTATGCCAGTAGTTCCTGAACGTCTCTTTATCCATTCCGCGGATATCCTGCCCATCGGAGCATAGGATGCTCATCTGCGCCTCGTCGGTATTTTCACCCGGAACCATACATGGCTTGGAACCATTAGGATCACACGGGGGCGTCCTACGCCAGTCCTGGCGCTCCCGCTGCTTGTACTCGGCAAACGCGGAGCCATTCCTGTGAGTGAGGTCCGTCAAAAATCGTGCCACCCGCTCGAATGACTCCATCGGCGTGTAAACCGCCTGCATAACCAGCATCTTCACATCGCTGTAGGTGATGATGTCCGGGCCGCGGTCCCCGGACGCCGGAACCGCGACCGGGTTCGCCTTGAGGGTTGTCAGGAGATTCTCGTAGCGATCGATCGTCGCTTGCAGGCCTCCCTGTCCCGTAGCGAACGAGCACACCTCCGGGCCGACGGAATCGCAGAGCTCGAAGAAGGACAGCCACGCCGCGTCCGCGTCCTGCAGGTTCGTGAGCCAGCCGCCCGCGTAGTAGTCGTTGACGTCGCACACGCCATCGATCACCGCCCGGTGGATGCGATGGGGCTGCATCGCGGCGAACGTGGATCCCAGGACCGTTCCGTACGAGAACCCCCAGTACTGCAGCTTCTCCTGGCCTGGCACCCAGCGATTACGCCGGAGGATCGCTTTTGCCTCTGCCTGTGTCTCGCTGCTGCTGCTGCCGACGACCGCCTCCAGCGAGCCCCTCTCGCGCAAGCTTCCAAGAATCCTCTTCGTCTCGCGCTCCCGCCACTCGCCATGCCGCTCAATGAGCTCAACTATATCCGCGACCACCGTCGGGGTGTTCATGAACCGCCCGATCCATTCGCCGCTTTCCTCGTCCCCCGGGTGCGTGCAGGTAAGCCCCATCGCCCCATGTCGCGCCCACCGCGCATCAAAGACCCTCTCCTCGCTCCCCAGAATCCCCTCCGCATCCACCTGCAACTTCCACGCCCGTCGCGCGGCCGAGTCACGGAAACACGAGAATGCGGGGGTCGTATTATTGACCCCGCGGGGATCAAAGCTGACCACATCGAAGAACTTTTCTTCGTTTTGTTGTTGCGAATCCGGTGCTGCCGGCTGCGCCGCCGAGTCCACCACGGTCTGGATGTGCTGCCCCCGCTTGAGGAGCATACTCACGCCCGAACCGCCGGGGCCCCCGGGGTTCAAGAGAATCGGCCCGCCGTATCGCGGATCAGTGACGGGGACCTTGGCGGGGCGCTTGATCACGGCCAGTGCGATCTGCGCTCCATGGGTGTCTGTGCGGTTCCAGTCCATGGGGAGCTCGAGGCGGGCGCATTCGTGGCCGTCGAAGCACGGGTGGTAGATGAGGTGCTTGGTGGGTGTGATCTGGATTGTTTTTTTCTTAGTCTCGGATTGCAAGGATTCAGATCAGACTCAATATGTTTACTTGGTCCCAGCTAAAAGGACTGCCATGATCGGCATGTGGAGAGCCATGACGGGGCTTCGCGCACTGCGGTCGGAGAAGGTGCAGGTGGGATTGGGACAGAGCCACGGCTCCGACTAGTAGTAGGACGATGGCATGAAGGGCTCGTTTTGCGGATCGTGACGAGCTGGATGGCGATGGTGGGATTGGTGACTGGGGGACAGGAAGGTAGTCGTTTGGTTTCCACGAGGGAGGCATCATCATGTGATAGAAAGGGTTGCCGGCCGGCTTTCTCGAGGAGAAATCTCAGCGTCTCAGCGCACCCAGGTGTTAAAACAGGATAAATCTTCGTGTGTCACGGGCTGGCATTGTGTTGCTAGCACCGAGTACTATATATGCCAACGGCAAGTCGTGTCCGGTGTTGTATGCGCTAGTCTGTAGCTGCATCGCATCCATGCAGGCAGCAGTCCACGCGGTATTGACGGCCCCGTATCTGCCATGTTCCCAATTGAGTAACTCCTGGAGATTAAGTGCTCATTTGACCTCTATGATACCAAGTAACTAAATTTCTATCGGTTTGAACGCGACCGAGTCCCAATTCTTGGAATTTTGCGGGGTTCACTGTTGCCACCGAATTGAGGTTGGGTGCATGCTTAAGCATAATGGACGATTGCGTGATATATATTTGGCTGGCAGATAAGGTGGGCGGCGAGCCACCACCTTTCCACAACGTAGTAATCACCGCTTTACTATCTCACCTCACTTTGCAGAGCTAATCAGAACCCGACCGTCCTAGTATCATCCATCCCCAAAGCTAGCTATCCCAAATTGAATCAGCGAGTAAACCAACTTACTAGGTACAATACGTAGTAACTCGGACTAAAATCTGACATCCAGCCCCAACAAAACAAGCCTGCCTACATGCGTAGCACGATCACATGACCATAAGCATCACATTACCACGAGTCAACCACAACAATTAATGTAATCTCCGAACTATAAGCCAGTGCTCCTCCTCATCAACCACGCATCTCTTATCCCAAGTGCATCTCAGCCAATATAAGCTCATCGAACCAACAAAAAACAATGGCCGACATCAAGCCACCATTCACCGAGGAATCAGCTCGCAAGAAGGTTAAAGCGGCCCAGAAACTGTGGAATCTCCAGTACGTTTGGTCTCCCTCCCAGCTGTTGTCGGTAGGGCTCGAAGGTGCTGTTTGTTTTTGTTTCACCTGTGATTTCTTGCATACTACTACTCTCTGTTTGCAAGATGTCTTTTTGTCGTGTCTTACTCGATATCGCTCACGCCCACGCAGGCATGAAGGAGTCACATCATCATGCATACACTTTACATTTGCTTCCCCCCTCCCCCTCCCCCTCCCCCCCTTGCTTGCGAAAATCGAGGGAGACTTCCCGCTCCCCCCCTTTCCTCTCTCTGCAACCCGCCCTCGTGCTGCCCCTTTCCATCTTCTGCATTTGCATCACAGGATTTCCCATCTCTCTAAACCTGCACCTCGAGGGCAGCATCATCTTGCAACAAGAAACCCAAGATGTTTGTGCTCAAGACGAAACGTCGGCACCAAAACCTCACCTTAGACCATGCCCTCAGCTTAAATACTATTTTTTCCCTGCACAATACTCACATAACGCCCCAGAGACCCCGTCCGAGTCGCGCAGGCCTACACCCCGACCTGTATCTGGCGCAACCGCACCTCCTTCTTCGCCGGAACCGAGGGCATCGTCGAGTTCCTGACCGCGAAGTGGAAGCGCGAGCGGAGCTATCGTCTGCGGAAGGAGCTGTTCGCGTTCACGGACGACCGCATCGCCGTGCAGTTCTGGTACGAGTTCCAGGACGCGGACGATGGGCTGCGCTGGAAGCGCTGCTACGGGCTGGAGGACTGGACCTTCGACCGCGAGACGGGGAAGATGTGTAAGCGGATGATGAGTGGGAATGATGTCTTGATTGGACCCGATGGGAATGGCGAGGGGAGGTGGTTTGTGGATGGGGTGGATGTTGACGAGGCGGAGATTGGGGAGGAGCATTGGTAGTGATGAGATTAGATTGACGTCCTTATGTGCTTTTGAGACGATATCTATACTGAGTAACCCGATATCCCCGCGGCCACGAGCACGATTTTGCATCGAGGTCGTTTGCAAGTTCTTCTCGGAGCTGTCAATTAACACCCCCCCCCCCCCCCCAAGCAAATTTGGCGGTGCATGTTCAGTCTATGCATGCAGTAGAACTCCGATTGGATGGGTGATAGGGCGCCTATGCAAAGGCGCATTACCCCTCATCTGGACGTAAATTCAACAAAGCATAAGTATCCGTATTTTGGATTTATTGCTGGTATGTATCCCAGCGATGGAAGTGGTTGTTGGTGTGTGTTGTTGTTGTTATTCTCCAATCATGAGTTGCCGCCCCTGGTTTTAGGGAACGAAGGGGAGGCACTGGAATGTGCAAGCAACTCCCAAATGAACACTCAGGGTTTCCCTTCCCTCCTCTTCCTCTGAGGTGAGCTAGCTCACTGGAAGTTCTGGAGGGATGCCCCAATACTCAGTAGCGTGCGAATGGTGGGTGACCCTCAGCTATCATGTATGGTGAGGCTTTCCACCGATGAAGATTCGACGAGACAACTCGCTATGCGCGAATAACTCGTATCATAGGGTGAAAAATAGATCAACCAGCAGTCAAGCCAGTTCGCCAAGCTCAGCGGGTCACTTTGTTGTCCATGTTGTCCAATGCTGCCTCGAGTGATGTCTTCAGTTCAAGCCTCGAGAATTGGCCAGAGGCTGCATTCCACCCTGTTCTGCGGCAATACCAACCAAACAAATCACCACTTATTGGCCATTCCACGGAGTTGGCCTCTGCATGGTATGCTCCAGACCAAGCCATGGGTGAATCGACCTGTGTTTGTTTGGCTTTTCGGGGTTTCGAGTAATGTGCCCGTGGGGCATGCGCCTATGCGCAAAGTTGGCTGGCACACACATTGCAATGTATACTGTCGAGTGCCTGCCCTGTCCGTCCACTCCCATCATCGATGGTAGCAACAGTCGTCACACTGCCCACCCACTTACCTACCGTTATCGCCGCCTGCATCATAGTCCGAAAGTCGCGTCGTGGTCGTCATCCCACATGTGCTACACGAGGTTTCGCTAGACGAGAATCGACCCGGGAAATTTCCTAACCAAGCACTGTTAGGCACGCGACACTCACCCACTTCGACCTGCTTGATTCACCCACAGATCAAACACAGACGCCTACGTGACTAGTCGACCTAGACCCCATCTTGCTGTCTCGAATACGTGACCTAAACACCTCGCGTCAGTCCGTGTCTCACTATCCTCCAACTTCACACGCGCAAGTCAGGAGGATCTACCTTCCCCTGATCGACTAGATTGACGTCTCGGAGAATTAAACGCAGGATCCTATTGCAATGTCAATCCTGAGGCAGGTCATCTCGCAGCGCTAAATCGGGTACACGGGGGGAGATGGACGAGAATAATCAAGTCTACCTGAGTCCTCAGATGGTGCGGACCCCATTGATGGATGCCACAACAAGAGCCAACAAATACCCAAGCCTCAAAGAAGAGAAGGAGGAACAGATGAAGCAAGGACGATACTACCAAGCAACCTCGCCGATGCCGATGTCGATTGTGACCAGTCCATTATCGACAAAGCCCGATGCGGAGATGAATTACGCGACCTCCGTGGCCGAGTCTCGGGCTGCAACAAACCGACACTCAACTATCTCGACCACATCCACCGCCTCCAACAGGGGAAAGCGGAAGACGCATATTGGACCATGGCATCTGGGAAAGGATCTTGGGAGTGGCGCAAGTGGTCGGGTGAGATTTGCGAAACATGCAATCACTGGTCAGACGGCAGCGATCAAAATCGTGTCGAAGAAGTCAGCGGCAATGACGCAGAGCGAGAGTATTGCGGGAATGGACCGGAAAGCAGGTCACTTTGGAGGAACCGGCATGCGACATATTCCATCCGGACTTGAAAGAGAAGTGGTTATCATGAAGCTCATCGAGCATCCGAACGTGATCAGTCTATATGATGTCTGGGAGAATCGTGGCGAGTTGTAGGTACAGCAAGTCTGCTTGTCTGGCTGATTGCTAACTTTCCTTCACCAGGTATCTCGTTCTGGAGTACGTCGAAGGAGGAGAGTTGTTCGAGTACGTGCAGAAGCATGGTCCACTGCCGGAAGAAGAGGCAGTGCGGTTGTTTCGGCAGATCATCGCAGGCCTCGGTTACTGCCATCGGTTCAACATCTGCCATCGCGACCTAAAACCCGAGAACATTCTGCTGGACAGCTGGCATAATGTTAAACTAGCTGACTTCGGAATGGCCGCTCTTCAGCCCATGAATCAATGGCTGAATACATCCTGTGGTAGTCCACACTACGCTGCCCCAGAGATCATTTATGGCCGGAGGTATCGTGGGGATATGGCAGACATCTGGAGCTGCGGTATCATCTTGTATGCGCTCTTAACAGGCTTTCTGCCCTTTGATGGAGGCGATCTGCCCAGTACCTTGCGTCTGGTCAAAAGAGCAGAGTTTGAAATACCTCCCGAGGTAAGTCTCGAGGCCACTGACCTCATCAGGAGGATCTTGCAGAAGAGACCTGAAGAACGGATTAATATGCAAGGCATATGGGCGCATCCTCTTCTGAAGAAATATGAGAAGCTCCACCAGGCGATGGCGAATCATTACGTGGGACCCGCTCCGCCCTTGTCGTTCGATGAGTGTGGTGAACCTATCGCTCGTAGACACGACGTTGATCCTGATTTGTTAAGGAATCTTCAAACATTATGGCATGATGTTCATCAAGAGGTTCTGATTGAGAGAATTCTATGTCCCGAGTAGGTCAATCCTTGGTATCATTACTTATCGGTGACTCCCAGACTGACTTTTTATGTCACTCAGACCTACCCACGAGCGAATGTTTTATAATGCATTGGTCAAATTCAGGAACGAGCAGCTGGAGAACTACCAAGGCCAAGCCCTGGAGTACTCTGCCAGTGACTATCATCATATATCGCAAGTGGAAGAGCGCAGTGCCTACAAGCGAAACAGTCATGCGAAGTACCACTCCAGGAAACAATCGCAGGCGTCGGTCAAAGAAACAGGCATACGAACCAGAAGATCGGTCAGAGAGCCGATGTCTTGTGCCACAGTGGAGAGCTATGATCCGTTCCGATCTCCGAAGCATAACATAGCGCTGAAGGAAGCCGAATTTGCGCAAATCACGATCTACCGGAACGGAATTGACGAAGTCGAGACGTTGGAGAAACCTCCCGTTCCTACAGTGCCAGAAACTGTAAACCAGGAGTCATCATGCCAGGAGATTGACTGCCCGCCAAGCTCACCGTTCATAGTGAGCCACAAAAAGAAACTGAAAGTCGCTTCGATGAAGTCATTCCAGTCCAGAGCCTCACAAGCGTCCCGACGAGCTCTGTATGGCACACCAACGCCGCGATCGGCGAGTTATAAGCGTAATGTGTGTTTTCGCCATGCTCGAAGTCGCTCCCAGGGATCCGTTTCGGTCAGGACGAAGACCGCGCGGGTAAGGACCCGCGAAATCATAGCGAATCCCAGTGACGGGAGTTTGGTATCTGAGTTCGAAGACGACCCATTTACAGATACTAGTGGCAGTCCGACGCTTCCAGCTCAGCCAACCGTCGTTCGCAGTGCGGGTGTGACGATCAAGAACTGCCCTCAAATGAAGAAGCTGCGAACCACTGACTTCACTTGGAAGGAGGATGCGCGGAAGGTGTCCCACGAGCTGAGCCAAATTTGTGAGGAAGCTTTCAACGGAAGTTCACTATCCACTGCGTGCACGAATACTAGCACTTGCATCGGATCAGAAACCCCTGCAACGTCAGTGTCCATGACCAGCCCTGAAGCTTCGGAACAAACGATAAAGCCAAAGACGTCCACCAGTCGACCAAAGCCCCTGCCTCCCGTCTCATCACCAAAGCCCTATACAGTTGCAGAGTTAGCTGAAACTCGACGTAGGTTGATCGAGCACTCTACTAAGGGTGGGAACGAGGATATCCCTGGCTACTTGGTTGCCGTGATAGGCCACCTCGACAGACTGATTGAGCAGGATGAGCTTCGACAACGTGACAGACCTGAATCAACACGTCCCGTTTCTACATCTTCCGCTGACCCCTTCGTCCGGCCTCCAAACCAATCTGGGCAACACAGCAAACGCAACAGCGTCATCGTCCCCTCCGACGGCCAAAGAACGGCAGCTCCCCGGCCAAAAAATATCGACTACGCTGCTAGCCGTACAAGCCGGGACGGCAAGCGGACGATACGCATGGTGCCTCAGAGCTCCGTGCAGTCAATTGAACCGTCCAAGCACCTACCGGTTCAAAAAAGCCAAGCCGTGCTTCCACAGGAAACACGGCAGTCGCTCGATGGATATAAGATGGCTCCTGACAACGATCAGGGGTCCCTACCTACTAGACGATTTGCCTCCGTGGATTCTCGTCACAGTCGCATTCCCTGCGAGCTGGATCCTATCGCGGAGAATCCTGGATCGCCCAGGCGCAGCGCCACTCGAACATCAGACAACAGAAAATGGTCCTGGCTCCCCAACAAGTACAACACCTCTAATATGGAAAAGGGGTCCAGACACTCGGCACATATCCGCCCAATACAACCCAGCTCAGAGACCGTGATTCGACATGAGGTCCATCCGCCAACGGATCTGTTCGCAACACATGGGGAGTCCCACGCGAACGAGAAGCAGTCACCTTGCAAAGCTAAGACCGGATTCTTCCGGCGTCTGATTAACCGGCGAACAAGCAAAAGTGGGCAGAGCCGTGAATCAGGTGAGTTTCTTGCCCTCAGCGCTTGATAGTTTTTGCTTACAACAGTTAACAGTCGTAGAACCTGAAAGCGCAGAAACAGACCAGCCGCTGGAACAGCCTCAGCAGTCTGAGCACACGTTTGACACCAGTGACAGCAACAGCAAGTCCCTCCCAGACCGGCCATGCAACCCAGGCAGAAGCCAGAACTGGTTCGCCCGAGTCTTCCACTTCAAGCCCGCGACGCGAGTCGTGGCACTCAACACCTCAACCACGAAAGCCCGAAAGGACGTTCACAGAATCCTCCGGGATTGGAAGAAATACGGCATGCAGGATGTTCACCTCGACCGTGATAGACGAGTCATCTATGCTACCGTCGGGGAAGCGAACTGTAGGTTGATTCCTAACCACATCTTGATCTGGAAGCACTTGGACTAATATTGCGACACGCATACAGTCCTCCGCCTCCGACCTGTTCAATTTTCCGCTGAATTCTGCACCTACCTCGAACGCGGCCGACAAGAGAACCTCAGTCTTGTCCGCTTTAGACAAGAGAGAGGAGCAGCATCTTCGTTCAACAAGGTTGTTGACGCACTCTCCATGGTCATGGAGCAACGCAACATGCTCGTGGAAGATCCAGCCCGAGCGAAGGAGATGATTCGGATTCTGGACGCTTTCCCAGATTCTTAATCGCCGAACAAAACTGTCTTGTTTCCATCAGCTCTTTTCCAAAATACGCTTCATACCAGATTTCACTCTATAGCAACCCTTCAAGCCCTCACTTCTTGCTGCCTCAAGCAACGATTTCAGTTCTCACATAACCAAGGAGTCATTTTGCCTCGTTAGCCTTCAAGTCGGCGCCATGCCTCCTATAAAGGCCACAGTTTCCAGTTTACCGACCAGGATCAGGTGTTCAGGTTTCCCCTTTGGTCCTTTGTTACTTCCTGGAATACTCCCATGTCAACATCTTGACTGAGCGAATCTGTTTCGATTTCATTTGTATCTCTTCCCTTCTCTTTCAACTTCCACTGCAGCTACCTTTTTCCTGTGATGTCACCACGGTGGTCTCTGACATTGATACTGATACTGATACAACCCCAATTGCAAGTGTACCGCAACTCATACTTTCTTCATATCTCCCCTTTTTTTTTTTTTTCAAACCTAAATCCAGCGTGCTCTGCTTTTCCTTGTCGAGTAATTTAAACCCTCCATGATTTCAGCATGTAATTTCTCAAATACCTCATTACTCTAAGTCTCAATGGAAATTCTCCTTTTCCAAGGATTCCCTCGCCAATCCCTATAAGAAGCTTGAAGAAACGCGCCAAAGACATCCTCGACACATGCACCCTCCCCCCGAAAAGCACACGCAGAGTATCGTCACCCCGATAGGGAAGGAGAGCCGACCCCCGAGAAAAGCGAGAAAGAGATCAGTCTATACCACCCATGCACCATCACGATCCCTATCACTATGCACCACGCACCTAAACCCAAACCACCAATCCATTCCCATCACCTGCAGGCCCAACGCCGACCTGATCGATCCCATACCACATTCTACGCACCCCCTCCCTACCTACTAGATATACCTACCTCCCCGGGGGCAAAGAAAAGAATCCCCCTTCCCCATGCTGCACCACATCGAAGTGGAAACGAAGCTGAAACGAAGACGGGAAGGGTACTGTACACCAGCACCAGTAGGCGCCTGAGGCAGGCAGGCAGGCAGGAAGTAACCAAGTGTAAGTTGACTCTGGGTATAGGTGTTATTGTTCCGTGAAGGCAAACGGAAGTTGGCCCGGGGCAGTCAGCTGCGGTATCTTACCAGGCTTCTAGCTTCCCCTGGGTCCAGAGCGGGCTAGGGAGGGCTTCTCCTCAGCTCTCCTCTCTTCTTTCCTTTGTCAGGGTTGAAAATGAGATAGATCCAGGGAAGGGAATGGAGCTCATGTACCGTCGAAGGAGGGGGACTCCGAGGGCGGGCCGGGGTTTGTTTGGGTTGCCATGTCCGGCTGGGTAGGGAAGAAGCTGTCGGGAGCTTCTGCTGACCCTTAACCCCGGAATACAACTGCTCATGCTCTTGCTTCCAAAGCGTATCTCAATCGTTGGATGAAGTTCACTCGCTTACTTGCGTGTCTCCGTCAAACGCGTTCTCATAGCCACCGAAACATTACTCCCACTAAGCGCTGACGACAGAATAATCATTACTCGGTACAGCGACCACAACTGAAGTCAAGACTAGAGAACTTATCCATTCCAGAATCTAACGAAAGAAAAGTATCCGTAATACCAGAACCATAGATCGAGAAATAGATGTGAATAAATAGGCATAAGCATCTTGGAATGGACAACTCGAAGAAAGAGAAAGAAAAAAAAGCATATGCACAAATGCTGCATCGAATGGAACGACATGCACTGAAAATTCAAGGCACGCATGATTGCGAATTCATAAAGTCGGATAAAATGTTGATCAGACAGCCTCCCAAGTGATATAGAAAAGGAAAGGAACAAAAGTAAAGGAAATCAATGCGGCGATGATAAGCTACAACAAAAAAAAAGAAAAAAAAACAGCAACATAGAGCCTCCTTTTTAGGGCGATATGGACTTCCGGATGAGACAAACAGTGGAAGTAACACGATCGCAAAACAACCAAGACTTAAGAAAAAAGCGCATAATCAGATAGCCTCCCGGAAAAAAAAGGAAAAGAGAAGAAAAGAAAAACAGAAACGAGTTGATAAAATAGATAATGAGACAATTTGAATCGAAACAAAATGAGACAGAAATTCATCACTCATGCACCGGGAAAAGAAGTCGAAGGACAAGCGAGCAGAAATTCGCATTTTGGAGTCGGATCGTAATGTGATGGATGACGAATGAAAGGCATTGGGATATTCTTTCTGAACATGATAAACACGAGTGGCAAGCAAGGAAAATGGGCACAGAACCCCCGATTGACATCTGCCGCATCCGCTCACATATTGTCGAACCGATATCATACCACTCCGGAACCTCTTTCCAGAACAACCGACTCGAAAGGCGCGAGCATTTCGTAAATGCAAGAGGCATCAAATAGCACTCGTATACGAATGGAACTCGCAAAGCTGATAATGGAAAAATCATTAATAGGTTACCCCGAGTACTGTATAAAGCCGTGGGTTTGTCTTGGATAGAAATAATGGCATGGCGGAGAAGTATGTGCGAGGTTTTGACTGTGAAGGCACAGCGAGCGTCGACTTGAGCCGCAGTATTGACAAAACGCACACGCCGCTTGCCGCACATGATAATCAACCAAAGACAGGCATTCTCATAGTCAAATCATGCAGCTCATAAAACTCTTGCGTCTCGTTTCCATGGCCTCGTCGTCAGAGCAAACGGTTGTTGGAATGATTATCACTGCACATCACTCCCATGTTGCGCAAATGGCGTCAATTCACCGCCCCTGCTTCCTTCAAATCCGAGGCGGACTGTTTGTCGAGAAGCATCACCGGCGATCCGAGGTCACCATTTCGTGCAGCGTCGTCGTTATCCATAACGTCAATCAAGAAGAAAAATCCGTTCACAAGTGGCACACGTCGTTCTTATCCTTTTCTTGCGTCATACTTCTCGTCTCGTCACCCGCCTAAGAAACAGTAATGAGGGCCGCTACTGTATCGGCGCACAGAGTAACAATCCTTTGACCGTGCCATGTGGAAGAATGTGTGACCAGCACACGAACCTGGCGCATCCACCAATGACCAACACAAAGGCGACAATTTCCGCGACAATTTCCACCTTGACCCTCTCCTCCACGCGGCAACAAGTTTCGCATGTGACTCTTCTAGTACGTGATCACATGTGCACTTAGATTGTCGGGGCGGATGTTTATTGGTTCAAGCCCCGACGATTCAATGCGTTGAGCATATCACTATCGGTGCTGGAGCGACCCTGGCTGTCGCCTGGGTTCAGCATGTCACGCACATTGAGTCCTCCACGAGTCGAACCACCCGGCGTGGAAGTGGGCGGAGGGGTCATTGCGCCCTGAGCGGAATGCATGGGAGGGTATGGCGAACCGTGGGGCGAAGACGTATGGCGGCCATCGTAGGGGTAATTTTGTGGAGAAGAGCGGCGATCATGCTGCGGAGGGGGGTAGTAGGGACTGGGAGCATTGTGCGTTTGGTATCCCGATGCTGAGGTTGAAGGTATTACCGGAGCCAAGTTTGTGGGATCGGGATAGTCGTAACCGGAGCCAGAGCCTCGACGGCCACCAGGTCTCTGCGAAACGATCATGGTCAGTCCTGATTGTAACATAAACTGTAACATAAACTAACAGACAGAGGGACTTGGTGACTCACGTGCTCCGGCGCATTGGTTGATGCAAGGGGGGGAGCGGCACCCGGATAGTTGTACATTCCTTGAGGTGGTGGAAGAGTCGGGTCGGCCTGAGGTTGCTGTTGAGGCGGGAGCGGCTGTCCATGCGCTCCATATAGCATGACGGGAGGGCCGCCAGCTCTCTGGTTTTGCGGATTGCGCAGGTGTGGATACGCAGCATGGGCGGGGACGAAGGCTTGCGCCTGCGATGAGACAGGGGTGAACATGCACTCTTGGTTGAACCGGATACAGTTGCTGCAGCGCCCATCCTGAGAGCTTTCAAATCCCGAACAACGAATCTACAAATCCCGCGGAATTCGTGTTAGCCCACACTGTCGGAAAGCAGAACTGCGGATGCCAGCAATTGATTTTAATTTCCAATGAACATACCTTCCGTCTCCGACAGTAACGGCAAGCAATGGCAGTCCGCTGACGCGGGGCGGCAGCTTGATAGACTACCTGAGGTTGTGGTGGGGGCGGCTGTGCATAGACATCTGGACGATAGGGACCAGATGGCGGAGGAGGAAGACGGTATGGGTCTTGCGGCCCCTGGACGTGGGGATGGATAGCAGCCATGTTTGGATACTGCGGCGGGGGATGCGGATATTGGTGATCGGCCGACGGAGGAGGGTAGGAAGCCGGGGGATACTGCAGCGAAGGAATCATGGTTAGTAGGGATTGAGTGAAGAGGCAGTGACTCAATGGAAGTCTCCTAGGACTGGCAGATCGAGTGACTGGAGAGGAAAAGACTCGGAGATCAAGTGGAGGAAAGATGGCAAAGCGAAGGCCGCAACGAACAGCATCCCCACCACGGGCCTTCCTCCTTCCTCCTTCCTCAAAACACTTATAGAACCGCTATTATCGAACGAGGCTAGACATACCGGGTATTGAGAAGCTGGCGGATAGTGCGCCGGAGGGTTGTCCTCGGGTTGACTAGTGTTCCACTGAGGTGGTGGATACTGTCCCTGTCGATTAGGGTCGCTGAGATCGTGGGGGTTGGTGGACATTTGTAACGACGAGTGAGCGAGGACTGTTGCTTTAAAACGACGGAACGAGGATGGGGGGAGACGAGAGGACAAATGCAGGATGATGTGAGTCGACAGTCACGTCCCGCGGGTCGTTTTAGCCAAGGATAAGCAGGCAGCAGGGGTATTCTTCCTTTAGAAGTGGAGGAGGGGGGTGTGAACTGTGGTAGTGGCTGTCGTATGTATGTATGGGCAGGTTGTATGTATGTAAGACTGGAAAGAGGACTGCCAGGACGGTATGTATGTAAGTAATGGCAGTAAGCAGTATGTAAGTACGTAAGAAGAACAGTCACAGCAGCAGTATGTACGGGAGGACAGAATGGGTGTGAGTGTAAGAGGATAAGTGTGTGTGCGCGTGTGAAAGAGCAGTGCAGTTGTGTGTGTGTGAGCGTGTGGTAAAGCGACCAGGATGTCGATGCGGAGTCGAAGCCGGTCAGATAGTAGGTCAAATCAAAAACAGTTCCAGCTCCCGTCGGGTGATTTACGAAGCTAGCATAGCATAGCCTCGTGGTCACGCTGAACCGGATGGGGGAATGTACGAAGGCAAAGAAAGAATTAAAAAAGAATCAAGGATCTAATCCGCACCTGGTCGAGAACCAACGGGGAAGGGGAGGAGGGAGGGGGGGAAGGAATGCAGATAGGCGAGATGAACGGATGGCAAAAGGGAAGACAGACCGGAGGGGGGGGGAAGAGAAGGAAAGAGAGAGATTGGGAGGTTGAAGAGAGGCGGTGGAGGAAAGAATAGGTGTAGAAAGTCGAGGTGGTCGAATTTAGCAAGGGTCAGGGAAGGATAGTAAGGGGGGTGGGGGGGAAGACACTCGATGGTTGAAAAAAATAAAATAAAATAAAAAACAGAAATCAAAAAGTGAGAAATAATAAATATCGACTCAACGAGGGACAAAGAGAGTACCCAGATGGGTCAAATTGGACAGAAAAGGGAAAATTAGAATGAGATAATCAATCCCCAAATCAGACAGATGAAATGAGTAAGAATTGAAAAGGGAACAAAAAACAAAAAAAAAACAAAAAAAAAAACAATCAATCGAAAAAAAAGAAAAAGAAAAAGAAAAGGAAAAGGAAAAGAAAAATTGAGAAAGGGAGGCTCGAGGCTTTGGATTATGACGTGAGCGTTGAACACTGAGGGGCTCCCAAAGCGGTAGGCCTAATCCAGCTCAACTCAGGCCGGAAATATCGAAAGCCCACCCGCCGGTGATGGTGATCCCGAAACGAGCAAATTGTGATAGTTGTGATGGGGTAGGAATGAAGTTTCAATGGAGCGCAGAAAAGACACATATACAAGGGTTAGAGGATGGTCACGTACTATGCACAATGGGAAAAGAGACCAGCAAGGGTTCTTGTCGGGCACGGGCAAGAGGCGTTACGCGGTCGAGGAAGAGAAGGTGATAGAGGGCGTTAGCGGGCAAAGAAAGGGCGTCTGCTATGCCTGACAGTAGCGTGGATGCAATCATCAGTATGGATCAAACACCACAGAAACGAGGGATGCGAG